TCCTTTTATTTTTTAAACACTCAGAATACTTAATTATAATTTTCTTCAAAACGTTGTTAATTCAATAATAATTCCTTCAGTTTCTACTCCACCTATAAAATTTATAATCATTTTAGGATTCCCAATTCAAAACCTGCTTATTAAATTCTTTACCCATTTGCCACTTATTATTTTAATGTAATTCCTTTGAGCATTGTTTATTGTTTTAATATAGGATAGTCTGTGTAACACACAGCTTTGCAATTTATGTCTTTATATCTGTAGTTAAACCAAAGTGACTCCATCTTATAAGAACAAGATGTTAAGCCTGTGACAGGTAATTCTCCTACCCTGGAAAGATAGCCAACTTCCCGTTTTTTTTTTTTCATGTGTTAACCTGCACTTGATCCGTATACAATTCTATTAACCTTAATAGATTAAAGACTCATGTGACATGGCCTGCTGACATCTGGAATTGTTTGTCTAATATAGGAATGATCACAAATACCACGCACGGTATAAAAAGGCCCTGTCAAAACTGTGGACATTAGTGGAGAAAGTTAAGTTTCTGAAGTTAAGAGAGAGAGAGAAAACATTTCAAAGGGGTATAAGAAATGATGGTGGGAAAAAATATTATACACATAATAGTATTAAAAATTAGCATATCTGATGATTTTTCAAATGCATACCTATGATTGCCTTATATGATATCTTCAAATGAACTGGTAAACTCTCTGATTGCTTAGATGACTCCTCAAAGAGATACAATAAATATTTCTAAGCTTAAGGGGATAAAAAAACAATTAAAAGAAGGTTCCTGTCAGGGTGAGTGGCATGGATCCTGCCTCAACCCAAGTCCTGCCCTCTGGCCACACTCCTATAAATGAATACACTTTAATCATGATTAATGGACATGCCTGTTTCACTCTTCAGGCTCAAATTACCTTGTCGATTTAGGAGAACATATTCATTCCCACAACTGCATAATATCCTGCTGAGTGACAGTGAATTATTCTAGAAAAAGAAATGGTCTTACTCATCTGTTCATCAGCAGGACCTAGATCAATATTAAGCCCCCCCATCCCCAACATGCATCTCATGGTGCCCAGTTCTTTCTCTTCTGTAAGTTACCACAACTGTAATAAAACAATTAAATTGTGAAAGTAGTTATTTAACCTCTGCCTTTCCTGATAGAATGATGACTCTTAAAACATATATTCACCTCTTCATCTCCTCCACCTGCCATTATTCCAGCAGATAGTAGGTGCTCAATAAATATACACTGAATGGATAAGTGAATAGAGGTATTCCCGTAGCAGTGAACACCAATAACCTGAATAGTATTGAATCTGCAAGTCCTGATGATGCAGTCCTGCCCTCTGCTACATCCCTTTGCTCAGCAGAAACCAAATGAGAATGAGAACAACACATGGATCCATGTCCTCTTTATATTCTTACACATGAACCTTTGATCTCAATTTATGATTATTTAAAGAAATTCTTACCAACTACTTACTGTCTGGGTGACCTTATGAAAATTAATGTCTTTTTCTAATAGTATATGTTTCATATCTGTAAGATGAGAAAAAAAATAATAAATTTAAGATAATACTTTCTGAGGATTAAGTGAAATACTATCAATATAAGTGTTACTGGGCAAAGGGTGTAAAACTGACAAAAATGATTAATTTTAATTAACAGGAGAGAGAGAGAGAGAGAGAGAGAGAGAGAGAGAGAGAGAGAGAGAGAGGGTCCAATTATGGACTGATGGTACAGATGGAGCTGCAGCTACAGGAACCTGCAGGGGGCGACACAGCATGTGGTGCTCCAGGACAAAGTCTAACAAATCCTGCCATGACTGGGGCTGCAGGGCGTGGAAGAGACTTGCTACTGCCGAGGCTGTGAGTCCCCCCAGGGGAAAGGTATGCAGCCTGCCCTTTTGTCAAAGTGCTTCCTTCTGCAGCAGTCCTGACACCAGTGAGCAAGACCACGTGTGTTGCTCCCTTTCAAAGGAAGTGCAGGACTCAGCTGCCCCACACTGCTCTAACAAAGGCACCCCAACACTGCCTGCTGCTCAATGAATATCCTCTTTCTTGCACAGTTCCCTCCTTCCTTCATCCTTATGTCCCTCCTTACCCCCTCTCCAAATCTCTCTTTCTTCTCACCTCTCTTCCTTTCTTTCCTCCTTCCTTATCTTTTTGCTCCCTTCCTTTCTCGCCTTGACCACAAGAATGTAAACTCCTTCAGAGACTTATTCATCTTTTTATCTCTAGAACCTGTCACTAATGCCAATACACTAATGCCAAGGACTCCATAGATACTGTTGGATTCACATCTGAATTTTCTGGGATAAGAGTCCATTACCCTGAAGGCCATATTAATCTGACAAAATTATTTTGGGCTGTTAATCACATAAAATTGCATTCTGAGAAGGGATATTATAAAAGCATGCTGATTTCTAAGATGATTTAAAGTAACAGTTTAAAACATGTTTCTGTTAACAGTAAATTGCTTTGATAAAAGTAAAGATAGAGTCATTTACTCAACTCAAAAATGTTACATTTAGAAAAATATTTTAGAGATATTTCAGTACTTGAGATTTATCAGCCCTGGGAATGAAGAATTAGTTGCTTTGGTTTATAAACTATCTGTTCATTTGCAATCTTTGTTTTGAATGCTGATAAGCGAAAGTTGGTGTGGAAGCTGATGACTTAATTTATGGGTATGGAGAGAGGAATGTAGATAGTGACTCTAATAATAAGCCTAAGAAGCTACCAGAGGGAAGCATGTTTTTGGGCAAAAACAAAAACTAAGTTTGAGGTTGGTAAAGAAAGAAATTTAATCTCAAAACTGAGGCTTAGCTCTACCGCAGAGATTTGAAGCAAGTTGGCCTGCTTAAGTCTAAAGGACAGAGAGCAGTTCCTGTTGCTCATCACTCAATGTAACATTCTTCAACTGGGAGGTACTAACTCCATCAATACTTAATATCCTTTAAAAGGATGTTTAAAAAATAAAAGAAAATATAACAAAATGAGAGAATAAACACATAGAAGGAGGCCTATCAAATGGCTTTTTGATAAGCTCATTTTATTTGCAACTAAGGAGTACCCAGAAACCCTAAATTGTTAAGGGGGGAAACCCTGTTAGTATGTTCTAAAAGCGTCCATCATCCCCATGCCCAGAGGAAAAGAAAATGTACTCTAAATGGGAAAGATCTTTAATTGGTGTGCAGAGAGAGAGTAAAGAATGGGGTTCAAAATAACAGTTTTCCAACCAATCTCTGAAAATTATCCATCTCCTGATGGGCAAACACTTAGCCATACAGGCTTGGCCTGAGGCAGGTTAGGTACAAAAGCTTGCCATGAGTCCATGGCACCTTCTGGCAGGTGAGAAAGATCCCAGAGAGCTGGGACAGGAGAGACCTGAAATTCAAAATGTACCATATAATCCATGATGAAGTCAAGATAGACTGCCATTGTCTCAGCCAACATGCAAAAGTCCAGGAACAACCTCTGTGTTGTCTTTCACGCATGTGTCTCTCCTCCCTCGTTCATTCCAGCTGATATGTGTATACAGCTGCCTCCTCCTCCCTCCTTCCCAGTTGCCCCCATTGAGGAAATCTGGTTCATGTTCATCTGGGAGTTGTAGTCCAAAGGAGCAGCATGTAAGTGGGGATAGGGAATTTGGCACCATTCCTGGGGTTACTGTACTACAAGCCTCCTCCCCTTTTTGCTGGGATGCGTTCTGTAACAGGAATGGTTTGCAATCAAAATCATTGTTGTTGGGGTGCAAAGTTCAGCACCCTGAAACCCTCTGGATTCTTTCAAACTGGCAAATAATCAGACAAGCATTGGGCAGAAAGATAAGAGAAAAAGTCATAGAGAAGTTTAATAATAACATATATGCCATCTACGTATCAGCAGAAAGAGACCCAGGAGGACTGAATAACCCACATGGCTTTAAATATCATCTTAAATAGCCTAGTTAAATCAAGGGAGGTTGGAGGGAGAAAGGGGAAGTTCAGTTAGGATGTTTATTGGGAAAACAAAGGAATACTGATTTAAAGAACTGCCTTTCCCATTGCAAAGCGATAAAGAGATTAGATCTTTCTGGGAGAGGTCCTTGTAGAGAGAAGGTGATACATAAATATCAAAAACAGTTTCTACCCAGCCTCAGAGTCCCTCCTATGAAATAAACCTCTTGCTAAAGACATGTTGTGGGGAGGAAGATTTTTGCCCTCCCACACTGTTTTTCCCAAGAAGCAATTAGTATATTTGTACATATCCACACATATTCTTAATATCATAATTTTTATCTTATTATACTTAGGATAGAAAAATATATTGAACTTTGCATAGAAAACCTCCCTAAGACAATCACAGTAACTATGGAACACATAGCACCATTTTTAATACTGTGTTCTGTTTTGTGAAACTATAAAAGAATAACTTAAATTTCAATTATCAATAAAAATGAGCTTATATTGAGATACCTTTCAGCAACATCAGATATGCTACTTGTCTAAGAAGCCTGAATAGTTTACCTTATGGGGAAATGGAATGATAACAGCTCTTTGTGGAGAGGTATTTTTCCTCCCGGTGCCAATTCCTATGTTTTTAATCCTGCAGTCGGTCCTCTGAGTGAAGTGTTAAAGAACTAAAGAACTCCTTAAGTGTGGGGCCACAATTTTTTTTGTTTGTTTGGTTCTCTTTCTTCCTGTCCAATTTGCCCTACTGATACGGAAAATAGAAAAGAATCCAGTGAACTTAAGAAGGAAGTGGTACATTAAGTGACACCTCCCGGAAAAGAATGAGCTAGAGGAAGGCAATGTGATTGGTAGGACCCTGATGCATGCTCCTGAGAGTAATTGATCCTTCATTGTGTGTGGCTATAAAAGCAGCAATAGGCAGAGAGCTGCAGAGAAAGAAGGAAAGAAAATACAGAGTTGACGCAGTTAACTTCAAATGAGAGAGAGAGAGAAGATTTATCTTGATCTCTTTATTTTCAGGCCTCGGCATAAAATGGTGCCCATTATTTTTCTGAGCTCCCTTTTGCTTCATTTTACTGTTTCGGTGGCTTCAGAACCGTAAGGGAATATTATACTTTCTGTTCATATTAAAATACTAGCAAGGTGACCTTATTAAATATGTTCTGTCATTAAATTTGATTATTTGGAAATATTTCAACTTCTGAGACTGAGAACTGGTTTGCCTTATAAATTTTCAACAAGTGAATGAAGGAGGTATCTTTTTCTTAAGATAACTGCTCTGCACACTCAAGTTTATGGTAAAGGTGACTATGGAAAAGTGTGTGTTTCAGGCATATTTCAATAAGCTTAAGCTGCTTTGTTTGCATGTTCTGCATTTCTTCTATTTCTGCTCAGAGTGTTGGTTACTTTCTTTGCCTAGGCAATATCTCCTATGGGTCTCCCCTGTGATTCGAAGTCACTCTACAGAAAAAGCCTGTCTTCACCTTTTAAATCTTAATGAATCTGTCTCCTTGAGTGTTGTCTTAGAATATGATGGGTTCAATACCACTATCTTTGATCAGTCAGTGAAAGAGGATCACTTCTATGCTTGCACAGATTTCAAGGTAAGGCACTGAATTTGCCATTTCAGGATTTCAAATAGGAAGATGAAATTAGTACATAAATATATTTTTAGAAGATAGCACATCTTAATTTTGGATGAATTGTGGAAGCCAGGAAGGAAAACCAGAAAATTCCTGATGTAAAAAATAAAAGGAAAATTTATGTAGGCAACAAAACTAGGGAAATATTGCCATTTTTCTAGTGGAAAGAGTGCTGTAAGACCTAGTTCTGCTCTATAGATAGTACAACTGTTTAACAATGTAAGAAGAGAGAATCTAGGTTATAGATGCATAACCTAGGATTGGGTCTCAAGGCAATAAAAAAGGAGACCTAAAAATGAGTGTATTAAAAGCTCTTCTCATACTAGTGATTGCTAAGCCTCTCAATAAAAAATAATGGGTTTGCATGACTTAGCCTGAGAAGACAAATTAAGTCATTACCCTCTTAACAACTACAAATATTTTCCCATTCTCTACTTTTTAACATAAACAGATTTCTCAAAGGTCTTCTGCACAGTTGTCTTTTTTGACATTGTTGGTGAAGGGAAAGACTCTTCATATCTTTGAGAGGAGATCTGTAGCACTTGTTGCAGAAGAGACAGTAACCTTTGTGCAAACAGACAAACCCATCTATAAATCTGGAGAGAATGGTAAGTCCATATTTATGTTTCCTTTCATCACTGAATTTAGGAATACACTCTTCACATTTAGAGCAACCCATGAATTTTAATCTTAAATTTATTCTTAATGTCATAATGTGTACTAAAATATGTACTGGTGATCTAGATGAATTATGAAATAGTGTCCTTTAACATCAGTAACTGCATGCTTGGCCTCTTAAAATTTTGCTTGCCCCCCTCACTGTTTACAAATTCCAAGGGCAGGCTGACATGAGACAATAGTTAAAATAGAATGTGTTGCCAAATTACTTCCTGAGAATAGTTGCTCCATAATTTAACAATGGCACAAACTAATTAAACCTCTATTTACTCGATTTTTATCTGCAGAATGAAGATAAATAAGTGTCTCACTTGTAAAGATAAAGATAGTCAATGTAAAATAGTACCTAGGATACAGTAAAAACTCCATATGATATTTTCATCATCATCACTATTATTTATTATATCATTATTATTATTATTTATATCACTAGAAGTAACCATAAATCTGGTAATGGAGGCAAAGTCCTTCTCTCTTCCTTGTGGTTATGAAAGGAGCAAAAAAGAATACCTAACCAGGATTCAGAAGGATATAGATTTTGTCTTGGCTCTAAATAAATTACTGGCGTCCGTCATGGACATTCTGATCGTTCAGATATTTTGTTTTCTCATTTGTCACATTAGAGGGTTGGATGAGACAGCATCTACAAATTTTGTTCTAATATATGTCAGTATGAGTTATTACAAAGAGGTTAAAGAGCTAAAATTAAAACTCTTATAGTAATATTTTTGCTGCATTATATCCTCTATTTAAATGCTACGATGGCAGTTACATATACAAAAGTAGCTAAAATGGGTTCTTCTGGAATTCTGCCAAAATTAATTTAACATTAGCCAACATCAATATATCTTCCAGGAAAATTATGTTTAACTCCTATCATCCATATTTCACATTTGTCCTCTATGACTAACACAGCCACTAATTTTAAAGATATCCTTATCCCTGTGGACTTTTATGGTAAAAGTGTCAGCTTTGGTAATAGAACATCAGAGCATCAACAGATTACAAATGTGCCATAAGAGATCTTTCCAAATGAAACCCAAAGCTCAAAGGGTCAAGCAGAGGTGGGAGAGAAGGGAGTACACTTTCTATGGGTAAAAGTTCTATCCATGTACAAGTCAATTTATATCTTTGTACAAGTCATCACAACAGGGAGAGAATTAACAAGAAAAAACAATTCCCTCTTCATCTTGTCTTGTAGTTCAAATTCGCATAGTGACTCTGGATACCAAATTCAAACCTACTGAGGAATTGGTGAGTTCATTAATTTTTAATAGTACAATATAATGTAAACAAATCAAATAAATCCATTGCTACATAACGTGTCATCAGGAAACTTTTCAAAAGTATGGAAATAGGAACCAATGTGGAGAAGGATGTAGGTATAGTCTCAATGCTAAGTCTCAAATTGACATGTAAGACTTTCCTTAATAGTGAGTTGATTTATACCTCTTCACTTAAAAAATTAACTGCATGGGACCTGCCTTCCACTTCCCAGAAGAGGTTTGGGATCTTTTTACATGTAGAGTTTTCTTAGAATCTTTGGAATTTTAAATCTTTGAAATTTTAATTTCCTTATAAACTCTATCCTCTAGGAAAGTGGGGCTAAGTCTCAGAAGTTAAATTAAGTTCTGTAATTATAATGCAATATCTGGTGAAAAAGAATGCACTATTACAACATTAACCTGTATTTTCTTCCCTCTCTCAGTATCCTTTCATCACACTTCAGGTAAGAGATCTGCATTTTTGCACCCACTATTTTAATACATCCAGCAAAGCATGTGTCTGTTTAATTTTCTTTATATAGAATTAGAAATTAACACAACTGAAATAAGGGGAAGAGAAAGCTGTATGCACACACACACGCACACACACACATACACACACACCCATGAAAGCTATCAGACGAAGACCTCAGTGAAGGGCTGTCACTTTTAGTGCCATGTGGCAAATGCTATAGTCTGGGCTTTCATGGAAAAATAAAAGATTGGGCTTTTGCTAAGGGAGGTTTACATTTAAAATGGCTCATTTGGGGCTGCTGGCCCATCTTAATCTTAATTCAGTCACATGCTTAAAGGAAAAGCAAAATTTAAATACCTAAAAATTGGGCCTTCCCTGGTGGTGCAGGAGGTTGAGCATAGCGCTGTGAAGCTGTCCAAGCAGCCTCTGTAGCACCAGTTAGATCCTGGCCAGCCGGCAAGAATCCCACATGGTGAAGCAGACCTCTCGTCTCACCCGCTGCTCCCCTCAGCAGTGTATTTTGTCAGTTTGCCTGTTCTGTTCCCCACTCTGTCTCTGGCGAATCCTCTCACCCTCCTGCACATCTGGCCTATACCCCGGTTCTTGCATAAATAAATAATTCTTTAAAAAAATTAAATACCTAAAAATTTAGAAATATGCTAGAAGGTGATATTAGTATAAAATACATGCTTAGCTTTCAGAAAGTAGTCTCCCTTTGCCAGTAGAAATCTTTAGCGTAGTGTGGATTTCAAAATGATCTGAAATCTTAGGCTTATTAGTAAAGAATTTGTATCAACTCCAACTACGTATTTTAATTTGTATGCATGATAGACACCATTGTTATTGCCTAATTATGAATTCAATATACGGGAATCTAGGTTCCTCATTAATGGTTGTATGTAAATATACAGTTCAAACATTTTCCATATAATTAGAATTTTTGTTGTGGTTTGCTTGTTTTTAAAGGCAATAGATCTCATATATTTATTATTTAATTATGTTTTTCAATTGAGGCAGTGTTGGTTTACACCTTTGCTTAGTTTAAATAAGTAAAAGAATTACTGTTTTCACAAATGACTACCTCTGAGTACAGTCAGTTTTTCAGAAAGAGCTTCCATCCAATGGCTTCTACTTGTATTTAATTGGACAGCCCTGGGCCATGTGGATAATCCTTACAGAGAGAAGTCTGAAAAAATTAAAAATTTTTAAACTTTATTGTACAGGGAAACAAATTTTTAAAAATGAGTAGTAAATCATGTTTTTATTTCCTTGTGAAATCTTACCAGGATTTCTTTCATCGCTGTTGGATGACATTAACACACTTGTTGAATCAGGTTCATATAAGCCACAGTGTGTTAAAAGAAAAGAGAAAAGAAAGGGGGGTTTCTACCCTTCACTGGACAGTGGCTCTTTCTGAAAAATTAGACTGTGCAGGCATTGAAAAACAACACACTGCAGATGGCAGAGCTTGAGTTGAAGCCACAGCTCAAGATAACATTGTGCTGTTAATGAACTGAGCCTGAGGTGCTGACACTGAGAGGTAGTGGTTTGTAAAAACAATACACCCTTTACTGATTTCAACCAATGTCACTTACCCCAGCACTTCCTTTTAGCAGCTCTTATATGGAGCATGTAATTCACGATCCACTACACACAACCCAAATAAAAAATAGTGGCAAACCTTCTGTTACAGGGCAACCCCAATGAGATATTAGCTCAATAAAATGATAGAATTTTATCTCCCCCAAACTACAGAGTATAATAATAATAATAAAAACCAGAAAAGGATAATACTCTTATATCTGTTTTTATTTTTTCTTTATTTTCTAGGATCCTCAAAACAATAAGGTTTTTGAATGGCAAGATGTGGCTTCCTTTCAAAATATTACAGAACTCTCATTCCAACTGACTTCAGAACCAATGTTTGGAGATTACTCAATTGTCGTACAAAGAAAATCAGGAAAGACAACGGCACACCAATTTGCTGTTAATAAATACAGTAAGAGTTTCTACATTTTGTTGCCCTGCATAAATAAAGAGTTCAAAGGACTGAACAAAACAACTTTCAGAATTAGGCAAAAGTAGATAAAGTTTGATTTGGTTTTTACTATAATCTTATCTTGGTCATTTCTGCTTTATTGCCTCTCCTTTCCTGCACCTCCTTATCTTGATTCTGATCCCTGCTTTTTCTCCATCAGGAAATGTCTCATTTTCTAGAATACAGATAATCTTCTAGGGAGGATCTAAGGGATTACAAGAAATAAAATGTGAAGTTCTGAGAAACGGGGAGAGAAAAGAAAGGAACATAATCAACCCTGAACTAAAAACCATCACTCACTGGTGCCACACAGAATTTAGGGGCAAGTGAAATATGGTTTCTACAGATGTGTACATCAGACAGACAGATGAATGCCTACAGACAGATATGCGTACATACATACACACAGATGAATACACATACAGGCAGCTGCACAGAGACAAAGGAATACCTGCTACAGATTCATAAATACACATGCATGTACACATAAAGATGCATACAGATGTACACATGTACACAGGGAGATCACTGTGCATGGAAGCCGACTTAGTTACACGAGTACACTAAGTTTTGTTCAGCAGTGATGTGGGAGCTAAAGTGTATTTCTCTTCATTCCAGTGTTGCCCAAGTTTGAAGTTCAGGTCAGTGCACCTCAAACAATAACTATTTCAGATGATGAATTCCAAGTGACTGCATGTGCTAAGTAAGTACTTGTCCAGTAGATTTGACCCCCTCCCCACCCCGGAGATCAATACAAAGCTCAGGGAGAATAAAACATGAGATTAACCATGTAACTTTAATAATTTACATGCTTATGCCACAATTAGAAGTAATGCATTCTTATCACAATATTTTTTAAACATAAAGAAATACACAAGAAATTCCTGCTAATTATTCTACCAACTTCATTAAAATGGTGATATATTTTCCTTTCATCTTTTATGGATATTGTCCACAACTGCAATCATACTCTTTGCTCACTATGATTATGAAAACGTGCCTCCCTATCTTGCCAATCTTTCACGAATTCCAGTTCCTTGTAGTATAAACATTTCCCTGTTTGGTTATACCAAATTCACTTAACTATTTTTTTTTATTATATAAATGTAGGCTGTTCTATTCTGTTTGCCTAGAAATAATTAAGAAAAACATGTCTCCCTGTCCTGCCAATGTTTTCATGAATTCCAGTTCCTAAGAAATGTTTCCAGAATTAGAAGGTGTAGGAAATGTGTAACATTCTTTAGTCTCTTGAGACCACACTGCTTGCCATGTTTTGCCACAGTACAATCCAGAAGCTGGCACAGGGCCTGCCTCACTGAATCTTCACCATCACTGGGTATTTTCATTAACAAAAAGAAAGAAAATACATATTTGAAACATAATACTGGGGAAAGGTATTTTATCAACTTAATTTGAGTTGTCTCAAACATTTCCTAATAATGAAAAATAACCAATATTCCTTGTCACTTACTATGCTAAGCTTTCTATTTTTTATATTTTCATGCTATGAGATAGGAACTATTATGATCTCTGCTTTATAAGGAAAGGTAATAAAACACAGAGAACTGAAATAATTTTCAGCATTAATGGACATTTTTGATGGCAGAATGAAGATTTCATCTAGGCTGATTGGCTTCACAGCTATTCTAACTAATACTTCCACTGTACTGTACATTATATAAATGATAAAAAGTATTTATTTGCCATATTAAATACTTTCATTTAACTGAAGACAGAAGAGTACTTGCCTTTAAATGCTATCAGCAGTTGATTAAAGATACACCATATAAAGGGCTGTCTGATATATAACATGTGGAAGTAATGGTTAAGAATGCCAATTTTAGGAATCTTAGAAATCATTTAACTTTTTGGATAGTTTTTGTTTTTTTTAAATTAGCTACTCTGGCCCTTTTTCTTTATCGAGGTAACATTGATTTACAACACTGTATAAGTTTTAGGGGTAAAGGTTCACTTTTCCTCAGATATATGTTGCCATATCAAGCCAACCATCTAAGTATTGGGTAGTATTTTTCAATCTTCTTTGGAATGCAAGAAAATGATTATAATTTTTCTCTGCATTTCAATGAAGTATAGTTAAATGTGTGCCATAATTTTGTATATGTAGTATATAAAAATTATAGATTATCCATGTTAAAAATAATGGGATCATCAACGAAATTTTGAAGAACTACAAGATCTTATACTGGTTTCACTGGGAAAACCCTCACAAGCCAGACTTGTCAAGGGAGTAAAATCTATCAATGTTTACCAGCCCAATGGAATGCTGTAAAAGTACAACACAAACCAAAGCAGCCAAAATGTTGTCAAGCATGACCTTCATGAAAACCTTGCTAAGCCAAATGCTGACATGGATTCAGTTATTCCTAAACATATACTTTGTTATTTTGACTTCTTGTGATTTCTTTATTATAGTCTACATATACATGACATTGAATAATAAGCCAGTATTATCAATAATTATGGCCGAGCAGTGGAGACAAGAGCTCTACTTATTGGAAGTTATTTCTGGGAGGTTATGAGAACCTGATGAATGAAAGCAGTATATCTAGAAATTAACCTTCCTCAATGAGTTGCCTTACCTCAACTTGGATAATACAGTGTTTGTGCATTGTTCCTTCAGTATTCCCTGGGACTTACCTGGGATCAGCTCAAGAAAATAATATCAAATTAGGCAATTTTAGCAAACAAACTCAGAGATGAATTAAGCTTTTAAGAGAAGAAAACTTGCCTACAGGCAAAGACATTTTAATGAAGGCAAAGCAACAGTGCCTGCTGAAAGCTTTTCAAATTACATACAAACAGGGAATGTTTATTCTGATCTGAAGATTTAAGTTACATATTTCATGACATGTGCTAACCTGTAGATAATACTATAAGAGTTTTATTTTAACAATAAAAGAAACTTAGCAGAAATGAGATATTCAGTTTTTAATAGTTATGGCCTCATATTAGTCTTGCGCTATGTAACACGCTATTGATCTTTAGAGGTTACAGATAATTTTAGTTAAGTTGGGTTGAGTCAGAATCCCAGAAGCATTTAGAATTTTTAAATAAGGAAACAATGAAATGAGCATGGACTGTGGAGTGTGATAAATTTATTTTAATTCTATCAATCACAATGTGGAGAAGCGACTCATTTGAGTTCAATTTACTAATCTGAAAAGTGAAGTAACGTCCCTACATCTCAGGGTCACTGGAAAAAATGATTGAGACAATGTGTATAAACACTGGAGATATATTAGGGGTCAATAGTTTGAAAAATAGTACTATAATTGATAAATTTGACTTTCTTCAGTTTTACAATATATTAGTTTCACATTTATCTTTTAAAACTATCTTAGAATTCTCAAGTTAAAAAAAACCTCAACTCAGCTGTATTTTCCATGAGTGGACATTTTTTAAAAAGTGTGTTGTAGTTTTTTTGGTTTGTTTCAGGAGAAAAGGAGATCTTTATACAACTCTATTCCGTAAGAGATTATACTTTCAGTCAAAATGCATCCAATTTATGCCTATCTCCATACCTTTTATATTTGATGAATAATAAAATAAGAATTGCTTAAATATTGATCAGTAAGTACTTCAAGATCCTGTATCATCCAAATTTTATTTAGATACAGATGTATTTTTTGCTAGAGGAAAAAAAATACTGCAATCGTTATAATGTTCTATGAAATTAAAATATAATTCAAAAAATTCAGTCTAATCATTAAATTCTATTCACTGAGATTTTAGGTGATTTTAGATTCTATATTATCTTGAACTTGATTCTTAAGAAAGCAGCTGAATTCTCCTAACAGGTCAAATGTTTAAATCAACCTAAATTCTGTGAGGAGCACAGCACCAGTAGGTGAGGATCCCTGGCTGAGTTAGGTCAGATTGGAGGAATGGTGGTTTAGAGATTTCATACATGACATTTAAGAAGACCATGAGCTATTGCTGTGGTATTGTCTGGCTATAATCACAAGGATACCTTGTTCCCTTAGGTACACCTATGGCCAACCTGTGCAGGGGAAAGCCCAAATCCGAGTGTGCAGAAAATTTTTTTCCTCTTGGAACTGTGACAAAAACAATGAGATATGTGAACAATTTACTGCTCAGGTACAGACCATTTCTTGCTAAAAAAAAAAAAGTAAAAAACAGTTATCTTTCATTTTCATTCTTCTTTGATTCCATTTACAAAAAAAAAGGAGAATTCTTTGTGGACAATAGAGGTTGTAGCTGGATAAGGTGAAGAAGGAGAAAATACAATGCTGAATAGTGTTCTTTTATTCTCTAGGGCATGTAAATTATTATTTTTTTGTTCCTACTCTGATTTTTGACTTTATTATTTTCTTTCTATTTTTTTTGTGTGTGCTTCTAAATCATTTATTTTAGTTTCGCTGTTACCTTTACCTAACATTTTTCATTTATTCTGCTATTTAAAAATATATAGTAGTTCCTCTTGAGTAATAAACACATTCTGAATTTCATATTTTCCTTTAACCATAACTTGACACCATCGATTTTGATTCAAAGCATTTTCTTCTTCATGCTAAAGTAGTCTAGATTCTTACTAACTTTACACTTTCTCTTTGACTCCAAACTTCTTTTGAATTTGGCTGTATTATAATCAGTAAAATTGGTTTTGTTGTTGTTGCTATTATAGTTGATAACGCAGAAGGGCACACATTTTAGAGTCAGAATGTTTAATGAATTTCACCATCTTCTGGCTGTGTGACCTTGGGCAGGTTATATAACCTACTTGGAATTCAGAATTTTCATCCAGATAATGGAGATGATAATAGTATCCAGTTGATATAGTAGTTTTGAGAATCAAATGAATTGCTATATCCTTCTAACATTTTAAGTTTGGAATTAATAAACAGATTCTTATTTTAAACTATTGCTAACTCTACCATTCTCTAATTATTAATGTCACTGATAAAAGATTTATCCCCCCCTTATTTGAAATAAGCTATTTGCCTTAAAAGGTGTTTTGGTGTTACACATTTATAGTGCTTCTGTTCCATCTGTCCTTAGTGCCACTCAAAATAAAATTTATTTCTTACCCTGAGAATATCATTCACAGCTCCATTATCATCTTTTTAATCAGTGTTCCTATCTACACTGACCCTTGAAATCTGTAAAGTACAAATAACCTTCTTACCTTGGTTTAACTGCATGACCTCACCCCCTTTTTTTTAAAAATTCATTGATCAGGGAGTTTGTGGAGTCACAAGATGGTAGGAATTAGATATCTGTGCTAAATAAAACTCCATATTTTAAAGACTTTCATTACTCTTATTTTTCAGTTGAGAAATGGCTGTGCTTCTCAAATTGTAAATACAAAAGTTTTCCAACTCTACCGCTCTGGATTGTTCTTGACGTTTGATATCTCTGTGACTGTTACAGAAAGCGGGACAGGTAACTAGCATTTGCTATGGCCAAACTGGGGCAATATGGCAGCTTACTAGGGAGAAGTTTGTTGAGTTACTAATACCGACTGGATAGAATAGTGAAGCATATTTGCCTATAGATCAGACTGAGGGTTGCTTTTGAATAAGATTTGCCTAATAATATTCAAAATTAAAGTATTATGTTATATATACACACATATATACACACAAAATTAAAGTATATATATATACACATATTATATATGTGTGTGTATATATATATATATATATATATATGTTAGTTTGTGTCTGCATCAAACTTCCCTCTGTAGTAGACCTAAGCTAATAAATTATCTCTTTTTAACTTTGTGCACACCACTTGATAATCAATTGCCAAAGCCTAACCTTTAATTTAATACAAGAGTTCATAAGCTACCTCTAGAGAGTCAAGTCCAGCTCCCTATCTATGAGATTTAATTTGGGGTTGGGATCAGATTCAATTATTGATTATTTCTTGTTACTTAAAAAGTACATTCTATAAATATATGCTATCAATATTATAGCATATTATATGATATGATATATAGCATATTACATAATGAATAATATATAGCATATTACATAATGAATAAGCTTGTCACAAATCTATTGTAATTTAGCTAGATATATTTGACTCTGCTTATTTGATTGCTCCATTGAAATCACAAAGCATTTCTATTTATTTTGCTATTAGAGATTTTTTTTAATCTGGTAAAAGTCTAACAACATAGCATCCTACACGCTAAAGATTTCAAGAAGTGAAAGTCTTATGCTTGAGATGCTCATGACATTCTCCATCATGAAGCATCACAGGCAAGAACTGATTAGCATAGTAGGGGGAAGTAAGGTAGGGGTGTTTTCTCCCGCTTCTGATTCAAATATTTTATATTATTTCAATATTCATTTTGAAATGTCCCACACAAATATAGTTCTCTAGAAGATGTCCCAGCATACCCACACCTCCTTTTTCAAGATTACAGTTCTGTGTATAGAAGTTGACATGTGTACCTAAGCTATCTGTTCTTTTGAAATTTTCGATCAAATGACTTCTCTCTGACACTATCATTCATTGCTTCTTATAGGTGTGCAGATCAGTGAAAAAGCTTCCACCTCTCTCACTCCATTACTCGGGCGAGTAGACTTTGAGAACATGGACCCTTTCTACAGAAGAGGAATTTCTTATTTTGGAACTGTAAGCTTGCCTAAAAAAATACATATTTTCATTTCCTTTCCTTGGGTCATAGACAGAACTCTGTTTTTCTGGATTTTTTTCTGCATTCAGAATACATTTGTAGTATGACTGTGTCTGATACACTAGACTGAAGAAAACAATAGATAAAATGATAGCTGTTTCCATATTAGACACTTAATAGAAAATCTTTATTAGAATTTAAAATTATAAGGAAATGATCACATTTATGAAAGGGGTATTCTTTTTTCTAAAGAAATTTGTATTTTAAGAATCAATGCTTCTCTTTTTATACAGCTTAAATTTTCCAGTGCTGCTAATGTACCAATGGCGAACAAAGTACTGCAATTGGAGCTCAATGACAAATTTCTAGGAAATTATACCACAGACAAGAATGGCGAAGCTCAGTTTTCTATTGATACTTCAGGCCTATTTGATCCGGAGCTAAACCTGAAAGTAAGACATCAAAGTGTAGATAAAATCCCACAGAGGATTTGAATGTTATAAATTTTAACATTAGGAATCTCTTAATTGATAACTTATATTAATATATTTTAACTGAGTTTTAAAATAACAGGTATTTTATATGTTTGCTTGTTCAATAAATAATACATGAGAATATTTTGTCAAGAGGATGAGCTGATAGCCTGTACTATAGTTATATAGTTCCAAGCAATATGTTCTTCTGACAAACTAGAAACCCCTCTCGAAGATGATTTGACTTTTTCACCATTGCATGGACAGGGTAGATACTATGATTTCTTTCTTTCTGTTTCTTAAACAAAATTTTGCAGTTAATCAATTTGTCCGAGGTCAAATGTAGCTGAAAAACTGGGTCTAAGGCTATGCTGTGACTTCAATTACAAAGTAAAAATAAGCTTTTAACTTTAGTTCTAAAGAAATACAGTTACATCTTTTCCACATGAAAAGAGGAGAGTGTTATTATTTCATTTCCAATAACAAAGCTGAAGCATCAGCCACAAGTTAAGATTCCTCCTTGTTTTGAAGAGATAAGAAGCCTTCCAGTCCCTAATAACTGCTGTCCTGGGAAGGTCTTTATAGACTTAAGGGCCTTTGATTTCATTTATCTTATCAGGCCACATACGTTCATCCTAAGACCTGCCATCCTCTTGACTGGTTGGCTCCTGAGTACGCGGATGCTCGGTTCTCAGTCCCACGCTTTTACTCCCGAACCAACAGCTTCCTGAAGATTGTTCATGAACCAAAGCAGCTAAGATGCAATCAACAGAAGGTTGTTACTGTGCATTACTCTCTGAACGGTGATGCATACAGAGACAGTGCAAAAATAAACTTCTTCTATCTGGTAAGTTTCAGTTGGTGGCTTCTTGAAGCTTGTCTAATTGTATGTTGCTTAAGCAGAGTACAGCTTAGAATGTGTTCCCAGTCATGTCATATTAATGTGATTGATTGTTTATTAATTACTATGTGATTAATAATTTCCAATAATTAATATGATTAATATTATTGTGAGCCCAGCTTCTCACTTTGTTGGTAAAAAGTACTGGATCCCTTAAAAACAAACACAAAAGCAAATAAACATCTAAGATCTAAGGTTGAAAAACTTAGTCTACTAAAAACTTAGTCTACTAAGTCAGTGTCTACTTTTTAAAATATTTGATATTTAAACATTCAAACACCAAATATCTTTGACTCTTCATGAATAAAATATCAGGCACATACTAAAGAGTAAGGTAAAAGGCTGATTTTGATAAGCAAGAATAATAATAAAAAAGGAATTAGTCTTTTAGGTTCTGTCTCCATATTTATTCATTTTGTTTCTAAAGTGTATTGAGCTACAGACTTAGAAATTAAGACACTCCTAACTGGAATTCTCTACTCTTTCCTATTTATCCTTAAAACTAGTTGATCTCAGACAGATGGCTTACACTCTCTAAGCCTTAGCTTCCTCAATTATATATTTCCAATTGGAAACAATGACTTATTCCTTGAGTAAGTATTATGTGTTAGGCACTGTTATAGACCTTTATATGTGCTAACACTTTAATCAGCCCATGGCTATTTCCATTTACAAATAAGAGAACAGAGGCAAAGAAGTAAAAAAAAAAAAGTAGGGAAATTAGGCTGTCTCAGGGAACCCCCAGGGAAAATGAGGTAACCTTGGTATGAGTCCTCACCACTGTGACAAGACCCAAAAGCAGACATGCAGAGAAAAATTTAAACAAGATGTTTATCCACAAGGGCAGTTAGAGGAGGGAGGAGAGAGAGACAGTTAATTGGCCAACATGGTCAGATATCCATCCTGCTAGCAAATGCTATCTGGGTGCAAATCAGGGGCTAAAGAAGCAAGAGTACCTACCTGCCTTCTGTGTTACATAGGTACACCTAGCTGCTCACCTCCACTCCTAGTTCCCAATAGCTTCTCTGCTCAGGAAGTCCAATTCATGGCATACTGGGACTTGTAATCCAAGGTGGCTGCATGTAAGCAGGCCTGGGGAAAAATAATGCCTGTGCACTGCACTGCAATGTTCCTCCCACCTTTCAAGGAGATGCACTCTATAACAAGGTCACAAAGGTAATGAGTAGGCTAAGGCTTATTTAAATCCTGAGCAATTTCAGAGCTTTATGCACCCTCTTGCCCACTGCATATTGTTCAGCAAGTTTCTAGTCCATCATAGTCACTTCAATTATCACTTCCTCTGCTCTTTGCCAAGTTGTGCAAAATCCATTTTTCTTGTTCATAGAAGTACCTTATCTTATGGAATAGGATTACTGTCACAAAGGCATTCATTATCTAACATTAAGATGATATCAGTTAAAAAATATATCACACTTTGTGTCTTCTTTTTTCTGCACAGTTGATGGTAAAAGGAGCTATCTTTCTTAGTGGACAAAATGAAATCAGAAACAAAGGTGTGTGTTGAATATAAATACACTCATTTCTAAACATCTCTACCTTCATTATCCTTTCTTTTTTAAGTCAAGAGGTTAGGAAGTATACTTAATATTTTGATTTGTAGCTGCAGGGTAATAGCTAACATGGCCTAGAGTAAGCTACTAAATATTTTGTTGGCAATTTCAACTTGTTCCTATTATTGCCAAGTTATCAAGTACATTCTAGGAAAGTGATATCCCAAACCCAAAGTGTTACTGCTAAAATTATTAAATTCCTTATTTGTATATATCATTTTTATTACTTAATTTTTTGCCATCAAAATAAAACCCAGGGCCTCACCGGTGGTGCAGCAGTTGAGCGATGTGTTGCAAAGCTGCCCGCAGCCTCTGCAGCGCCGGTTCGATCCCCGGCTGCTCCCCGACCACCAGAGGAGGGTCCCACAAGGCGCACAGACCTCTCCTGCCGCCCGCTGCTCCCCTCAGCAGTGTACTTCGGTCCTTCTGCCTGCTCTGCTCCCCGCTCTGGCTCTGGAGAATTCTCTCACCCTCCCACGCTTTTGGCTGTACCCAGTGCTTGTATAAATAAATAAATAAAACTTTAAAAATAAATAAATAAATAAATAATAAAACCCAATGGTTTTGCTCATTCTGTCCCTAAGCCTTTCTCTTTTATTGACATGTACACTGTAAGTAAGGAAATTGTTGGCATTGTGTGTGCTGATGACATCTGTTCACACAGCCAGGAATGGAAGCTTCTCTTTTCCAATCAACATCAGTGCCGATCTGGCTCCTGTGGCTGACATGCTCATCTACACCATTCACCCCAGTGGGGAGATTGTGGCTGACAGCGTCAAATTCCAGGTTGAGAAGTGCTTTAAAAACAAGGTGATGTTTCCTTTATTTCTTGCCTCTGAGTGGGGTGAGCAGTTTTCTCCCTATGTCTCCTTCTTCTCTGACTAATGTCACCTTACATGTTAATCACCATAAATGTTGCTGTCATTAAATCATAGGGGATGACAGAAAATCATCTTTGGCCATAACACCAAGCCTAGATGACAGGAGGTGGGTAAAGGGCTTTAAGGGGAGCTGAGGAAGAGATTAAGCAGGAGAAATAGCAATACAAAACATTTATAAAGATTTGTTTGGGAAAAAAATGAGTATATTCAAATAATTTTCATGTAATCATAACATTTTCTTTCTCTCTTAAGGTCAGCATAAAGTTCTCCAAAGAGCGGGGTCTACCTGGCTCCAATGTTCGTCTCTATCTTCAAGCAGCCCCTGATTCATTCTGTGCCCTCCAGGCTGTGGATGAAAGTGTCCTTCTCCTGAAACCTGAACAAGACCTGTCACCCGAAACTGTAAGCTCTCAGATTATTCTCTTTGAGTCTCTTCTCCTTTGCTACAGAATTTCTTCCTGCATTTAGCTGAGGCTTTTTATTTTAGTGTTATCTTTACTCATATCTTTTATAATACCCTAACCTCACTTTTCTTCTTACCTAATCTTTTTTTTCACATTTTGTTTAAATTTTATTTTTTATATTCCCCATACAATTACAACCCCCCTATTTTGACCCCAAGCCCTCCTTTCCCCACCCCCCACCCCCCCATAGAGTGTCTCTGGATTTTGATATTTTCTTTCTTATAGTTATTCTTTTTCCTGGTCCCTTATTTAAGTTTTCTAGATTCCTGCTATGAGTGAGACCATCTCATTTTAAAGTAGCATCTTCTGGATCAGATAAAAGACAAAATTTGCAAGCTGACCATATAGATCTGAGACATACAGCAGGGAAAGTGAGGGGGAGGGTCCCAAAAAGGGGAGGTGAAGGTAGATTTTGGGTGCTGTGGTGGTGGAAGAACTACAGGGACTGCACCTGAGGGGAGAAATCAAATACTGTCCAGAAATTAACAACAATGTAAGAAAATAAATACAAAAACTAAAGTAGCATCTTTCCTTCTTTGTCAGAACATATAACGTTTACATCCATTTTTGATTCACATCCACAAAGTTTTTCCTGTTTCTTTTGTTACCTTTTGGTTGCATAAATTTTGCTTATTTAAAATTGTTTTACTAAAGCTTTGTTATGAGATCAGTAGGAATCTTTGGTTCCTACTTTCTTTTCTTGAAAATGGTACTCTAACATTGCCTTGCTTAGAAGATTGTTTTTAAGAGTTCTGACAGGGCCTCCCTGGTGGCGCAGGGGTTAAATCTCAGAGGTATCAAGCTATCCCAACTCCCTGGCCAGGGAGATAACCCACATAGCATAACAGACCTCTCACTGTCTTGCCTGCTGCTCCCTTCAGCAGTGTATTTCAGTAGATCCGCCTGTTCTGTTTCCCAGAGCCTGTTCTGCTCCCCACTCTGTCTCTGGTTAATTCTCTTACCCTCCCCCACAACACCCGCACCTGTGGCCTATACCCCAGTTCTTGTATGCATAAATATAAATCTTTAAAAAAAATTCTAACCTAAGTCTGAATCATTTGACCTTGTAATTACATGATTTTTTTTTGCCTGAGATATTGAGGGGTTTATTTCCTTTATATTTAAGATTCAATAGTTTTAGTAAAATCTCTCTCAAAATGTATTGTTTGGGAGAAAATTTGTCATCTAATCAGTAGCTCCAGGTGATGTGTAAATTCAAATCTTTTCCTCTCAGAATTTGTCTTGAATTCTAATTTTAAATATTAGTCTTTCCATTGCTTTCCCCTCTTCTAGAAAAACTTTATTGGATCTTCTCTTGGAATTACTTTCCAATTCAGTCACTTTCCCTGTGGTCCATTTTAATTAATTCTTACAGCTGCAATGAATTACCAGTACACTAAGCCTTGGATTAAACACAGGTCTTCAAGCATCTCTCCTACATGCTACTCCACATCTTGCATCACAGTTAAAATATTGTGTGAACATGATGTTGATCACCTAAAACACAGTTGAAGCTTTCCTCTTCTGGAAGAATGAGTTGACCCAAAAGTGTTGGATTAGATATTAAAGCTATGCTCTTCAAGGAAAGAATAAATGGTTATGGAAAAAAAAAAGCCAAATTTTTAAAAATAAAAGCAGCACTTAAAGTCATCGAACTATCTGCTCTTTATTGTAGGTGTATTACTTGCTTTCAAACATAGAACCATATGCTTATTCCTATATTGGTCTCAACCTTGATGATGGCAAGGTAGACCCTTGCATTCCTCAGACTGATATGTTTTACAATGGCTTGTATTATATACCCATAAGCAACTATGTGGATGGAGATATCGATTTTATTGTCAAGGTAAGATCAAAAATTATTTCAGTTCAATCTCAGTTTTAATATTCATAATGCATGGTTACATTTTATTAATTATATTGTTTTCTTCTTATTCTTTGTGATCAATGTCAGTAAGCTATTTAAAGAACACTCAGAAATTGTCTTATAAAAAGGAGGTACTAATTTTTGCTGATTTTCTTTCTTGTTGAAAATAAGTGGTGTCTAAAATGATACAACTTCATGTTCAAAGCAATGAGAGAGACTTCAATTTATTGTGAAAAGTATTATGCATAAATCATCAAATCAAGAGGCTAAATATTGTCTGGGTTCCATCTTTATCTAGGTATCATTAGTTATCCCTTCTTAAAAAGATCTTTATAATTGAAATCACAGGTATAGAAGAATAGGGGCATAGAATTAGATATTTTAGTTTAAGTACCAGCTCTCCAGATTACTAACTGTCCATTGCATGTGTGTTTCTGTGTGTGTGTGATGTTAATTAGGGTAATGCCTACCCTATAACTATTTTTTTCTTAGAAATATATTGAGAATATGTAAAAATACTTAGCAAAATTGTAGCACTAAGTGCTAGATAAAGCATATTGATTATCTATTTTCTATCTAACAAAGGTGACTTGACTTCTAAAATCCCAGTATTAACTCAATAAAAATATATTTTAAAAAAATTCCAGTCCCTTGCTAGCAGAGGTAACATGTATTTAGCATCTATTTGTCATCCCCCTTTTAAAGTCCTGTTACAGGTCTTGCATAAAAGGAATGCACCACTTTTCTTTTGTTGTTTGTTTCTTTGAAGAACATGGGTCTGAAAGTCTTTACTAATCTCCATTACCGGAAACCAACAGTTTGTTCAATGGGGGTAAAGATGCCATTCTTTAGGCCATTTTATGGAGAAGCAGGTGGATATGAGATGATGTACAGCGTCGCATCAAGGAATGCACGTGAGTCATCCAGAATTTTGCATGTGAGAGATGGCCAAAGGATTCATGGAATTTGGACATATGTGGGATAAAACTCTAAATATTAGGATTTCATGTGTAAATTACGCCATGCTTTTGACTACAACTAGACATCCTTCAGTTGAATAAAGTAGAATAAGGCAGACTGGAAATATGTTTGATAAAAAGGAATAATTAGTTACATATATGATAGGGAGGTTATTTTTACTGGTAGAATATGATATCAAAAAGTATATAGGAGGGGCCTCCTCGGTGACGCAGCGGTTGAGCGCTGGGTTGCGAAGCTGCCCGCAGCCTCTATGGTGCCGGTTCGATCCCTGGCTGCTCCCCGGCCACCAGAGGAGGGTCCCACATGGCAGGCAGACCTCTCCTGCCGCCCGCTGCTCCCCTCAGCAGTGTACTTCGGTCCTTCTGCCTGTTCTGCTCCCTGCTCTGGTGAATTCTCTCACCATTCCGCACTTCTGACTGTACCCAGTGGTTGTATCAATTAGTCAATAAATAAATCTTTTAAAAAAAAAGTATATAGGAGCATGCAGTGTGATTGAAATGGGAGGACAATCATTATAAATATGGTACAGGAAAATGTGGTGTTCTATTAAGGCCCTTGTACCTTGTACCTTATTATACTACATCCCACTATGCAGAGTTCAAGGTAGAGGAAATTTTGACTCCCAGAGTCAAGCAGCTAACATCAGAGAAATGTGTTCAAATACTAGCCCATTTTCTATTGGGAAGACCATAAGCACAAAACAGCCTTCATCCTAGCTGAATAAGTAATTTGGCAGATTTCTAATAGAGAAATTTAGTCAGAGAAACAAAATGAAACAAGGTTATCACAACAGAAACCAAATCAAAGCTGTGTTCCAGATGTGAAAATACTTGAGTGACATTCTTTAAATCCCTTTGATTTAACATTGAGATTAGTCCAGTACTTGAACTTGGACTGATCCTGAGATGAGTATCAGAAAATCCACTTCAGAAACACTAATGCCCTGACAAATTTATACAAGCAGATTCAGTGAGTACTGAAGAGACACTATGAAGTCCAGAAGTTAAGTCCTAGTCTACAGTCTGCAGACTTTTCTGTTACTAGATCATACCATATTTAGTGAACTTTATCAGAAACATCTAAACGTTTCCTTATCTTTGAATAAAATGTACTGAAATCCAAAGTCACTCATTTTATTCTCCACTTCTTTAGTTCTTCATTAATTCAGTCAATAAACCTTTGCTGTGGCCAGGATCCTAGTTACATATTGTAAATTCAGTGGCTTAGTATTTGTTTTCCTAGAACTTTTAGTCTAACAGGAAAGCATTACAGTGAAAGAGGTAATTCCTAAAATCAAGGAGGAGAGTATTAAACAGAAAGAATATGAATAGGAGAGATGTAAATTTCTCAAGGGGCTATTATGTCCTACTAGAGGAAGTAGCATTCATACTAAGACCTGAAGATGAATGATAATACACCACAAAAAGAGTTAGAAAGACATTCAGAGCAGAGAAGAAAGTACAATGAAATATTAGTCAAGAAACTAAAAGCACATCAGAATGGTAGGAGTTATGGCTCCAGGGTAAGAGTAAAAATACTAGAGCAAGAACAGAAAGTAGGCAGATCACAAAGACCTTGAAGGCTATTTGGAGTTTGGAATGTTAATGCAGTATCATTTTATTTTTAGTTGTATTTTTTTAAAAGATTTATTTATTTATTTATTTATTTATTTATTTATTTATTTATATATTTATTTACACAAGCACTGGGGACAGTCAGAAGCATGGGAGGGTGAGAGAATTCACCAGAGCCAGAGTGGGGAACAGAACAGGCAGACCGACGAAGTACACTGCTGAGGGGAGCAGCAAGCAGCAGGAGAGGTCTGCGCCCGATGTGGGACCCTCGCCCAGCAGCTGGGGATCAAACTGGGGCTGCAGAGGCTGCGGGCAGCTTCGCAACCCAGCACTCAACTGCTGCTCCACCAGGGAGGCCCTGCAGTATCATTTTAATGTAATAATATACCACTGACAAGTTTAAGCAGACATTCTGTGTTTTTAAAAGATATTTCTGGCTGCTCTGCGGAAAAAGGGATAGGATTTAGGCTGCTAAAGGCTAAAGACTTATGGAATTTTATTAATGCTAATAATTAAATTGACTTATAAAAAGGAAGTAGAAATGGAAAAATGTAAGATAATTTTTTTACATCATTTTTCATTTTTAAACAATATTTTCTTTCCCCCACCCCCTCAGGTGTAGTCACCTTAAAGTTTCCTTCACCAATGCACCATGCACATAAATTTAAGAACTGTTTTCAATTGGCTGGTTATGGAAAATGCATAATGGGGTGTGGGACAGGGTTCAGAACAATTTTTAAGTTTCTGGTGTTGTTAAATGGGTGGGTTTTGGTATTCTTTATAGAGATGAGAAGTGTTGGATAGAAGAAGGGAGAGTATATGATTGGGACACTTCCATTTGAAATGTTTATAAGACATCTGCAAAGAAATGTGCCCAAGGATGTTGCAGGCACAAGTCAGAGTTCAGAGAAGAGGCCCAGGTAGAAGGGAAATTCAGGAGACAGCAGCAGAAGTACTATGATGGGAGCCATGTGTGAGGATCTCAATGGGGAGACAGGTGCTTAGAAGCCTAAAACAGAACTCTTAGGAACCCATCCAGATGTAGAGATTCCATCCTCAAATGAGAAAGACAAAACAAGAGTGTCAAAGAGGTGAGAAGAAATCTGGAAGTCTTAAGAAATCTGGAAGTCTTGGGACTGGGAAGGACACAGAGGTTAAGATTATCAAATATAGCCCAGAGGCCACACAAATGGCGAAAGTATTCCTTAGGATTACCGATACTAAATCATTACGAATTTTAGCAAAATTAATGTCAGTTAGTGGAACTGGCAGGAACCAGAGTGCTTTCTGGAGGACACCTGAATGTCAGCTGAGAAACTTAAATCAGTGAAGAGACCTCATTTTCTCTAAATCTGGCTGTGGAGGAAAAAATGTAAGCAGATTGTCAGTTTTGCTTGTCTGGTGTTGGTTATAATACTGAGAGAGACTTGAACATGGAAATGCTAGTGCCTGGGGTGAGATGCACATTCACATCTCAGGCAGTGCCCTCTAAGAGCTAATCCCACATTGCTTCACACTAAGCACACATGGCTGCCAATAGAGCTGAGGTGTGTGTCACTGAAACTTGGGTGTTCATTCTCTCTAAATAACGCGTTTCTCTTTCTTTTTAGCTGATGGCATCCTCACACCTATATTTGCAGAACAGGCTATAGTGGAAACAGTAAGAACAAAGTTTCCAGAGACTTGGCTATGGAACCTCGTTAGGGTCAAGTGAGCCCTTAACAATTTTCTTTCCTATGTGTCTTTATTTCAATTTTCATTTTGATTTTCTTTCTTAAACTTTATTTCTGGATATATAAAGCAGTGCCAAATTTGTAAAAATATGTAACATCACCTTTTTTTGCATTTATTTGTAACTGTACAACTGAGGGTACTCAGAGACCCCAAACTGTAAAGGGGAAAAACCCATTTTGCACATTCTAAAGGGTCCAAGCATCCATGCACACAAAAACAGAGAAAGCAGACACTTAGTGTGAAAGATCTTCATCTTTCACTGGTGTGGAGAGAGACAGAGACAGACAGATAGGCAGAGACAGACAGAGAGAGAGAGGGTGAGGAGGAGAAAAGATTTCAAATAACAGACTCCTGATCAGACTCTAAATATTACCCATCCCTTGTGGGCAAATGCCAGTTAAACAGGCTTCAAGCACAGTGGGCAGGCCAAGGTTCAAGTGCTTGCCACAAGTCTAAGGCACCTTCAGGTCAGGACACACGAGAAAGGGGCTAGGCAGGTACCGGAGGAGGACAGAGAAACCTGAAATTCAAAATGCACCATATGCTCCACTATGACGCCAGGATAGTGGTTGTCATTTCTCTGCCAAAAATGCTAAAACCACCAGGAACAAGGAGCAAGTGCAGCTTCCCCGCGTGTTTCTCACCCACATGCCTCTTCTCCAGTGTCTCTTCCTTCAATCTATCCTCCATATATCTCTCTCCACGTGTCTCTCCTGCCTCCTGTGTTCCAACTGCAATATCTATCTGCTTCGCCCCTTCTTCCTTCCCGTTTGGGAAGCCTGGTTCACTGCATGCTGGGAATTGTAATCCAAGGTGCTGAGATGTCACCAGCAGGACAATGGGGGTGGAGTTCATGAAGAACATCATTCACTGGCCTGGAGTTTGCTCCTCACTGTTCCACTGACAAAATGATGACCTATTTTTTCCCTCTGGCATTGTTTCTCTATTAATTTCATGCAGGTACATATAAGCTACCTCAATTTTTAAATAATAATGTGATATTTAAAGAAATATTCAGAACAGATGTGATGCTATACTTCTCAATCATACACAGAACCATAAACCATTTTTACTTTAATAAAAAAAAAATGTGATCTTTTGAATGTTAAATTTTTTAAAAATCCAGCGCTCAAGATCTGTATCTAATGTCCTGTCTAACACTATAATTCATTTTCAACCTTCAGTTAATTCCTTTTTGCTTACTCTGGATTAAATTTAGGTTCCTGCTTTAGACAAAGCATGCCATTTACCAATAATCTATCCTTGCAGTTCCTCAGGCTCAACAGACCTTTCATTCTCCATCCCTGATACTCTAACACAATGGAAGGCCAACAGCTTCTGTGTAAATGGTGATTATGGATTTGGCATCTCATCAACAGCCACCCTAGAAGTCTTTCAACCTTTCTTTGTTGAAATGACCTTCCCCTTCTCTGTTGTTCGAAATGAACGATCTGATTTGATTGTCAATGTCTTCAGCTACCTGAATACCTGTGTAGAGGTGAGTGCTTCTTTTAACCTGGAGGCAAATAAACAAGGGCAAAACATTCCTTAATATATTCTTTCACTACTGCCATATTATTTTTATTCTCAACTGCAAAATTGTCCTCTAAAGGGATAAGGCTTGTTTCCATATTACCCAAATGAAAACAATTACTTTAACGCACAGCAATGATTTAAATACTGCTTTGAGAATGTCATTCCATAATGATATGTGTTCTACCATATTTATCATGTAACAAGTGGAGTCATTTAGTATCTTTTATTTTTGCAAACTTAAAACAAAATAGATATGGGGGCCTCCCCGGTGGCTCAGTGGTTGAGTGCTGGGTTGTGAAGCTACCCGCAGCCTCTACAGCGCCGGTTCGATCCCCGGCCACAGGGCGAGGGTCCCACATGGTGCGCAGACCTCGCGGCTGCCTGCTGCTCCCCTCAGCAGCGTACTTCATCAGTCTGCCTGCTCTGCTCTCCGCTCTGGCTCTGGTGAATTCTCTCACCCTCCCGCGCTTCTGACTGTACCCAGTGCTTGTATAAATAAATAAATAACTCTTTAAAAAAAAAAGAGATACAGCAGCATTTTTCCAAAATGGGAAAAGGAGTAAAAGCAAAGTATTTATAGTGCTACCCTTGATGCATAATTATTTTTTTAGATTTCTGTTCAACTGGAAAGATCTCAGAATTTTGAGGCAAATATCAGCACCTCTAAAAACAATGGGAATGAAATTATCCAAGCTGGAGAGAAGAAAACCTATATCTGGACTCTTCTACCTAAGAACTTAGGTAAGCAACTGTGTGTCTATGGCATTCTTTCATGGAAAGCCAGCCCATTTTTTTTTTTTTATAGAGGCATGTTTTATTTATTTATTTGTTTGTTTGTTTGTTTGTTTATACATGCACTGGGTACAGTCAGAAGCGCGGGAGGGTGAGAGAATTCACCAGAGCCAGAGCAGGGAGCAGAGCAGGCAGAAGGACCGAAGTACACTGCTGAGGGGAGCAGCGGGCGGCAGGAGAGGTCTGCGCGCCATGTGGGACCCTCCTCCGGTGGCCGGGGAGCAGCCGGGGATCGAACTGGCGCCTCAGAGGCCGCGGGCAGCTTCGCAACCCAGCGCTCAACCACTGCGCCACCTGGGAGGCCCCACCAGCCCATTTTTTTTTGCCTCTCCTTATTGTCTTCAAATACCCTATACAATTTTCTCCCTCATATTCCTTTTTTTTTTTTCAATTTATCCATAATTCCTTGTGGTTTTTACAATAAAACTAAGTTCTAGGTCATTAAAAAAAGAATGAGGCAGGATAAGGATATATATGATTCATACACTTTCCCAGGATATTTAATTATGGATTTAGCATAATTAAATATGCCCAGTAGGGCACAAAGTCTTCATTTTGGCACTGGAGAACAGGCAAGGATGGGTTTGGGGAAGGCCATTTGAGTCTTATTCTTTAATGTCTTTTAAACTGTAGTAGAATGTTGTCCTCTATGCATTCTTCCTTTTACCCAATTACAATCCCTTCTCCATACTCCCTCCAATATAAAGAATAATTGCTAAACCATCTGACATCCTTACCATAAAATACACTTATTAACTTAAAACAGCAAATAACTTTACATTTTTTTAATGAGACCTATAAGAGAAAATCTAAACATCTATTCTCTTTCTCTTTACCTGATCTACTCTCACACTCTTTGGCACTTGCTATTCATCTGCCTGAAATATTCTTGCCACAATTACTCTACTGGATAAATCATTCTTTAAGGTGTCAGTTTATTCTTCCTTTCATTGGAAATAGCCCTCTCATTCTTGATTATTCTTTATAAAAATTATCAATTAAAAATCCTCTTTTCATAATCTAATTTCTGGTTGCTAATGCTTGGGTAGAACAATCATCCTTCATTTGTGTAAAAATTTAATGTAATTGAAATGCAATTGAAATGCTAATTTGCATGACCTATCAAGTCCATCCATCATATCCCAAATGAAGGCCTTATTTTCACTAATGTTGCCCAATTCTTTTAGTCCTCGCTTGCTCTGTCACCTGTCATCATGAACTTATGTCACCCAAACAAAAATTGCTCCTCACTCTAAATGATTGCTAGGAGTTGCAAATTTACTAAATATATCATGAAACACCAAAAAAACTCAACACTGGATGGGGATTAAGCAATGATATGAGCATTGTCTTGGTGCATGTGCTATCTGCAATACAGAAAACAAATCTGAAAATATATTGTTGGAAATATTAGGAAAGGGAAAAGTTAAAGCATTTAGTAAATAAAGAATGCTAAATGTAATGGCTGCAGAGTAGTCCTTATCACTAATTAAAACAAATTGAGTCATTAAAATTTCCTTTATTTCATATCCCATATTCCCTGTATTAACTTAGCAGCACAGAGCTTATTTATGAGATCATTTTAGTTCACCTGTGACACTGGTCTTCTTAGGACCAATTTTCCCATTAATGTTTAGTCCTCTCATTTTTTTCTAAGCACACAAGGTCTTCAAAAATCTTACCCTGAAAACTGATACAGAAATACTTACCAACTTGCATGATTTTATGACATTGAGTAGAGGATAAAATTCTATTAGTGTAATAGCAAAGACTTACTAAAAAGAAGCAGAGAAAATAGAACACCCAAACAAGAAGAAAAGTATATTAATTAACATATTGGCATATTGGCATGCAGGTAATATTAAGCCAGAAGAATTATCTTTTTCTTTCTTGTAATTTTTATAAGTAAAGAAACTAGAGGTCAGTTTTAATTACATGACCTATGAGATCACAGTGTTAAAAACAATAGATCCCTTGCTGACTTGATTTAAATCCAGTGCCTTTTCCATTATATCATATTTTATTATCTTTGTTTGATCTTAGGAAAAATTAAAAGCTTTGGTTATCATGTTATGTTCCTATGTTGTCATATATAACCTTTATAAACTATCAATATAAAGGAATTGTCTTGTTTCACTTTGCAAAATATTATCTTTCTTTGAAATTTTTTTGAGTTCTTATTTAATATAAGGAATCATGAAACAGGAAAATCAGAATATATCAATGTATCTCCAGGCAGGAGAAAGAGTAACTTTAATCTAAGTACGATAACTGAATTCAGTTCATCCAATTCAAGATGTGGTTTACAGACTAATCATTTTCCATGGTAAAGAGAGAAGTTTCTAATTTTACTCGTATTTGGGAATGTTTTCTAGGTAAAGTCAATATCACGGTAGTTGCAGAGTCCAAACAAAGCAGTGCTTGCCCACACAAAGCAAATGAGCAGGAAAATCTAAACTGGAAAGATACTGTGGTTAAGAGTTTGTTGGTAAAGGTATGTACATATAAAGCTGTCAGACTCGTCCAGGTAAGAACCAGATAGTATTTAATTGGTTAAATATTAAAAAAAAAATTCTCAAAGAGACTTAATTCATTGATGATAGTTTCTTTTGACCAAAGACATGCCATTTTAAAAATGAATTAAAACAGCAATAAAATTCATCTTTTCTTTAATATATACCTGACCCCTGATCCTAAAACTTAACACTTGAAACAGACTTGATGATTTTGGGTTTGATCCTGACCAGTGACATTTCTAATATACCTATTCTACTTCCTTCCCTCATCTTAATGGATCTCAAATCCGAGACATACCTACTTGTCCTCACTCCTATGTGGTTCCTATCATCCTCAGAAAGAATTAGTTTTCAGGGGAACGTTCTTACCTCACCTCTTGGCATGTTCCTACTCTGCTATACTTCCATTTGTCTCCTGGAAATGCTAGGCTGGATCAAATAAGTGTCCTGAAATGACAAAGTTATCTCTACCTGTGCTAAGTAAATACAGGCTCTAAAATGGGTGTGGGTGATGTACAGTGACTTCCAGGTGAAAACAGAGAGGGATATAGAAAGGACAATCTCCCAGAGCCAAATCTGTGCCAGCTATGCCTATGTGAACTGGTATTTGATTATTTTTCCTTTATGGAAAGATGACCCAGACTCACAATTTTATGTTTGATTTTTTTGTTTGTTCTTAAACAGTGTGAAGGTATTGAAAAAGAAGTGACTCAAAGTTTCCTTATCTGTGCAAAAGGTAAGAGGATCTGTTAGATGGTCAAATTAGTCCTAAAGAAAACTGACCAACAGGGTCTATTTATTTTGCTCTTTCCACATTCATTCACTTGCTACACTGAGTCCCTTAGGATTTTATTTATTTATTTTATTCCCTTAGTGATTTTATTCTAGTGATTTTATAAAATCCTCTACTAGAGGATGGCTTTATTTCATGTCCTGTCTTCATTGTATAATTTTACCAAACAAAGAGTCTTTTGATGAGATTGATGAGATTCTTTTTAGGTCACTTATGATATTTATCTGCCTCAGTCTATTTTTCCCTATTTTTGACACGCAATTGTGGCACAGCAATGGAGAGTGGAAAACCAGGATTATGCCCCAGTGGCACATAATATAATCTTTTCTTTTTGCACTCTTTACATGAAACAACACTCTGTTAGTCACTGCCCCTGAACCACCTGCTTTATGACCTTCACCAGTTTTATTGATTGATGATGATCTGATCTTAATGCCTAATAGGGGTCTCCATGGATTAACTTTTGTTTGTGCTATTTTTTATATTATCTTCAGTTGTTTCTTCTATGTTTTCATACATTAATAGCTTAGGCACTAAACTAATAGAGAATAGGAGCCATTATTATACAGATTTATATACCAGTTTCTTTTTTTTTAAAGATTTATTTATTTATTTATACAAGAACCAGGGCACAGGCCAGATGCGAGGGAGGGTGAGAGGATTCACCAGAGACAGAGTGGGGAACAGAACAGGCAGACTGACGAAATACACTGCTGAGGGGAGCAGCGGGCAAGGCAGGAGAGGTCTGCCACACCACGTGGGACCCCTGCTGGCCAGCAGGGATCGAACTGGCACTGTGGAGACTGCGGACAGCTTCACAGCACTGTGCTCAACTGTCTGCACCACCAGGGAGGCCCTCCCTATATACAACTTTCTGAATGTATTGTTACCCTAAACTAGATCAAAACCTCAATTTTATCTAACCAGCAACTTATAAAATAAAAACAAATGATGGAATGAATTTCCTAATATCTCTGTCCCACAAATCTGTTGTTATTGTTTAGAAAAGGAAATCATCACTTTATATTACTGATGTTTTCTTTCCAGGTACCAAAGTCTCCAAGCAAATCATTTTAGACTTGCCAAAAAATGTAATAGAAGGATCAGCCAGGGCCTTTTTCAGTGTTGTGGGTAAGGTGATTAAATTTTGTGCTTCATAGTGATGTGAAAGTTTTGATTAAGGTGGTCTCGAAAGAAAATCCTTAAAAACAGGAAGGAGAGATTTTCTTACACTACCAATTGCAGGGCATTATTGTTGAGGATTATCTTCTATGCTTGTTTCCATATGAGATCTGAAGGGATTACAGTTCCATTTTCCAAATCTGTGTTCCTAAGACCCACTTGTTTTGAGGAATGATAACTGGTATTTAGAAAACAAAGGGTTCTATTATAACTCATTAATCTGAAATATTAAATTCCTCTCTGGCAAATCAGAATAAATACTGGTTATTAAAAATGCTGGGAATTTCCTCATTAATGGGAAAAATCTGTTTTACAAAAGTCAAACTTCTTTGTCTATCATCAACATTAGCATTTGGGGAGTAGGAACAGATTACAGTTTACAGTGTCAGTTTCTCAAAAACCAAATAAGCACAAAAACAAGCAAACACTTGCATTCCTAAACCCCACTTTTATGCTTCTCTCCTCTACCCAGTAAGACTTTCAGGAATATGTGTCATAACAGAACCCTGTTGACTTCACACATCTTCCTGCCTATCTCCTGCTTAGAATTACTTCATAAAACATTTCCTTGTCATTGAAATTCTGTTATTGCTGCTCACAAACATTAAATTCAATCAAAACATCAATAGCTTTGCAAGATCAATATTTTTAATATGTTTGCATTGCAACAAACATTTTGGCTAATGGATTTCACCCATATTGATTTCCATGGGAAAGGTTAGTCTGATACTGAAATAATTTAAAAAAAAAACAGGGATTATTGGTTTGGAATTTTCAAGGAGATAGAAGTATAAATATTGGTTATTGACTAAAAAACAAACAAAAAAAACCTTTCCTTGTTTCCACCTTCTAGACTCAATTTTAAATGTTTCTTGTTTCCACTATGCCTCTTTTATCTATTGTCATTAGTACCGAGATGCCAAATTTCAGCAATAGTAATGATCTACTTTTTCTATCTTTAGGAGATATTCTAGGACTTGCAACGCAAAATCTAAAGAATCTTCTCCAGATGCCCAGTGGATACACTATATTGGCAGGAGAGGAAAATATTGCTCGACTCGCATCTGATGCCTATCTCCTTGACTATCTGAAATCTACTCAACAATTGACAGAGGAAGTTAAATCTAAGATTTTCTTTTCCTTTTCTAGTGGTGAGAAGATTTAAATGAATTCTGTGTATAATCAATAAATTATAGAATATTTATAGGACTACAACTTTATAGAATAGTTGTGGCTAATACGAACATATCATAAAGCTGTTGTTACGAGGTAGTCTTGAAGAAAAAATGAATCTGAATTGGGGTACTCAGAGTCTTTGCTATATTTTTAGTTTTTATTACTTTTTTACTACAAAATCTATGTAGTCATATAGCCTCACAATTTTTCCATTTCAAAGAAGTGATTTGTCTGTACAAAAGGGTCTATAAACCTTGTAAAATGTGTTATCAAGAAAAAGTTCAAGGGTATAATGTCTTTTGGTCTTTTTTTTTTTTTAGAAAGATAACAGTGAAGTAAAATAAAGGAAAGGTATTTAACAATTAGTGGTGCCAATTATTGAGCTAGACACAGTCACATGTCATATCTTATTTGTTATTAAAATCCTATAAGGTAGGAGTTATTTTTCTCTCTCACCATGAAGGGAGAAGCTGAGCTTCAGAAATAAAAATTGGAATGATCATCCTGGTAGTTTATGTCTGACATTAAAACTCGGGGCTTGCACTAACCCATCCTTTTTCTCCTAACTTTCTTAGATTAAAATAATAATAATTTTCTACAATGTTGTATTTTAGGTTATCAAAAGCAATTGTCTTTCAAAAATTCTGATGGATCATATAGAGTGTTTTGGCTGAGCAATGATGAAGGAAGCACATGGTAAGAAATGACAATTTTAAATAATAAAGGAATTATCTAGGAGGGCTGGTGAGGGAAGAGATTTGAGTGAAGTGGGAATTAGAAACAAATTACATATCAAATTTACAGAGGTAATCACATAAAACTAAAATATTTGATTATTACAATTCTAATGCAATAATATATCTGTGGTCTCATGGAAATGTGATTAGGACTCTGATCATTTAATGACATATACATGGAATAAATGAAATATATATATCCCCAATATATGGAAAAATATATACATGCATACACACACACATACATACACACACACACACACTACATTCCAAAGCTTGCTAATTCCATGGAAATGGCAGGTCTTATTCTACATTCTGAATCTATGCCCATATAGATTCAGGAGACTAAACTCCTAAGGCCCAAAACATCTAATTGCATCTGATTACACCCATTCTGTCTCCACATATGGATAATACAGTGGAGCAAGAACTGTGTGGATAAACATTAGAAATTACCTATCTTTTTTTCATATACCCATCATATGCCTATCTTATTTTCACAAGTTATACTGTTCATAACATCTTATTGGCACAAACCCACTATCAATCAACTCATTGCAAAAACCTATATGATGCTACAAACCAATGTTACGTCAATAAAAATAAATGTTAACGATCATGCTATAATCAACATTAGCTAAATTCAGTGTATCCATTACCCAAAGGGAACAATGACAACACATGAATTGAGTAGACACCATCATCATTCCTTTCATACCTAACTTTTGTCTAACCAGCAATTTGCATTACAGGCTCAGTGCTTTTACTTTTAAGACATTAGAGAAAATAAAGAAACATGTTTTCATCGATGAACAAATTCAAAAGCAGACCTTAATCTGGCTGTCAAGCAAACAGAAAAGCAATGGTTGCTTTAAAAGTGATGGCAAACTTTTCAGCACTGCCTGGGAGGTGAGAGACTAACAGAACTGGGCCGTGCTTGCGCTTGGCATGTCTACCTTCACTAACTCTGGCCTCCCAAATCTGGAACATGAATATTTTTCTGATGACTGTGTTACCCCTTCTGAGTCTGCTCTCATTATAAGGCACTAGTGCCCTGGTCAGCAGCTTCATTACTATCGCCTTTAACCACAGCCTGAATGGGACTCATGAGCACATTGTTTGCTTTCTGCAGTCCTTTCATAGAACCAGTCCTCTTCAGCAGATGAACTGGAAATAGGGGAGCATGAAGAGAAAAGGAACCGAGAGAGGAAACATTCATAAATTTGGAGCCAAGCAATATATTAAGGGAGGGAGCCTTGAATAGGTAGTTCATCTAATTTGTGGATAGCAAGCAAGCCCATGAAAAGGATCTGGGGATTTATACCATTTAATGATGCACTCTTCTAATTGCTTTTGAAGTCAAACTATGAGAATCTTGTTTGCCCTTGGTCAAAATACATCTGGTATGAAGTATGTCTTTGACAATACCCACTCCTCCTCTTTTCCTGCCTCTGTTTAGTTAAATCTTCTAATTTCCTTTCTTTGAGGTAGATGTTCACCTCCATCCCATGGTATCTTCCCTAGCCGCCATGTTTTGCCTTAGAAACACAATCTCCAATCATGATATTTCAGCAGGCTTTGACATTCCCTGAAATATTCTGGGCTTTCCCTTGGTATACTTCTGAACTGCCACGCCTCTTCTTGGGTTTTGGAATATAAAGTTAATCTACTTCAAAATATGAATGAATAGCAACCCTGTATGGTATTTAATTTTAATGTGAATTATTTTCAAATTACTTTACTCTTATGTCATATGGAGAAATGTTCTTAATTATTCCAAACCTCTTCTTCACAATGGTGGGGGAGGGAGGACTTGACAAAAAAGATCTCTTGTTCTTACATAGAAAAAAAGGAGACTTGGGCCTCCCCTGGTGGCACAGGCGGTTGAGCGCAGTGCTGTGAAGCTGTCCGCAGCCTTTGCAGCACTGGTTCAATCCCAGCCGGCCGGCGAGGGTCCCACATGGCACGGCAGACCTCTCCTGTCTCGCCCGCTGCTCCCCTCAGCAGTGTATTTTGTCAGTCTGCCTGTTCCGTTCCCCACTCTGTCTCTGGTGCATCCTCTCATCAACCACATGTCTGGGCCTGTACCCCAGTTCTTGTATGCATAAATAAATAAATCTTTAAAAAAAAAAAGAAAAAAGAAAAAAAGTAGACTTTTACATATTCTTCTCTAAAACATCTCCTCCACATCATTCTTCTTGGATTCATTAGTAATCACTACTTCAATTTGTCTGACCTTACTCAATCCTTTTCTGTGATATTGTGTGTGTGAGTGTGTGTGTGTGTGTGTGTGTGTGTGTGTGTTTTCAATTGGGAGGGACAAAAAGCAAGGGAAAAATAATGCTGATCCAACTTATCATTTAAGTGTGTTGGCCCCTACATCTTGAGTGACCACCATCTGCAGGTATTTCACTTTGAAAATGGAGATCCCCAGGGACATTCCCTCCCTCTGAAGAAGAGGTCAGCTTTTAATTAAATGAATAAATGAAGTTTATACTTGAATGCAATTTGCGTCAGTATCACTAGAGCACCCTCTAAAATTCATTTCCTTGTATCTTATTCTCTGACTTTTAAAATCATAATATTTTGTGTGGATACTGGTTTATTTAATTCTTAAGTACCCCCCACTGAAATTTATACACAGCTTGAAAACCAAATAAATTAGGAATGGTTTTCTAATTTTACACAGAAAGAATCTGAGTCCTGATCACTGTCACCTCCCACTATACTTTTCTGGGAATGTTCAGGAAGCTTCACAGCAACTTTCTGCTCTGCCCCATCATAAATTGTTTGCTTTTCTAAATCAACACCAAATACAGTAAAATAGTTATATGAACTGTTTGGAATTCATGCTTAATGCCAGGTCATATAAATATGATTACAGGTGTCATTAAGTGTACTTGAGGTTCACTGTGTGTTTTATTTCATTATTATGGTGACTCTTGATGGATTATCACTCAGATAGCACAGTTATTGACTAACTCAAAAAATACACAACCTCAAGTGTTTTTATGAATGGCATTTGTTCCAGTGTTTCTTCCCTTCCTAACTTGGCTTCAGAAAATCAGCTGTTATTTTCTGCCTCTGCTATCCGATATGACTCCTTGTTCCTTTGTGTTTAGGGCGGAAATGAAGAGGATGTCTCACTCACTGCCTATGTAGTTGGAGCATTTCTTGAAGCTGGGCTCAATTTCACTGTATGGATTCCCATCATCTTTTAGTTTCAGTAAATGAAATGCACAAGAAATAGGATTCAGAATGATCTGAAATTCTCAGATTAATGACTGATTAATTAATGATTGATTGATTAATGATTAATTAATGAAATATGAAAATATGAAAAATTAATGAAATATGAAAAAATACTCAATTCATTATCACTCTTTAAATTGATATTACTCAGACTGATTTGATTCATAGAAACCTTTGGGAGAATATACTTATGCATGCACATGCACACACACGCACGTTTTTCAGAGCATTGCATGTATTTCCTATCTCCTGAAGTTCAGCAATGAACTTCAGTTTAAGAACTCCTGTTCTAAGTATATTTAATGTTCTCCTCATCTAAACAATTCAGTATGTGAACATTTTCAACTTAAGTGTGATTCATTATGGCTACTTTCCAATCCAAAATTCAGATTATCTAATTTAAAAAAATCTACAACTAAGATACTAGAAATATTTAGATTCATTAGTATATCTCGAAAATTATCTTTAGAAATATAAACCTCTATTTTAAGCACCAGAGTAAAATATCTTAGATATTTTATGTTTTTCTACCTAGAAGAAACTTACACTAACTAAAATACGACTGACCAGTATAGACAGGCATTTTCATATTACTTAAATTTTATTTCTCAAATACTAATACTTCCATTAAAATAAATTTCAGGAATATAGTTAAAGTATGATATATAAAGCATTTGGGTGTTATTTTAAAATACTTTATTCTTTCTAATTAGTTTCCAGCTCTACGAAATGGATTCTTTTGCCTGGAGGAGGCTTTGAAAAATGATGTCACTAATGGCTACACTCAAGCAATTCTAGCTTATGCTTTTGCATTAGCTGGAAAAGAAAAACAAGTGGAATCTTTACTTCAAATCCTGGATCAATCTGCTACAAAAACAAGTGAGTATTATTATTCCATTATGCTAATGGAGGTGACTGTGAACAAAGTGATGAAACTTAATTAGCATCACAGAGACCTCTTCACTAGTATATTTGTTTTTCTCTTCTGGAATTTTTCAGGGGCCCTTTATCTTTATTTTTTTATTTTTTTATTTTTTTTTAAGATTTATTTATTTATTTATTTATACAAGCACTGGGTACAGTCAGAAGCACAGGAGGGTGAGAGAATTCACCAGAGCCAGAGCGGGGAGCAGAGCAGGCAGAAGGACCGAAGTACACTGCTGAGGAGAGCGGCGGGCAGCAGGAGAGGTCTGCGCGCCATGTGGGACCCTCCTCCAGTGGCCGGGGAGCAGCCGGGGATCGGACCGGCACTGCAGAGGCTGCGGGCAGCTTGGCAACCCAGCGCTCAACCGCTGCATCACCAGGGAGGCCCGGGGGCCTTTATCTTTAAAGAACATCATATGTTTTCTATTTTCCTCTTCTTCCTTTTGTGCTAGTTTCTTTTCAAATAAGTTACTAAAGGCAATTTAACTTGGTGACTGCTGCACCTCCCCCTGCTGGTCCGCGGCAGGTGACTATGACATAAACAAAACAAAAATTACTTGTGAAACAATCACATACCACTTTTGACCTTAAAAAGTGGCAATTTGAAGACTTATAGTTGTTTTGTTTGATTTTGCTGGGGCTGCCATCACAAAACACCACAGACTGAGTGGCTTAAACAGCAGAAGTTTGATTTTTTCACAGTTCTGAAGGCTAGCAGTCCAAGATCAAGGTATTGACAGATATGATCTTCTCTGGTACCTTCTCTTCTTGTCATTAGAAGAAGGTCATTTTCTTCCTCTCTCTTCACATGTGTGGGAACATCCCTGGGGCCTCTTCAGCAAGTCCAAATTTCCTCTTTTAATACAGATACCAGTCATATTGGATTAGGCCCACTGTAAGGGTTTCATTGTATCTTAATTGGCTCTTTAAAAGCCCAGTCTCCAAATAAAGTCACATTCTGAGGTATGGAGTATAGGGCACTTGAACACTAGGCATAATTCAGCCCTTAATAGAGACCAAAATGGAATTTGCATCCTTTTATGTGTAGTCAGTGTGTTGTTTTCTTTTTTTTAAGATTGATTTATTTTTATACAAGAGCTAGGTACAGGCGCCAGAGGGTGAAAAGATTCACCAGAGACAGAGCAGAGAGCAGAACAGGCAGAAGACGGAAATACACTACTGAGGGGAGCAGAGGGCGAGGCAGGAGAGGTCTGCCACACCATGTGGGATTCTTGCCAGCCAGCGGGGATCGAACCAGCACTGCAGAGGCTGCGGACAGCTTCACAGGGCAGCGTTCAACCCGCTGCACAACTGGGGAGGCCCTAGCCAGTGCTTTTTAAAGGGATTGTGTGAAAATTCTTCTTCTTCCTCAGATAATTTGATATATTGGGAAAAGACAAAGAAACCTAAGACCAAAATACCTCCAGCTTTTATTCCCTGGATACCGTCTGCTGAGACAGAGAAGACTTGCTACGTGCTATTGGCTGTCATTTCCAGGAAAACTCCCGACCTCACCTATGCTAGTAAGATTGTGCAGTGGCTTACCCAACAGCTGAATTCCCACGGAACCTTTTCATCCAACCAGGTGATCGATATGGACCTGATATTAATAATGATATGATTAACACCTAATATGAAACTCTAAAAGAATCTAGGTAGCAAAAGTAGTGATAGAAAATGCCTTGTGAGATGAAGAACACTTGACTTTATAAATCTCATTTTATTTTATTTAATCTCAGTCATATCTGGGGGCAGTTATTATGTATCAGATACTCCACTTGGAACGACCTACATGAAAATGAATAGACTAAGGCCCTCATTAGGAAATTTGTGCCTGGTTTATATCTCCATTTAGATAGTAAAAACTGAATGTTGGTCTACAAGAGATTATTGCCATGGGGACCGGAGTCTTAGTCAGTTAGCTATCTGATGATACTATGGTCAAACTATGCAGCAATCAAGAAGAAAGTGTTTTCTCTGTTTCTATGATCTACCCATTGGGAAAAGCAAATGAAAGGAATGGGTCAGAGGAAAAAAGAGGCATAAGAAGCATTGATCTGTGTCTTTTAAAAGGAAAAACATTTTGAAATGCAAAGAAATACAATTTCATTCCCACAAGGAAATTCTTGACTTTCCGCCTTAGTTTTGTCTTAGCTTCTGAATAGTCATATGTTAGTCCAACACCCTTCCCGATGCTGACTTTCCTTCCTCGAAGATATCTGGGCACAAGCATTATCTAGGGCAGTCAAATTATATACCATCTTTTTTTTTTTAAAAAAAAAAGAGATTTGGCACTATTTTCAACAATAGCGATTGTACTTTATAAAATCCTTTAGAAAAACTAAAATCTAATTAAGCTAATTGCAGAATATTAAATGGCAACAACCTGCACAAGCAAATATATTTTCCTATGGTCAGGTTATTGCTTCTTGGTGTTCTATTCACCTGTCTTAGGAATATTTCTACGACCAAATGATGATGAATATCCCATCCTAGCAGAGCTCAGATTGTTGCTTGTTCTTTTCTGTGCAGGGCAACGCCGTCTGTCTTCTTGCCATAACCCGCTACGTGAAGTTAACCTTCTCCAATGGTCAAAACAAGGTTACCATCAGCAGTGAAAAATCCAAACAGATTTTCCAGATTAACAGTGACAACCGCTTACTGGTCCAACACTCAGAGCTAACCAAAACACATGGACAATACACAGTAGAGGTGGAAGGACAAGGTTGTATATTTACTCAGGTAATAGAAATCCACTGGAGAGGAAGACGGATGTTTGTTACTTAAAAAGATTGTTCAATTATTCATGAAGTGTCATTTTACCATCTTGCATATTGCCATGATTATTCTTCCTCTCACTGATATTTCCCAATCAACAGCTGAAAATGCAAATTATTTCATGAAGATTTTTGTGTCTTCTGAAAATTAAATTACATTTAGCCTTATTCTCTGATGGTAAAGATGTAAATAAAGTGCATTATAATGAAAATAGAGAAACAATAAACCCTTCAGTTTTTATTGCAAGATACGTGGATGGCTTTTCTTATGATTTGTTATCCTTTTTAGGTTACCCTGAGGTATAATGTGCCCCTCACAAAGGCGGCTTCTGGATTTTCCCTAGCCATGGAAATGGTAAAGAAAAACTCCTCAGATAAATTGCAGAGTAATTTTGACCTGACAATAACCTTCAAGTAAGTGTTATATTTTGAATCAACTTCCAGGTTAAAGAAAGAGTAACATATTAAAAAAATTTTTAAACAAGAGCAAAACACTAACCACGATGAGTTCACAGATCAGTGTGTGGTTTCTACAACATGGTCACTTAATAGCTCTCTAGGTATACACCACAATTTAGTAGTTCTTTAAATCACAGCTAGAATTATGCAAGCATGATCTGAATTGTATGCAAGTATAATTTGAAAGTTCTTGCCACACTGACAATCAAGCAATTCTTCTGTTTGTTGTTTTCTATTTTTTTTTTTTGCATGGAAATCTTGTCAGTTTTGGACAATGGACACTCTCTTTTTCTCTTTCAAGACAAGCACTTTAGGAAGTGAACCTTTAGGAGAAAATCAACAAATACTTCTTTTATACTTGTATGGAGCAACATTTCAGATTTCTATTTTTCAGAGTTGGAAAAAAATTTTTGTTTTGAAATCATTTATCATTCATAGATGCCAAAGAATTTCAGCCTTAGTTAACATGTGGACAAAAATTGAGTAAAATTAGTTAGGAATTTTTCTTAGGATTTTCTACTGAAAACCTCTTGACCCCAGAGCTAAGATGGAAATACAACATGGAATTCTTAATTTTTTTTCCAAAAAATTCTATTCAGAGTCAGAGGCATTACTTAGACTCTGGGGAAAATGTCTACTCTATGATTCTGCTAACACCCTGCTTTTTAAACAAAGATTTCCTTTAAGTATTGCTTAAATTAGACTAAAAAAAGTATATATGATATAAATGTATAAGATTTCTTTGTAAGTTCTGAATCTAAGTCCTCAGATAAGCCTAAAAACAAGGTTTGGGGAGATTCCAGGTCCAGATAATTCATTCTTTATTTCAACTTAAGTTGCTTTGTATCATCTCATTCATTATCACTCCAATTGTGCTTCTTCTCAGAAGTTTGAAAATGACTTTCTTCAGGTGTTCTTCAGATTCTGCCTTTCCTCCAGTATAGCTAATTCATATTTATGTACTGATCACCCTTAGTATTATGTCACTTTTCTACACTGATATTTAAACTAGTGTTCTGTTTATAAATTTCAGATATACTGGAATTCACAATAAGTCCAATATGGTCCTTGTTGATGTAAAAATGCTATCAGGCTTTACTCCAACCATGTCATCCATTGAGGAGGTAAATAACCGAAGCCCAATCTCAGCATAGAAAAAGTAGTAGAGGATAATGTTAGCACAGAAATAATTTGTTAGCTAAACCAAGTTATGAAAGTCTTCTTTTAAGCAAAGTTACTCATTCAGAGTTTCCATTTTTAGTTGTGCTGTAACACTGGAGGGATGGTGCTCCTAATTTATATTTATTTAGTTCCTATTTTGAGTTGATGAAAACATCATGACACATGGGAACAATCCATAAAATAGATTCCTTACAACTGGTTAAGTAAAGGTATGAAGAAATCAGTACTGGAATGGAACTCTTTAACATCTATCCTCCATCCCTTCCTGTCAATTTTTCAAAGCTTGAAAGCAATGGCGAAGTGACAAAGACTGAAGTCAAGAATGACCATGTTCTTTTCTACCTGGAAAATGTAAGTTGAACAGTGTATTTTTTTCTTCCATAACTTTCTTGTTTTCACCTGAGAGTAACTGGTATAGGTATATACCAATAGGGTTTTTTATTGATATATACAATAAGGTTTGTTAGAAAAATATGGGACATTAAAGAGGACTAGTGTTCTGTTCTACTACTAATTTCTCTCTTCCCCATTAATTCTAATTTATTCCCATTATGTGTTTGCTAACTTACTAGATAATTCTCAGGTTTAGAAACATCATTTCCCTGTTTTCTATCCTTCATATCAACTAACATAGTCTGGTCACAGAGTTAAGATATTATTCTTTTTATAGTTTGATTTGAACTTCAACAAAGGCTAGTGTGATTTTCACTCATATTTTCCAGGTGAACATCACTACCATTCATATAAATGCCTACATTACCCTAATGCCTCTAAATAAGCAATGAAAGATAAAATTTTATACAATTTCATGTTACCTAAGTCATTACTTTGTCATTTTATCAGATATCAATATTCTAGATCCATTTAATTGAGTAGATCATGAACTTTGGAAGATAATTTCTTCAGTGATTTTCTTTTTGCAGACATGCTCTGAAAAATTTGTAACTTGTATTTTATAGGTATTTGGTACAGCACAGCGTTTTACTTTCTCCGTTGAGCAAAGTAACCTTGTATTCAACATTCAACCAGCATCAGTTTTGATCTACAATTATTATGATAAAGGTAGGCAAGCAATAATCATGCCCTAAAGCTACTGAACATGATATTATATATAAGATTACCTGAACTATTACATTTTCCAACATCATCCTCCAAATATATATATATAAATATATATATATAAATATATATATATATAGTACTTTATACACACACACACATTTAGTCCCTGATATATATCTTTTTACTGGTCATTTTCCAGTTACCAGAGTTTTTTAATACTTATAATGCTTTAGATATAATGTTAAAAAGTACTCCTTTAATGTGAAATACAAATCATGCTAAATTTTCAGGACTTCTTGTTAATGCCAAGGCTTATCATTTCATCCAGCCTCTGTGACCTTTGATTTGAGAAAGGAAGTGGGAAACATTCTGAAATATTAGAGGAAACGCTTGACAGATTAACTTTCAAAAAAATTGCTAAGAAGTTAATAAAGAATTAAAATGTTTTCCCTGGAAAGTTAGTGCTATTAGTTTCTTACTGAAAGGCATAGAAAGTTTGTAAAGAAGTAATACTTCAATCCTGGCTCTGTCATTAACTAGTTGAATGTACTTCAACAAGTGCCTTAAATTGTAATAGGATATTTCTGGATTTAGAAAAAGAAGTGATAGACTGTCCTGCAATATCATTGGAAAGATTAGACCCTACTCTATCTATGTTTTCTGAAATAATCTGGTTATATAAAGTTGGAGATTTAATATGGTTGAACTTTCCCTCTACTTGCCAGATGAGTATGCCATTGTTTCTTACAACATCAAGAGTGTTGCAGTTTCCCAGTGATACAAAAAAGAAAACACAAGAAACGGTAAGGAAATACATATATTATAGACCACTGAACGCATTTAATAAGAAGATGGAAACTGAAAAAAAAAAAAAAAGGATGAAGCAAAAAGAAGTCTCTGGAACTATGTGCACTAGATATTCAATATAACAGTCATTAAGATTTCATTAATTTCTTTAAGATGGTTTAAAGAATTTGTAGCTATGCATGTGCCTTCTAAAAGTCTCATTAAAAAACTCAACTTTATTTTATACATTGATGTCAATAAGTATGTGTATATATGGATACACATTCATGTATGTGTTATATGGCTTATATGTCTTATATGTGTTATATTGGCTTGGCTTTATCTGTGTGTATATATATGCATGTTTGTTTCCATCTATATAGTTATCTATATATGTGTATACATGTGCACACATTTAATTGTTGTTTAACTATGTTTTTAAATTCCAGGTGCAAAGCTGTTTACTTTGAACAAAATCATTCTTTTGTATCAAACCTGGAAGAAAGCCATGTCATGAACCATCTCACATCTGGAATAGTCTAGAATCTGCTACAACTTTGTATCAGATGTTATTTCTTTATTATTCCATTAAATGCAGTGATTTAATATATGAGTCAATGATTTTCTTTTCATTCAGTAAAATCATCTGTAACTTTCACCCTAAACAACTCAAGGCTTTGTTTGGTAACAACTCTGATAATTTGCTTTGTTATCAATTCTGAATTCAAGTTTTTAGATATTATGGTACAGACCATGGACTTCTCCAACATGCAGAGAAAGAGAGAGAAAAAAAGGCAGGTTTAGTGGGAGATGGAGAGGGAGAGACTAAGTTGATAAGGACTTCATATGAATTCAAAGAGATAAAAGCAAAATACAGATTATTCTCAGTGAAAGATCTTCAAAGAATAAAGGAAAGTCACATGTTAACTGATGGTTTGTTGACTTCATGTACATGAGCAAGTGGGCAATTCAAGGGCATTTTGTCTATAAAAAGTATTTTCTGGAAAAAATTATTTTATTGTTCTGAATTTATCACTTATTGCTAAAAAACAATATATAGTATCTATCCTTTCCTTAACACTACTGTTATAGCAATGAATTAATATTGAGAAGATTGAGTTAGGGAGAAGCTGGAGAAAATATGAAATGAAAACAATTTTCCTATTGACTTCTGATTATTCTGAAATTCTACTATAGATAAGAAAAAAGTTACAGATAAGTTCTCCAGTTGTGGAGTTACCAAAAAAAAAAAAAAAAAAGGAAAAAGAGTATCCTAGATTAGTCAGTATTCAACAAATTAAACATGGGGTGTTTTAAATATAAGATGGCTAGACTTCTATCTTCTTGTAGTCTTCCTGCCCAATGTGTAACTCTAATATGCCTAAATTACAATTGGACCTTTAGTACATGTTTATTGTTTGATTCACCATAGATAAACTGGTGGTTTCAGGTCATACCTGTGGCTATAAAAATTTACTTTACTTTGTTAAGAATTTCTTCACACCTTCTCAGTTTTTCTGTCAAAACATGACATATCACATGTGTAAATAAGATAGCAACAGTCACATTTTTTTAAAAACCATACCAGGCTCAAGGAAATGTGATTCTACTAGAACATTTTGTATTCAAGTTTCAGTAAAAGTGAAGGGAATTCACTTTATAATAAACAATGTATCTTTGTAGGATAGAAGACCCATAGTTCAGTCAACAAGCCCACTGGTTTGAGTCAATATGGCAGTATTGAATCTTTTTAATTAGACCAGAAAATGGTGCATTGATTTTTTTTTATTGACTGACACCCATAATTCAATAAAGCTCTCAAAAATCTATTTCAATCTATTTCATCAAATAGCTTTAACTATTCTAATACAGACAATGTTTTCATGCTACAAAATGCTATTTTCAACTACTGATGAACAAAAAATTAATAGTTTAATGTTCCAACAGTAATATTAGATATCAACTTCAATATGCATAGGATTATAGTTGTCATACCTCTTAGAATCTGTGCCAGAAAATCCTTGAAGAATGAAAATGTGTCCATTAAGTTCCAGAATTTTCCAGTCTGCTCTCCACCAGGGCAAATATTTACATGGAAAATAATATATACAGGAAATCAGAAAGTTATCATGGAGGAAAAAAATGATCCCAATCTTGCTTCTTTTATTCATTGAAAACATTGCTACAAATATCCCATATGTACTAATGTGAGCTGCAATTTCATTCTAAATATGCCAACAATTCTAACTCTCCTCCCCCAAAGCAAACTGCAGTGGCAAAGACACTATCTTTCTCAACCATTGACAGGTGCTCAAGGCTCTCTAAACAAAACATTTTTGGAGGGAGGGAATAACGGCAGTGGCTTAGAAATATATTCAAAGTTAATGACATCTTTCATAGGGCTTTTTAAGATAACTTTTTATTTTCATAATTTAAAATCTATTTTTATACAATTAACATTACATCAGAATTATCAGCAATAACAAAGTTAAATCTTTTCATGTAAGCTTATTCTCTTCTACCCCTTCATTATGTAAATATTTAAAGCTATTATTAGATTCATAACTTGTTTTTCTCTTTTTCACTTAATAGTAAATAAAACTTCTGATATTTTAATAAAGTCTTCATATTTATCACTTTTGATCTATGTATGACATTCTACCAGAGCAATATACAACTTCTCTTAATATTCAGCACTTCAGTTCATCTACAGTTTGTAATATTATTTTTTGTTTAGTGAATGATTTGGTGTATGCATTTTTTTCTATTTGTATGGGAATTTTTTGATCGAGTCATTTATTTTGGGGGCTCAAAACCACAGATAGCCAACTCAGATGTGATAGCAAATTTCTCCTGAACAAGGAAGATTTTCTAAGATAACAATCAAAACAATAACTGGAAAAGCAACTTTATTAATAATAACTAATAATATATAATTCTATATATAGTATAATAACTGCCAAGTACTCACTAAATGCTTGACATTTGTTAACTAATGTGACCTATTGCAAGGAAATTTTTTTTGAGCAATATTGGCTTACATCACTGTAATTCAGAGGCATAGGACTGCAACTCCTCAGACGAATGCCCTGACACACCCACCCACCACCATGGCACCCATTATCCTCCATCATCGTCCACTGTGCCCCTGTCCCCACTGTTTTCTCCCATATCCCTCTCTTGTAGCCCCGATTCCACAGTTTTCTAGGGCTTTTTATTGGCTTGGCTTTATCTGCATTTTGTTTTGTTTCTCTATATTCCACATACAAATGAAACCAGCCAGAATTTGTTTTTTTTTTTTCCTTCTGATTTATTTCACTTAGCATTATCCCTGTAGGGGAATTATTATTAAGCCAACTTTACAGTTAAGGAGCTTAAGGTTGTATAATTTTCCCACGATGGCACACTAATTAAAGAACCTGTGATTCCATCTCAGGCAGCTTGATTAGCAAATCTACTCTCTTAAGCAGTAGACTGACCTTTTTTGCAATTAGTTGAAATAGTCTCCTATAGTATTTCAGATTACTTCCTTTCCAGGAGCATTTTCTGCTTATATAAATATTACACTAGCCCCAGGAAATCATTCAACTTATTTTATTTATTCTTTTATTCAAATTATATTAAGTTTAGTAAACCAATGATGTGATTTTTACTACTGTATTTTCATTCCTGTGAGTTAAGAGGCTACTTCCTTTTAAAACTTGGACTGCTCACTACTTACAATAGGTAAAATATGGAAACAACCCAAATGCCCAAAAATAGATGACTGGATCAAGAAGATGTTGTATACATACACAATAGAATACTATTTAGCAATCATAAAGAAACAAGTGGCTGTCATTCGCAGCAATATGGATGGAGCTAGAAGGGATTATGTTCAGCAAATTAAGCCAGAATGAAAAAGAAAAATATCGGGGGCCTCCCTGGTGGCGCAAAGGGTTTAGCACTGCACTATGAAGCAATCTGCAGCCTCTGCAGCACGAGTTCGATCCCCAGCCAGCCAGGAAGCAAACCACATGGCGCAGCAGACCTCTTCTGTCTTGCCCGCTGCTCCCCTTAGCAATGTACTCAGTCAATCTGCCTGTTCTGTTCCCTACTCTGTCTCTGGTGAATCCTCTCACCCCCTGCATCTCTGGCCTGTACCCCAGCTTTTATGTGCATAAATAAATCTTTAAAAAAAAAGAAAAAGAAAAATATGGAATGGCTCCACTTAGAGGAGGAAAACAGGGGACCCAAATAAGGGATCAGGAAAAAAAAACCAATAAATTTTTTAAAATTAGCAGGTAACTATAAATCAAAGACATTCCGCAAGGGAGGGGAAGGTAGAGCTATCAAAACAGGGAAGGGAAGAGTACAAGGGACCCTGGTGATGGTTCATGGGAGAACTGGTGGTGGGAATTTTACAGGGACTACACCTGAGAGGAGAAAGTATACACTATATAAAAATGAACAATGATTAAAAAATGTGTGTGTGTGTGTGTGTGTGTGTATAAAATAGATAGAAGTTGAACTTCTGTGACACTGATCTTAGACTTAGGAATTTGGCTAAAATCTGCCATTCAGGTTCAGATTTGGCCTCAATCTATTTCAGTATCATTTCTGGAATCCCTGCAATGGTGCATCATCAATAATCCTATGATCTTTGTAGGTAATACTCATATAAAATCACTATCATAATTTAATAGCACAAGCAAGGTATAACTTGCAGATTTAAAATAACATGAATAGTTGCTTAGGTTTTTAATATATAGGTTAGATAGATCTTGGAGTGAAAAAATCTTGCTTCTTACAAAAAGAAAAAAACAAAATATTGATATTTGAAAAAAATCTCTTCATCAAGGCATTATAAACCTATTGTAGGTCTCATACATCCATCTACCTTTAACATAGTCCTGATACAAAAAAAAGTATGGCATTAGGAATGGGTACTTTTGGCCCATTTCAGAATTTTTTGTACTCATATATATCATAGTCATGAGTGACAGAAATAATGACAATTTCATTGAAAAAAATGACCTCTGCCCTCCTCCAGCTCTTTTCAATGTTTGTATTATTCCTAAGAGCTAGTTCCATAAAAATAAGGCAGAGACTGGAAAGAAATAGTGGAGTGTCTTACTTCATCCAGATAACAAATACCCACTAAGACACTTCATCTGATAAAATTCAGAAACAGAATAATTGTCATTGGAATGTCCATTTGTGAGTTTATTCTAATTAAAAATAAAATAATGGTTTTTTGCCTATCATAAGTAAATTTGAAGATTATTTTAAACAAAAAGAATTTTCTTTTCAAATTAGAAGTTTATTCATCCAAACATGTAAGTTACAGTTTTTATGAAAAGACAAAAGTATTTTATGAGTTGTTTTTATTGACAAAATCATATTTAAGTTAATATTTTAATTTAATGAGTTATTGGGTGTCTTTAAGAAAGCAACAGTTGGTAGTGATTCATCAGTGCTAGTAAGCCATATTTGCATAGTTTCCAGAAACTGAGAATGAAAGTTGATTCTAATGACTGAGTTCCAAATTCCTTTGCCTTTGACCTAGGGCCCAGTGCTTTGCTTTCAGTAACAGTAAAGAGGACATATTTTATTTATCTGTTGATAGATAATTAAAATTATTTTAAATGGTGATTACAATGTGATCCTTGATTTATAACTAGATGCTTACATAATTAACGTATTATGATGGAACTTATTTCATTTCTTTCTCTTCATATGAACAAAATTTCTTAATCCTTACAACCAGAGAAAATGAATATTCTAGAGTAGGAAAAGTAAAATTAAAAAAAAATAGGAATGAATAGTTAAAACTTGCTTAAATTTAGCAATACATAAGATGCATCAAATTACAATTTAGCTAATTAAGAAAGGATTTTTAAACAAAAGTTTACTTCTAGTATTTAATACTTGTGAAGATTACAGTTTACATAGTTTTAGAAATAAGACTGTATAAGACTATAGAAATAAGACTAATACTGAATGACAACTCAATCCAGAAAAATATTATTTTTTAATAACTTTTTAAAATAATTTTGATTATCTTTAGTTTTGTAATTGTATGATAGGATGAGGATTAAAATATATTAAATCATAAAGTAGAAGGATAAAATTATCTGTGGAATTCAAATAAAAATAAAATATCAATAACAATCATCAGATATGTTTTAAATGGATGATGGGTGACAGCAAAAGATTGAGTCATTTACTTTTCACTGGGTATATTCAAAAGGTGATAGTATAGTTTCATTTTTTTAATGTAAGTATGATAAACTTTTGGTCATCTTGATCATGATGAAAAATTTTAGAATTTTATTCAAGTTAAATATGTGTGAGGAGTTACATCATTAATAAAATTAAAGAATACAAAAAAAAGTTTGAAGACCACAAGAGTATAAAAGTCTCAGCTGAGAATGCTGACAAAGTATTATTTATGTCCCATATTATTTAAAATCTAGCTACTAAACTTCTCAATTAAAAATCACAATGGGGCCTCCCTGATGGCACAAGGGTTTAAGACACAACCTATGAAGCTCTCTGCAGCTACTGAAGCATGAGTTCGATCCCTGGCCAAGGAGCTACCCACATGGTGCAGCAGACCTCTCCTGCCTTGTCCACTGCTCCCCTCAGCAGTGTATTTCAGTCATTCTGCCTGTTCTCATTCTGCCTGTTCTGTTCCCCACTCTGTCTCTGGTGAATCCTCTCAACCCGCCACACCCCACACACACACCTCTGGCCTGTACCCTAGTTTTTGTATGCATAAATAAATCTAAAAAAATTAAAAATAAAAAGCACAATGATAAAGTTTTACTAACACCTCCTATTTATTCTCCCATTCCTGAAGTCTAAACTATGATGCTAATTTTTGTTTCATTTAAATGTGGATATTTATACTTAGTCATTTGGCTAAAATATAGGTCTATTGCTTATCCCAAAAATATAATTACACTGAGGAAAAGTGACATCGAGACCTCTTAGCAGTCTATTTATTATAAATTAAAATATGCTATATTAAGCTGGTGGAAAAATAGGAGTATTTATTTGTGGCATTATAAGAATGTGGAATGGAAGCTCAGAGAACCAGTGGTAGTGAAGAAAGCATAGATTCTAGTGCAGAAGGAATCAAAATGAAGCAGAAGAGTTTCATATTCATTCAGGAAGCATTTGCCAACTACCAAAAGGCTTGCACAACTTGTTATTATATTTTATTCATATTACAATTGATTCTGTTTGTCTTGGCTTTATTTCACTTGTAGTTTATAATCTTCACTGGAATTTTATTATCTTACATCTGTGTAGTTTCACAGTTCACCAAGAGTTATGATATATATTATCTTCACTTCTCACCCTTTTATCATATAAAAATGTGTGTCAAGAACAAAATATACTTTACACACAGAAGTGCCTGTTCCTTTATATCCTATTTTATAGTTTAAGCCAATTCTCTACTTGAACATGCCCAATTCAGGTTTTGTGGGGTCCTAATATTAAAATATATTAACAATAACATTATATCTGTGGATGTTTCTTATTTTCAAAATTTCATGAATATAGATTCTAACATCCCAACCTCCCTTGGAAAGCAAATGGAATGATGAATCACTATTGATAAAATATGTTTATAAAGCTCAAGCTTAGATTAAATAAGTTCATCAAGTAAAAACAAATGGAGAGCAAAATAAATTGAGGCTATACTCTAGATGTTAAACAAAATAAAGAGCAGTAAGTATGTATTACAAGGTTTGTTTCATACAATTGAACTGTCATTTTCTTTATAAACAAATGTAAGAATAGCCATAAAAAGTAAAAGATTTTAAGCAATGGAGAGACTGTCTACAAGCCTATTTTATTTAAAATTCTGTCATAAATACGATTTATTAACTGTATAGGGTGAAGCTTAGAAGGATATTAGGGATGTGTATTCACATTAATAGTTCATTAAGAAGAAAGAAAAATAGAGCTAAAAATAGCAATTGTTTTCATTAAATCATATAAGCTATTTTGTTTTTCTTTAAAAAAAACTTCAAGTATTGATTAATAACCAGAGCCAATATAGCCACAAAATACTGTTTTTAAGAGACTTAGAAAATTTGAGAAAGTGGATGAAAGAAAATTGATGATCCTGGAAATGATCCAGAATTGATTTTTTTTAAATACCAGACGGAGCTAATAGGTCACAAAAATAAATGATTGCTGTTTACTGTAACTGACCATCAGATACTATAAAAATGAGTGATTCTGGAACAAGAAAAGAGCTCAGACTCTATTTCCTATTCTTCTCCACAACATGAGGGGAAGAAAACTGCCCAGTCCAGTCCTGATTCTACTTTTTCTGCTACTTCTCAGAGATGCTTCAGCTGCTCCAAAACCGTAAGCAATATTTCCAGAAAATTCTATCTTCACTCTCACTGTCTTATTTGTTTTTTGGTGTCCATCTTTTGATTTATTAAATGATTCCCTTTGAAAATATCTGCAGTTGAAAGTTCTTGGCAGGGTTAGTAAGTTATTACTGCTCGTGGGAAAGAGCAATACACCAAGTCTAAAAGACTCGGAGACATGGAGCAGTGATATTTATGAAGCTTTACCCAAATAAGAATACAGAATTAGACACCATTCATCATGTGAAAATATAGAATTCCTCCTTCACAAAAGATAAATTTTTTACTGACCCCAAAAGCATCACAGTGTCTTAAACAGTGTAAAGTGACTCAGTGGCTGTGTTTTCCCTGAGCCAGGGGTTGCCAAGATAGATGCATGATTTACAGACAAGCCAAGATTTGTGTGTCAGCTCATTTCATCTTTCAGTACACCTTCAGGGGCTGGTATTAGGTTTTAAGAATATACAGATTAATAAAGTGTAGACCCTGTTTTCAGTATCATACAACATAGAAAGAGAGATCATGCACAGAGAATGAAATTCAGTGCAAACACAGAAACCAGCACTACTGGATACTGGAGGATACTCACACAGAAAACCGAACTCCTCATGGGGCCAGGTATCCGGGAAGCAGCATCCTCAAAGTCTGCTACAAGGGAAAGCTGCTTTTGAGATAAGTTTTATGAAGCAAATAGCAGGGCAAGGGCCAGCAGAGCATCACAACAGAACAGGTTTTGGTAACTGTAAATGATAAGCAGAATGACAGGTGAGTGGTATTTCTCCTGCATGGCATGACAACGCGATTCGTGATTAGCCTGGCTTGACTCAGCTTGTCTCCCACCACCGTACAGTGAGAGAAAGAAAGACGCTAATGTTGCTTCTGAAGTGAAAAGCCATTTAAAGCCTCTCTATGGTTTAAAAGTTATCTCTTTAGTTCAGGAACAAAGACTTTCCTGAGATCATTGATACCATCCATATGCTATCCAAGAGCATACGCAGACAGATTCTTAAGGCTTTCAGTGATGATTAATCAATCACATTTCTTGTTGCTAATTTTTTTTCAGCTTTTTTTTTTTTAATTTTTTTTGAGATTTATTTATTTATTTATACAAGCACTGTGTACAGTCAGAAGCAAGGGAGGGTGAGAGAATTCACCAGAGCCAGAGCAGGGAACAGAACAGGTAGACTGATGAAGAAATACACTGCTGAGGGGAGCAGCAGGCATGGCAGGAGTGGTCTGTCGCACCATGTGGGACCCTCACTGGCAGCCGGGGATCGAACCGGCGCTGCAGAGGTTTCAGGCAGCTTCGCAGCCCAGAGCTCAACAGCTGTGCCACCAGGGGAGACCCTTTTTTCAGCTTTATTAACTGACAAAATAAGATATTTAAAGTGTAGTACTTGGGCCTCCCCAGTGGTGCAGCAGGTTGAGCGCAGCGCTATGAAGCTGTGCGCAGCCTCTACAGCACTGGTTCCATTCCCGGCCGCCCAGGGAGATTCCCACATGGTGTGGCAGACCCCTCCTGTCTCACCCGCTGCTCCCCTCAGCAGTGTCTTCAGTTCGTCTACCTGTTCTGCTCCCTACTCTGTCTCTGCTGAATCCTCTCACCCTCCCATGTCTCTGGCCTGTACCCTAGCTCTTGCATGAAAATAAACAAATCTTAAAAAAATAATAATAATATAGTACTTAATAATTTGATATAAGTATATATTGTGGAAAGATTCCCTCCCCCCAATTTAATTAATTATCCAATTCTCTCATATTTTGTGTGTGAAATTTGTCTTGGCAAATTTAAATTACATAATATAGTGTTATTAACTATAGTAGCAAGTTATATAGTATCCTCAGACTGAATCACTTTATAACTCAAAATCTGTCTCCTTTTACCAAACATTTCCTATTTCCCTCGCTCTAGCCCCTGGCAACCACTTTACTCTGTCTCTACCAGTTTGGCTTTTTTTTTTTTTTTTTTTTTTAAGATTTCACATGTAAGTGAAACTATGCAGTTTTCACTTTGTCTGACTTGTTTCACTTAGCGTAATGCCTTCAAGTTCCACCCATGTTATTTCAAAAGATATCTCCTTTTTTTGAAGGCTGAATAATAGCCTATTATAGATACATTTTCTTTATCTATTACTAAACCTGAAAATCCTTTCTATCCAAAATATAGAATAACTAGTGGATTACTTATCTATAGCTTCTGAGTAAATTTACAAGAGGGCATATTTCTACTATTCAAGAGAAATATGTCAGTGTTAAACTTGGCTCTTTCTGGGTTCCTAAGGCCTTTGAATAATCCACACCTCTGCCCTCCTGCTGAAATCTGGTTCTGGTCTATGAACAGTGATGACAGCAGAGATTATCTAGAAGGCAGCCACAACAGCCATCTGCTTAACCTCTCCACGGCTGACCCAGACCTCTCTTCTCCACAGACAGTATACGGTACTTGTTCCATCAGAGCTGTTCACCGGGGTTACTGAGAAGGCCTGTGTCCTCCTTAGTCACCTGAATGAGACAGTGACCCTGAATGTGATCCTGGAGAATGGATTTCAGACCAGGAACCTCCTCACAGATCTGGTGACAAAGAAGAACGCCTTCTACTGCAGCCCTTTTGTTGTCAGTATCACTCCTTGGGATGAGGGAGATTGTTGTTCGAGAAAAAGGATATTAGTATATCGATGTCCTGTGTCTTAACTCCCAACAATAAAAAAGCAAATTGAAGAAAAAATGAATACAGATTGAATTTCAAATGAGATTCTAAAATGAAATTTTTGCTGAATATGTTTATATATTTACAAATTGATACTGCAATATATGAAAGGTAACAGAAGTTATAGGAAGGATTTCTCTTAAACTTGAGGTAAATAATGTTGATATCTTTACATATATAAACACTGAGATTCATAAAATTAACTGACCTATCTATCAGATGGTTGATGGTTAATGTATCATCCTTCCAACCTTTTATTACTTAAGATATTAAATATTTAATTACGCATACTGGCTTATAATAGAGAATGTTAATGCTGACCACTGAAAAATACAATTAATAATTATTTTAATAACACATTGTTGTGAAAATATGAGCATGTTATTTCTTTCATTGACATGACTGAAGATTTATATCATTTTATTGTAATGGCATCTTCCCTTTAATTAAATGAATTGTTACTGTCATTTTGCACAATATAATCATCCATAAAACACTGGACCTTATTCCTTACTAATTTTCATGGGACTAATCAGAGAAATGAGAAAATCATAAAGGTTGAGATATCAGACTTGGATTTGGGAAGATTCTTCAGCTCATTTTTGTTTTACAGATTCCACAGTTGTTACAAACCTCAGCGTTCATCACCGTGCAGGTGACAGGGCCAACCCAGCAGTTTGTAAGGAGGAAGAGAATTTCCTTAAGAGCAGCAGAGAGCCTAGTCTTTGTTCAGACAGACAAACCTATCTACAAACCAGAACAAACAGGTATGTGGAACCTTATAAGCAAAGGCAACATTATGGGAGATGGGAGCAGCGGTTTGTTGCCACTGGAGAGCCTGGCTTGTTGCTATCTGTATTACTGCCTCAGACTCCTATTGGAGAGTTTCATGGGGTAAATCTCTTTGTTTCAGTGAAATTCCGCATTGTCTCCCTGGATATGCGTCTTCGCCCTTTGGATGAAACGGTGAGTTTCATAACAATGCATGAGATTGTGAAAGGCAGGCAAAAATCTAAAACCCAATCTTTTGGACAACCTGAGAGCAAAACGAGATACTTAATTTACCACAGAAAGATTTCATAAGGATACCATGCTGAAGAATAAGGGAGATCAGTTCATCACCTACAGTCCTAAAATAAACTAAATATTCAGTTAAAATTATCCTCTTAGGATGTGGAGAAAAAGGAACTTCCTGTACTGCTGGTGGGAGTGCAAACTGGTGCAACCACTATGGAAAACCGTATGGGGGTTCCTCAAACTACTAAAAACGGAGCTACCATATGACCCAGCAAAACATTCATTCAAAGGGACACCTGCTGTGTTTACTGCAGCACTATTTACAATAGCTAAGCTATGGAAACCACCCAAATGCCCAAAAATAGATATCTGGATCAAGAAGATGTGGTACATATACACAATGAAATATTACTCAGCATCTAAAAAAGATAAACTCATACCATTTGCAGCAACATGGATGGAGCTGGAAGGGATCATGCTCAGTGAAATAAGCCAGAAAGAAAAAGAAAAATACCGGATGGCCTCACTTATAGTAGGGATGTAGAGGATCCAAATAAGGGATCAGGAAAAAAAACTAATTATAATAAAATAAAAATCAACACAACAGGCAACTATAAACCAGAGACATACTGCAGGAGGGAAGAAGGGTGTAGGATCAAAAGAAGCATGGGAAGAGCACAAGGGACCATGGCTATAGTTCATGGGTGAATGGGTGGTGGGAATTTCACAGGAACTATAACCAAGATGAGAATGCATACATTGTATAAAAATGAAAATGATGTAAAAATATATAAAAGAAAAAATATTCTCTTAAAGACCCCAGTTATTCTTATAAAAGAAATGCATTTGATTTCTTGCTTAGCAAAATGGACAATGTCTGAGATAAAAATTAAAAAATTAACTTTTTATTTGAACCTTTTGACCTAAGTATAAGGGCTATGAACTAAACTGGGGCTTGTTTCCTTGTTTGTACAAGAAATATATACAAACCCATTTTCTCTATGAAAGCTGATGTCACAGTTTTCTCTTGCTGTACTATCTCACACTCAACACCATTTCTTTCTTTTTCAGTTCCCAGTGGTTTATATTGAGGTAGGTAATATATTATGTGTCTCAACTTGGAAGACTAACTATAAATTATGTTAAATTGCCTCTTCACCGCCTCACTGCCTATTAGCACTTCACCAAAACAGAACACTGTTTTCCCTATCTATCTGACATCCTTTGGAAAGTGGATAAAATGTAAATGAAGTAAAAAAATTCCTTAAGATGATGTAATTTAATGATGCTCCCAATATTCCTGGCCAAAATGGATATGCATAATTTCAAAAAGAGTTACTGTAATCTGTTATATCTCACTGATGATAAACTTAGATTTTTTTCTCTAGTATTCCTAGAAAACTCTGCTATCTTTGGTGCCAATTTACTAACAATATGTTATCTAACTTCCAACATCACTCTGAAAAGCTGCCCTTCTATGCAGAAGAATGTATTTCAGTTGTTTCTATGAACTCATCATGTTTTTACTCATAGAACCCCCAGAGGAACCGAATTGTCCAATGGCAAAATCTTAAATTGCAAGGCGGACTCAGCCAACTCTCTTTTCCACTCTCCACGGAGCCCATTCTGGGTTCCTACAAGGTCGTGCTGCAGAAGGGATCAGGGAGGAAAACTGAGCAATTCTTTGAGGTGAAAGAATACGGTAAGAATTCTACATGTGTCCAAGGCATTTGTGACATTTGAGTACTTAAGATTGGATAGTGTTTAAACGTAGGTGACAAGAAAGAATTTAGTATATAATAGTAGAAAATTAGCAACCTTTTTGATTTAGTTGAATATTTGCTAAATGCATTTCATGCACCATCTCCTTTAATCCTCACAACAGCCATGAGACAACTATACAGTAACTTCATTGAACAAGTAAGCATATCAATACTAGAAAAGTTAGAAATTTACCAAAATTACAGAACCAATAAGAGGCAAGAAATAATTGAATAAGTCCATTTGACCGTATTCAAACAAAAATTGCTTAGATGACATGTTATGTCATCTACATGCTTGATCTGTTAATGCGTATCCTGTAACTGAGGGTATTTGTTGGGATTATCTCCTGACTAATCTATAACCTATACCTACACTACTGTAATCACAGTCATCAGATATTGAAGTCATTTTATTATCAGTTTTGTGAATTTTGTAATGTAAATTAAATGTATCATGTCATGGATGAGGATTCCTATCACAAAAAAAAAAAAAATGATTCCCCAAACTCATCAGGACCTCCATGAGAATTAGAGAACAGGGATTTATTATAGGAACAACACATCATAATACTGCTGGAAAACTAAGGATTCCTCAGGAGGAATTGGTGGATCCAAAAAACTTACTAATCAGTTCTCCAGAAGTAAAAGTAGGGAGAGCGTGACTCATGAATCCTAAGCATGAGATCACCAGGGAACTTTGGTTTTGGATGGATAAAGCAGAATTTGCATGGGAAGTCAGGCACCTTCAGCTGCCAGAGTAGATCACTGATAGAATCTGTGGAAAGCTATTACCTCTTTACATTGGCAGCATTAGTATTTCCATTACCAAGTGTCTGGAGCTGGGTCAGAGGCCTGTTAGTCAGCAGAGCTTTCAGTTGGGAAGAGGAGCTAGACACAGAGATGAAAAGATGACCAATAAGAGCCCACTTGTGCCTCTGCACCTGCTACCATATGTGACCGTGAAAACCTTCACAGAGTAATGGTGCTGTTTTCCTTCCATCCTTGAATTATTGAATAAATTCAGAGGAGACCCTAGGGGATATAATGCCAACCTATCCAAGTGAACATAGTACAAAATTGCCATGGTGATGGACGACATTTGCTTTGTCAGTTTTGGCCCTACTGCTCCTTATTGTAATTGAAATCATTTCAGATAACCCTATGCTATAAAGTAATAGAACCATTACTAGTACTTGAAAGGCCTCCTGCCAACTCTTACCTCTTTTTCTCCTTTTATGATGACAGTTTTGCCCAAATTTGAAGTCCAAGTGAAAATGCCCAAGACTATTGCCTTCACAGAAGAAGAATTTACGGTCTCCACATGTGGCCAGTGAGTTACATTTCTTTTTTCACTTTGCTTCTATTTCCCTACTGTGTTTGTACTGCAAATAGTTGTTACCGAACTTTAAAGTATTTTAATTAGAGAAATAATGACTGTTTTTGTTTTGTTTTGTTTTGTTTTTTTGTGGGACCCTCGCTGGTGGCCAGGGAACGAACTGGCACTGCAGAGGTTGCGGGCAGCCTCGCAGCCCAGTGCTCAACCACTGCGCCACCAGGGGAGGCCCAGTAATGACTGTTTTTCCAACTTGCCTGAGCCCTGACAAGAGAGTAGGGTCATTAGACTATGTCATTTTTTACTACTACTTATTAAGCGAGACAATATTCTGAGTGCTTGCATTTACTAACATTGTTGCTTTTACAAAAACCCTGTGATTGAAGATTATCTTCAATTTAGAAATAAGAAAACTATAACACATACAGGGTAATGTGATAGACCAGGCACCAGGCACAACTTAGGAAGTATTGTCAATGCTGGAATCATAACCTAGATATCCTGAAAGAGAGAGAAAGGAAACACAACACTCTTCTAATAAAACTTCAACTCAAAGGGAAAATCTGGGAAAAACCACATTGTTAATTTTGCATTTGGAGGTGTTTCTAAAAAGACTCAGTATTTTCTCTTAATGTTGCCAATGTGTTCGTACTTATATAAATAAGATACAGTTTCAGAATAAGTGCTTCAAAAGTGGAAGTCCTAAGTAAAGAAATGTAATTACTTTACATGAATGACAAGATGAATATATGAATGGATCAAAGCATATGAAAACACATCTAAATTCTTTTATACTGAATATGTTTTGTATTACTGCGTTACTGTACTAGATACACATATGGAAAGCCTGTCCATGGCCTAGTGACGATGAAAGTATGCAGAAAATATACACCACCATACCATGGCTGCCAGAGAAGCTATACACCAAGTATCTGTGAGGAATTTACTCAAGAGGTATATGGAAACCACTTTCCCCGGGGCACTAATATTAGATCTTGTTTCCTTGCGGTTATAACAGTGAATGTGATACAACAGAGAATAGTGTCTGAAATCATCACCTAGGAAAATTACAGACTAAGGGGAAATTGCAAGATTTGCCTGGCAAAGTTAGGAATCCACTTTAGGGTTTTGTTCCTGAATTTGTGATGATATTTGTTTAGCAAGTTTGGTCATTTCTTTCCAACAAGCAACATGCCATAAACATTCACCAAGACTGACATGTTGTGGGATAAAAAACTAATCTTAAGAAATTTAACATGCTAGAAACCACACAATGTACATTCTCTAAAGAGAAGTTAAACTCATTATTTGGAAACTAAGCAACATACTTCTGAATAACCCATGAGTTAGTTAGGAAGACTCCAAAAATGTTTAATGGAGTGTAATCTGAAAACAGCCTATCAAAACCCCTGGGTTTAAACTTACACAGTGATGTATATCAATGATTTCTCAATAAAACTGGAAGAAAAAAAATCAACATGCCAAGTATAAGGGCATAAAAGGTTGTGAGTGTACCCAACGATAGATTTTATCAAACATATAACAGAGTATAGCAGATGTTAAGAATTTGACAAGTGGGAGAATCAAACAACATGTGATGGGATATGAAACCAGCATCAGGTTGAGGGAGGAGAGGGAGCCGAGAAAGACAAAGGACTGGAAGCCTTGATTACATCAAGGAAGTGTAATAAGAATAGCTAATGAGAAAAAGTAGAAAATAGGAAATGTTCTATTAAAAAATGAAATGTATAAATTACTAACTTCAAAGGAAATGTACATAAAATTCCAGGGGACAGCAGTATGAACAGATATATAGCAGGGAAATTAGGGAAATTAGGATTAATTTTCATTCTTAAGTGACTCATGACATCTATTATAAATATGTTCAATATGATTAATCTTTATTGTGCAACAAATATTTTTATGTTGTAGAGGTTTGAATTTTTAACCCCTAAAGCAAATACAATGTTGAAAACCAACAGTATCTCAATAGATGTAATTGGCAATGTTGATACATAATTTTTATGTAAATAAATTTTTTTAAAAGTATATTAAATAAATATTTAATATTAAATATTAAAATATAATTTCAATATTTAGCTTGGAATCTCCTATTCTAAGGATTCACCTATTCAATGAATGTTTTTATCAATGTCTTGGTGGAAAAATAAAGTTAGGAAAATACAATCTTTAGTTGACATTTGGATGGACATGTTTACAGAGATTTCTTAGAAGATGTTATGTCTAAATTATCTTTAGTAAAGCAGTAACTACTGGTCAAGTTAATAATAGGAGAAAGAAGTTTATCATTTGAGAAATAATATATGCCAAAAGAAATTTACAAAAATAAAGATAAGTGTGGCAGAATGGGACAGACTTCAGAAGAGGCGGGGAGAAAGCAGAGGTTAGCAATGATTAATTCAATTAGTGAGGAAATTTTATGTCATTTTTGGGTGTGGAAAAGAATAAACACCTGAAAGATGGTTTAAACATTGGTATATTTCTTCCTGTGGTCAACAAAAATCTTCCACTGGTATTAACTGACCTTTTTGATAGCAAATGAGAGGACCCCGTAATTTTCTTCCTTTCTCTCCAGACAGACAGTGAAGGCTGTTTCACACAACTTGTTAAGACTGAAAAATTTCAAATGAGACAAATGAGCTACGACTTGTCACTACAAGTGGAAGCTAAGATCAGAGAGGAGGGAACAGGTTTGTATCATTTTAAAATATTTATTAATTCATTAAACATTTATCATACCTCCAATTCATGAAAAACACTATAGTTTCTGGGACTATGAAAATGGCATGGTCCTTGCCATCAAGGAATTTGAAATTTAAAACAAAATTATAGATAACTAGATCTCCATAATACAATTCCCACAAGACATGTTAAAACTAAGGGTTGAATGAATGTGAAAAGAGATAATTTATTTAAATATAGAGCTGAACAGAGCTAATAAAGTAGCATTTAAGCTGATTTGTATAGACTGGGTGATATTTTGAAATATAATCATAGACTGGGAAAGTGCAATAAGCATAGAACAAATGGGTTCAGTCTTGGCAGAATCTGAAAATGTAGGTTGGTGCTAAGTATAAAAAAAATTATATGCTTCATTATCAAAAGCACTGTATATCTTCATCTATATTTGAGGACAATGAACTAATATATTGTTATATTATACTAAAGGTCCAATATATTTAAAAAGATAATTTTAGCAAGTCAAGAGAACAAGCTAAATGAAAAATGTGTTAGACTATGATACAAGAGAAGGTAAAGCCAATGTTAAATTGCTTATATTTTCCAAGCGTGATAAATTCTAGGAGGAATATGTGAAAAGAACATAACAGCATTTTACTACAATAGGGTGAAGATGGGTAGAGGAGGGAGCTGAGTTGAATATGCAGAACAGCTCAACTTCACTTATTTATTTTTCAGAGTTGGAAATAACTGGGCATGGATCATGTTCTATCACAGCTATATTAAGCAGAGCAGAATTTATAAAAGCAGATTCACATATCACACCAGGGATCCCTTTCTTCGGGCAGGTAAAATATCTTTGCAATATAATCATAATTTGGGGGATGTGACGTTTCAGAAATTAATTTTATATCACAAAATAAAAGTTCATTATAAAAATAAATTTTTTTTTAGAGTAAGAAAAGAAATCATAGCAAATTACAAAAAGCAACCACCACCACAAGATGGAGAACACTGGAGATGAAGAAAATTTGGGAAGTCATGAGCCCACTTTTAGGGACACTCAACATGAACATTCATGAGAAAGAGAAATACTAGAAGGAAAAATCATAGTTTAGAACCCAGAAAACATCATATATTCAGGTTCTAAGATCTTCCATGGCTAAGAGATTGAGAGGAAACGTGACAGAGTGGAAGATGTTTTTGCTACATGACACTTCTAACCACCAATCACTTTCATACTTCTAGGTTCGCCTATCTGATGAGAAGAATCAGCCACTTCCCAATAAAACTGTAATTGTCCAAGTGGATATGGCTAACCAAACCAGCCTGACTACTAATGAAGATGGCTTGGTGGATATTTCCATTGATACCTCCAACTTCAAAAATCCTTTATTTTACATTCAGGTACGTGGAAGGGGCATCTGGGACTAAAAAGGTTGACAGCACTCAGGCCACATAATTTAAGGACATATTGGAAGCATGTGAACTGGAAGGATAAAAGAAGAGGACATAAAGAGTAAAATAAAAATTAAGTTAGGGGAGACCTAAGTTAAAAGAAACAAAAAATTCTCTGTAAATAAACTCTGACTTTAGATAGACTCTGTTGACAACATGACCTAGTTCTAGGAGACTTTGAATACATCATCTTGATATCCTTATGAAAAATTCAGTATTTTTGCAACTTTATTACAAATTAGAGTCTGCTTGGTTTCTTTGGTGTACCTCTGTTTTTGCTTTTGTGTTGATATTTAAAAGTTCTTATACAATTTACAGTCATAAGGGTATTTAGAATGTAATTGATCTTGGCTGTGAATGTAATATCTACTGAAATCTAAGTCAGTACAATATAAACTTAAAGGAAAGCCACTTACAGATTTTGCTTTTTAGGGGAAAACAATCTATAATTGAATCAAGTAAGTAAAATGTCTGGTAAATAACAACTATATAATAAATAACCTATATAAGACCTTTATTCCTTCCATTAGGTCATACACAAATCTAATAATTACTGTTATAATTCCTGGTGGCTTGAAGAACAGCATATACCAGCAACACACACTGCAAGTCGTATTTTCTCCCCGAGCAAGAGTTACATTCATCTTGCACTTATTACTGGTACTATGACCTGTGGGCAAACCCAGGATATCCGGGTTTACTACATCCTGAATGGACAGATTCTTAAGGATGAAAAAGAATTAACATTCTATTACTTGGTAAGAGAAAAATTCATTGTAGCTTTTCTAATTATAAAGATCCCCTATCTAACTAATGCCTTTTGTAAGATATCAATATGATTTTTTAAAAGATTTATTTATTTTTATTTATATAAGAACTGGGGTACAGGCCAGATGCACAGGAGGGTGAGAGGATTCACCAGAGACAGAGTAGGGAACAGAACATGCAGACTGACGAAACATACTGCTGAGGGAATCAGCGGGCAAGACAGGAGAGGTCTGCCATGCCACGTGGGGCCCTCCCCAGCCGGCGGGGATCAAACTGCTGCTGCAGAGGCTGCGGACAACTCCACAGCGCTGTGCTCAATCCCCTGTGCCACAAGGGAAGGCCCTAGATATCAATATGATTTTATTTGCTTGGTTTTAATGCTTAAAAGAAAGTTGCTTATTAACAAAGTATTAATGCATCAATTTCTCATTTATGCTCTGGTCTCCACTGAAACTTCTAAGTTTTTTTTCTGAGTTCCAGTGGAAAATGGAATGAAAGAGAAAGGCTAAGACAAAGGTCTTATTTGATCACTATTTTGTTAGGCAATGAGAATGTTTTTTTCAGAACTTAGTAAGTGAAATAGGAAAGGATAAGGATTAAGAACTAATTACAAGAGGAAATAAAAACTATAAACAATCTTCTGGAGCATTATTCAATTTTGACATTAATTAGAGAAGTAAAAATTAAACTTTAAAAGAAGCAGGTAATACATATTTAGGATTCTAAATAATTTACTAAGTTCATGATTAGTATAATTTCAGGGAAAAAGTATACTGATAAGCATATTAGAAATTGGCATGATACCACTGAGACTAATATGCTTATTTATGTCCAGAAATTAAAAATATTTGAAACCACTAGTTACCCAAATAAGTCACATTAAACAGAAAAAATTATGGGTAGGAAATTCTTCATAGAAACATTAACTATAAGTAATATTTTCATATTTCTATAAAAAATAGCAGTAAGAATCTTAGCTATATTGCTTTACAGTTATTTGATCTTGTATAATTCACCTAATCTCATCTATAAAGAGAAATGTCAATCATCTCGTTTGAATACTGGATATACTATTTATACCCACTTCATGGAGTCACTATGCAAATCAACTCAAATAAAATCTTTTAACTAAATTATTTAGTTCAGTGCCTGGCACATTAAGTTTTTTAAAAATACATTAAGTTTTTTACATTTAAAAAAAAACAGAAGATACTTAGATATATTTTATATCTGCCTTCATTCTGTTTCTTTGCAAATTTGGAATATGGGTATTCACGGTAAGTAGTAAATATCAAGTAAAATAGTACAACAATGTAAAATTACAAGTCCGCTATTTAAATTATGTAATTATACTACACAAAAATACTGGAAGACAGATTTAGTGATCAAAAATAACTTCCGCATTGGAATGGTTAAGTTTATTTATATATTATAAGTATAACGTATCTTTAAGGAAGTATGTTTAAGGAAGTTTCATATGTATCTTTTAACGTGATAATGAATGTATTTACCTTTGCTTTTAGATCAAAGCAAATGGAAGACTCTTTCAATCAGGAACCCATGTGTTGTCCATTAAACAAGGAAACAGTAAGTGGTTTCAGAATTGCCTGTTTTTTCTCTCATATAGTAAAATCCTGAACATTTTACCAAGATGAGTTATTTTATATTAGAGGAAATAGACCTGTCAACCAAAAATGAGAAAGCTGATACAAAAGGGTGGCATTTAAGTTTGGTTAGTAATTTTTTCTTCTTTTTTATAGCATCCTTATATTTTAAATTTTATTCCTAAAGTAAAATATATAATAGATATAAAATATATTTTATAATTAAATTTTTAAGATAATTTTAAAATGCAGAAAATCACCTAAGAAAAATTTTGCTTATATATTTTTTAACTAGTTTCCCATTGCTGCTGAAATAGATTACCACACATTTTTCTGACTGAAAAACCACACAAATTTATTATCTTACAATTTTGTATATTGAAAGCCTCTCTGGGCTAATATTAAGGTATCAATAGATCTACATTCATTAGATAACTAGGGGATTATCTGTGTCCTCTTTGCCAACTTGTAAAGACTTCGTGCATTTCTTGGTTCATTGTTCCTTCTTTTATTTTCAATGCCAACAGATCCCTCTCTTACATTCCTGACTCCCTCTTTTAAAGATCATTGTGTCACACTGGGCCTTCTTTGATAACCCAGGATAATCTTCCAATCTCAAGGTCCAGAGTTTCATTCCATCTTCAACATCCCTTTAGCTATATAAATATATTCATAAGTTTTTGAGATCAACATGGATATAATTGGGGTGCCATTAATCTGTCTATCGCAGATTGCCCTCTAGCTACCAAGATTCACATCCATCCTACATGTAAAATCATCCTACATATAAAATCATCCCCAAAATGTCTCAATTCATTATAGCATTAACTCAAGTCTAAGTCTCAAGTTAACTCTTGTCAGCACAAACAACCCAAATACCATCATCTCAATCATTTAAATCAGGGGTTGGGCCTCCTTGGAGGCACAAGGGGTTAAGTCTCATCACTATGAAGCAATCCACAACCACTGCTGCATTAGTTCGATGGCTGGCCAGGGAGATAACCCACAGGGCACAGCAGACCTCTCCGGTCTTGCCTGGGACTCCCCTCAGCAGTGTATTTCAGTCAGTCTGCCTGTTCTGCTCCCCACTCTGTCTCTGGTGAATCCTCTCACCCCCTCTCCCCCACACCTCTGGCCTGTACCCCAGTTTTTTTTTTTAAGATTTATTTATACAAGCACTAGGGTACAAGCCAGAGGTGCGGGAGGGTGAGAGAATTCACCAGAGACAGAGCAGGGAGCAGAACAGGCAGAATGACTGAAATACACTGCTGAGGGGAGCAGCAAGCGGAGGAGAGGTCTGCTACGCCATGTGGATTTCTCCCTGGCCGGCTAGTATGGAACCCGCGCTGCAGTGGCTGCGGACAGTTCACAGCGCTGCGCTCAACTGGCTGGACCACCGGGGAGGCCCTGCACCCCGGTTATTGTATGCATAAATCTTTTTAAAAATTTAAAAAAATAAATTAGGGGCCGGTGAGGTCCTGGGTATAATCACTTCGAAAACAAAAACAGTCCTCAGTCCCAAGAAAATCTGACATCCAATTGGGCAGGCAACTAGATTTCAAGTCTAGGAATAATTTTCTTTGGTTCATGTTTCTGCTCTCTGGGCTCAGGTCGCCAATCTCGAATTATCCTTTCTTTTTCATGAAGGACATATATCAATAGTATGTGTTTACAGCTGAGTAGTTTTATAAACTTGTTTCCTGCCTATACAATTTGATAGGTCCAATTTCCTTCTTTCATTTTATATTCTGTATGTCCCCTTTGGTCCAAGTTCTCAGTATTTCTACTGATATAATCATTTGTTACAGCTTCTTAATAAAATTAACACCTGCCAATGTTTAAAACTGCTTCAAAAACCCACCTTAACATGATTTTCAGTACTATCATTTCAAATTTGACACTACTGTATTGTGTATTGTCACTACAAGCAGCTCTCAGCTCTTCCACAGATACAAAAAGGTTCTACTTTTTTTTTGTTTGTTTTAAATGAGGTTTAACTAACATACAACATAGGCTCTACTTTTTAGGGAAATTTATGCTACAATGATCAAACTTAGAACATTTATGAGAAAAAATGGGTACATAGGATAAGAACTATATGATTCATATGGAAAGCAATCACTAAGATAACTATAGGAAATTCTTTTATCAAAATCAGAGATATACTAATTATCTGTTCCTGAATCTCTTTTCTATTATAAATGGCTTTAAGGTAAATACTGTGTTGTTTCCTTCTTTGAACTATCCTTATGCATATCTGTTGATTTAGACCACAGGTGGAGATAACTAAAGACGTCCTGAAATTCTTCATTCCTAACTTCTTACTTAAATCCTTTTTATAATTTAAAAATAGGGATACGCATTAACAGTACTTTTCCTACATAAGCTCAGGAAGTGAACGATTTAACCTACATCTTTAAAGGAAAAATGGCATTAGTTCATCAGATATTCATGAACGTTGCTACACGTACAATGGTATAAATGCAAATCATTTTTCTTACCTCAGTATGCGCCAAGTGTGAATAAATCAAATAACCTGGGAACCTTTTTTTGAACTTTCTCTGTTCTCCAGTGAAAGGAGTATTTTCTTTCTCCATTCAAGTGGAATCAGACATTGCTCCTACTGCCCAGCTGCTTGTTTATACTACTTTACCTAATGGAGAAATGATTGCAGATGCGCAGACACTGCAGATTGAAAACTGTTTTGCCAATAAGGTGAGTGTTTCTAGTCCAGTTCTTTTTATTTATCTCCTGTTTTGAAAAGTGAAAGATAAGGATGTAACACACATTTAAAAACCGCCTATTGTAGTGTTCCTAAAACTTGCCTCCAAAATCTGTGAAGGCAGAGTGGTGCCATAACCTCAGGATCCCAGTAGTACCATCCAAAGCAGGTGGACATAAGCACAATTTTTTTTAAACCTCCTCTTTTTTCTTAAATTTGGGGTAGATTTTATAGTCCATAATAAAGTCTTAATCATCTTAATTTTGAAATGTTTTATCGCGAATTTTCAATTAAAGATGACTTGCAAACATTTAGCCACCAATTTTATCCCAACACACCCCTGAACACCCCAGTGTACCACTGTAGAAACTAGCCAGTTATCATGAGTTTAAATTTAGATAGAGATTATACAAAACAGGTGTATATGTGGCCTATTTCGAGAAATGTAGTCTGGATATTCTAATAAGGCAGAGAACATAAAAATCAAACACTGTTAGAAACAGGATTTTCTTTTATTTCCAAAGAACATGGAACTGTAATGAGAAGTCTACTGAGCTATCCATAAGCCTATCCCAACAGAATTTGGAGCTGCTTATGTAATTTTTAGTTCTCTCTTGGCAAAAGCTTAACACTAACAACCAAGTAGGATCTGGTGACTTCAGAAATGTATATTTAAATAACCTAAGGATGTTATGGAGATTAAAACAATATGCATTTAATAGCAAGTGGACATTTCTGCAATAAGAACTATATTTAACTAGTTTTTTTTTTCAGTGCACAATGATTTAAGAAAAGTACACAGTGATTTCTGATACAGCTTTTCAATTCCATCTTAATAAGGAATGCCATTAAACCTGTATAGATGTCAAAAGCAGTTCTATTTGTGTGGTTACTATCAACTTAAAAGAGATTCATACTTAGAGCTTCAGTGCCCTTAGTTGTTTATTAAAACATGGAATGGCTATGTAATGCTACATCCTTCAGCACACTTTACTCATTCCACTGTGGTCTAGTGCAAAACATATGAATATTCTTGTGCAACATCACACCACTTCCACACAGAAGTAAAATTCTATGGATATTACATTCAATGACTTCAAGTCAAATATCCTTTAACTTATCATTGGTCAGAGGTAGAGCTAAGCTATGAAAAACTAAGTAATATAGACAAAGAGTTAAGTTGTTTTAAGTTGACTATTTTATTTTACCATGGAAGAGATAAAGTTAAAAAGTAATGACCCTAAAAGTCACATCCTGATAAAATGATAGCAAAGAGTGGGCTGAGAATATGAGGAAAGATTCACGTGTTCCTTCCAAACAATATATTTTAAAATACTTCCCAATCTTCATTAGGATAGAGAAAAGCTGTCTTCTACTTAAAATTTACATACCACTTTCTTACTTTAAAAATAACAGATTTCATGAATACATTCAATACTACCTAACAGCTTAAATTGCCTGTGATTTTTAACTCAATATATATTCATTAGGGATAAAAATGATTAATATAGATAGGCACATACTCTTCAAATAGACCTTAAAGTTCTTTTTTTGGTTGCAATATAAGAAAATGTCTTATATTTTCTAATATAGCTAATTCTTGGTTAATCCCAAAAAACTCACTTGTTCATGTGAAAAGGATATTCACAAACATATTCTTTAGTAGACTTAAATTTTCTAAAAATATAAAGACAAATGTTTAAAATGGAATTCTCTATAAGCAATGTTTTGTTAACATTAAACTATGTAGAGATGAATACTACTGCATCTTTAATGTAAATCATTTATTTTTTCATAATATGTCCCATGATACATGAATCCAAGCTGTTACTTAATTCGGCAGACCACATAGCAAGATTATCTTAAATTCAGCAACCCAAAGAAAATACTTTTTAACTATGTGCCCTGACATTTCATACCAATCTAATCAATGAAATCAAGAATCTAGAATGTTACCCAATGCTACTTTGGTAACTAAACTCTAAATTATTTTATATTTGACTATAAAATAAAATTCATATTCTACTCAAGAAATAGAATAAATATAAGCAGCCAATAGATTTCACTTACCAGCAAATTTCTGCTTGCCAAAATAAAACTGAATCTCTGAAAAGATTGTGTACAATCTTTCATGGTTCTCTGAATTTTTTCAACCAACTAACTCTTAGGAGATTATCTAACTTGTAAATGATTCGATTAATCCCTGATTCTGATAAACAGTTTTACATGGCTGTATAATGTCAGGTGTCTCAGCCAAGCAACTGGAGGAGACTTCAGTTGTCTGCTCTCAGAGGTGGAGTGTGATGTTTTACTGTGCATGCACACGACACACATTCATTACAAAAATGCTGCATGGAGATAGGTCAGCTGCAGTGGGGTATGTATCTTTGTTAGCATGTATGTTTTCATTCCCACTCAGCATTCTGCTTCAGTGTGATCCTTGTCGATTTATATTTCACCAATTATAAAAGGAGTGGGACACTTGTGTTATCTGAAAATACATTTTCAGTTTATTCCAAAGGTGATTAACTTGCAGTGCCTAGCCAGATTTATCTTTAATCCTGTTCTAAAGTTAATGAAGAGAGGGAAATATAGAAAGGATTAGTTCTACTCTAGTAATCTACTATATTAAATATGTAAAATAATGTAAAATAAATAATATAAACAATATAGTTTAATATAAATATAAAGATATAGTTATATGCATACGCATGTTATATATACATATGTAAATACATATAACTATATATGAATAAATAAATGAAGCCTTGCTATTTGTGACCATATGGATGGGCCTTGAAAACATAATGCAAAGTGAAATAAGGCACAAGAGAAAGACAAATACGAAAGATTTCACTTATATGTGGAATAAAAGAAGCAATCAAAACAAAAACAAACTCTTAGACACAGAAGAGAATGATGGTTACCAGAGGGAAAGAGGACTAGAAGGTGGGTAAATCTATGATAATGAATAAAAACTAGGCTTTTGGTGATGAACATGATGTATATAGTTACCAAACCAAAATACTACACACCCAAATCTTATGTAATGTTATAAAGCAATGTTATCTCAATAAAAAAGTTTAAAAGTAAAAGTAAAAAAGGGACTAGTGTTTACCTGGTATAGGAAAGAATTTCAAGACTGCTATAATTACAAGAGTCGCCACCATAATCATATCCTCTTTACAGGTCAACTTGAGCTTCTCCTCAGCCCAGGGCCTGCCAGCCTCAGACACCAACCTGAAGGTCACAGCCTCCCCTCATTCCCTCTGCGGCCTCCGTGCAGTTGACCAGAGTGTGCTGCTAATGAAGCCTGAAGCTGAGCTCTCACCTGAAATTGTGAGTCCCATTTCAGTCTTGCACATAGAAAATGCATAGGTAAGACCATTATTGGTAGTTGGAACTTACAACTGCAAAGTTGTAAGAGTGTCAGGCATAATACAGTATGTTATGTTGAAGTTGGAATCAGTTCAGTTCCACAAAAGAAGTTACTCAAAGAGCTTTACATATATCATTTCATTCTCTGTTATAAAAGGAGCAGTTTTGTTCACCAGTATAATCCCTGTGCTGATGTATAAAAGATGCTCTACAAATTTTTAATGAATGAATAATTCTTGAAGGTATTATCACCTTAACTTGTGAATAAATAGGCTAGATTAAGCAGCTGTAGAAATATTTATATATATTAAGATTTTAAAACAATATATTTTTGTCATACAGTTATAAGCAACACAAAAATCTTAATGTAAACCCTTCCTCTTATATGTTAATAAGGTGATGGTTTATTTCTTAATTAATTGATTAATTTTTTAAACAATATTTGCTTCCCCCCTCCCTCTCAGGTGGAGTTCCCATAGAATTTCCTTCCCTAATGCACCCATGCACCATCACCACAGTCCCGTTCTCCACCCTCCCTCCTTCTGATCCCTCTCCCTCCTCTTCCCTGCAGTATGTCTCTGATTTCTAATCGTCTGTTTTTGCTTTGTTGTGTTTTGTACTGATATTATTATTTTTTTTACACTGATCTCTGGTCCAACCACTATGGAAAGCTGTCTGGAGGTTCCTCACTCTACTAAAAATGGCACCACCATATGACCCAGCAATTCCACTCCTAGGGATCTACCCAAAGGACACAAAAACATTCATTCAAAAGACCACCTGCACCCCTATATTTATTGCAGCACTATTTACAATAGGTAAAACCTGGAAACAACCCAAATGCACAAAAATAGATGACTGGATCAAGATGATGTGATATATATACACAATGGAATATTATTCAGCAATCAAAAAAGATAAACTCACGCCATTTGCAGCAACATGGATGGATCTAGAAGGACTAATGCTCAGTGAAATAAGCCAGAAGGAAAAAGAAAAATATCAGATGGTTTCACTTATAAAAGGAATATAAAGGAACCAAATAAGAAAAATATATTTTAAAGCTGGAATTCAAGCCAAATTTCATTCACTTTTGCTTCCTAATATACTAAATTTCAAGGCTGTTATTTGAAATGCCAGATTTCCCCCCTATAGTCCAGGCATTTGCTCACTAGTATTATGTGTAGAAAAAGAGTTTCCATTCAAACTTGACTTTGAAAGATGTTTCTTTTAATGAAGCACTTTCAAAAAGGTGGTACATTTAAGGGGTTCATGGCCCGTTAGTTATTAAGTATTCACTGTGTCTTGGCTACAGATGGATACTAATCTGGGAATAGGAGTTCTAATGGTGAGCAATTCAAATGAAGCTTTGACCATTATAGACTTAGAGTCTTATAAGGTGTCAAAACAAACATAAACATATCAACATACAATAATTTCATTTCAATAAGGATGTTGAGAGAAAGAAAAAAAAGTAACAATTTTGATATCGTGATTAGGGGTGTCTTCTTACAGATATCAATATCCAATAAAGGGGCAAGATAAGGCTCTACAATGAACAGAGGCAACATTCCAAAGGGTCTTGATGACAGAATAAATCTGGAATATTCTGAAAAGGAAGTGATAATGACCTAGTAAGCAGTGGTAAGAGAGGATGATGAGAGAGGCTACATATAGGTGGGATGGAAAGGAAGTAAGAATATAATGAGTTCTATTAGCTTAGAGTTGGGAGTTGACCATAAACTTAAAGGTTAATCAATGAAGAGTTTTGACCAGGAGAGTGACAATTTAAATTTATCTACTAGGAAGATCCTGTTCAGAGTAGGGGAGCAAGAATGAAGGAATGGAAACAGGAGGTTATCAAAGGAGCTTAAATTAGAGAGGCAGCAGGCAGATCAGGAGGTCTTCATCAAATTCACTGTTTCATGGCTTAAACACGGTAAGACTAAGCACATTGCCTCATACCAAGCTCCAAGCAAAAACTGAATTGGAACTGACTTATTTCTAGGCTGCCCCTGCACTTAGTTTTAACTCAAGCTAAACTTGATCCTAAAATAGTAACTGAAAACTTGATAGAAGCTAAATCATATAAAAAAAAGGGGGGGGAAGGAAATTAATCAAATATTTACAGAGGTTATCTCTGGGTGATGAGATTATGAGGGGCTTTTCTTCTCTCATTATGTTTCTCTGAACTGTCTACCTTTTCTGCTTTCTTCTAAAAGTAGGCATTTGGTCCCCAAGACAGAAAACATGAGTTTTAGTCTCATTCAAACAAAAAAGTCTCTGAGACACAGATCAATCCATTCCTTTTTTTATTTATATATTTCCTTTGTACAAGAGGATTATAATCCAGAAATTTTGATATCATCCCATGATTTTCTGTGTCTTTATAATGTTGGCATGTGGATAGTAAGTGAACACAATGATCTTTCCAATCTTGTATTGAACATTATCACACATTAAATTAAAAATATATAAACAATAATTTTCCCTTTAATCTCTTGATTTTGTAGGTCTATAATTTGCTACAACAAAAGATGCAGACGGCTCCCTTTTTTGTACATCTAGATTTTCTGAATGAGGATCAGGAAGATTGCATCAAGCCAGAAAACTTGTATCGCAATGGATTCTCTAATACAGCAGGGCAGGACATGGCTGCGGATGACATTTCCAGTATCTTTCAGGTTGTTATTCTTTCTAAAAACAAAGCCAAAGTTGATTTTTAAGTCTTCATGAAAATGGAGAACAGACTTCTAAGCTCTAGAATCTGCTCCTGCTCCATCCCTCTCTGCTCCTTCCAAACAAAGCTATGATTTGTGGAAAAATATTGAAATCTCACAGATATAATGAACGTTGTATACATACAGCTAGTCAACCATTAATTTCTCTGGTATTTTACCAGTGAGGGATATACTTTGGGGGCCCCCAGCTTTCACCAAGTTGACGCCTAAGCTAGTTATCACTGTCATATTCTCCCTTTGAGTGATTCAATTCTGTTCTGTGAGAAAAATGAAAACATTTCCCATAGTGCCTCTGGTAACCATGGAAAGGTAGGTAGCTACTGGCAGCCATTATCTCAGTCATTTGCATAGTACATGTTGAATGAGTAAATAATCAGCACCTTCAGTGCACTAAAATTTCAGGAAAACTGAAACTAACCTTTCTTTAAGAAAAGATTAGCAAAATATGGATTAGAAATGTTAGCTTGCTTAAAAAAAAGTATTTCTTACCTCTAGAACCATAAATTGGTTGGGATGGAGAGAAAGAAGACTTTGTAGGTTTACAAGCTGACTATCTAATCTTTAAACATTTATCTCTGACTTCTTTCTCCTTATCCCACTCCTACCATCACTGACATCACTCAGAGTTCTGCAGCTTCCCCTCTTCTCTGAGGCAGCCCAGCAAATAGTATTTACCTGTGGCTATGTGACCAAGTTCAACAGGTGGACTCTAGGAATCAGGCTACTGTAGACATCAGCATGTGTGTTTTCAATACAGAGATGCAAGATAGTTAAAAGAAGCAGAGAAAGGAAAGAAGAAAGTATAAATCATAAAAGGGAAGCTGAGCACAGCTATTCAGGGACAAGCATACTCACTAAAAAAAAAAAAAATTAACAAAGCAGAGTTTACTAAGATTGAAGAAAAAAATCTACAATATGCCAAACTATGATTTCAAATTGAAGGAAACCAAACCAAACCAAAACTCTCTGTGATAAAGCTATGAGGGGTATGTACAGGTATGTGTGTGTTATATTTAGTTGGGGGGGAAGGGAAAGAAAGAGAAGACAGATCTCCAATGCTAAAAACACTGTTCTCCAAATGCAAAAGATAATTAAAGAGGCATCAGCATACAGCTGACAAAATTCAGAAAGTGGAATCCCAATTCCCATTCACTAACTGGATGACCTTTACTTCCTGTGACTCCATTTTCATATTTATAAAATAACTCTCCTCCCTTTTATGTAGAATTAGCATGATGATCATATGAGTTATGTATATCAATAACTGTGAAAGTATAGTACAAATGCAAGAAAATATTCATCTCAAGATTTGAGTTCATGTTTTAATAATTTAATTTTCTTCCAGTCTATAGGATTAAGTATTTATACCAACTCAAAAATCCGCAAGCCACGTTATTGTCCATACCCTCCAGGGTATCTAGGAATCCCAATGGGCTTTGGAGGAGGTAAGAGTAAGATTTATTTTTCTGCTAGAATAATAAAAGAAAAATGATGCTTTGCTTAGTTGGATTGGGATAAAAAGTTATTTTTCCCTAAGTATTGTATCGTGTGTCTCTGCAGTAACTTGATAAATTTTCTTCAAATAGTGTTTTTCTCTGGAAAAAATGGGAGTTTTAAGTAATCATTGTCCCTCACCCCAACCTCTTTCTCTGAATCAAAATCAAGTACTGATTTGTCCTAGACTTCAACAGTCTTGCTACTTTCAATCTTCATTATTCACTGTGAATTCAAAACCTGAGTTGGTCCAGATAGGACAGATTATAGCGCAGTGACAAACAAACCCTCAGGCCTCATTCGCTAACCATACAGCAGACTATTGCTTGCACAAAAACTGCTTGTGAGTTCAGAGCTATCTAGAATCATTTCCTACCAAGGAGTGAGTCAGGGAATCTGGTCTGCTTTCACCTCGTGACTCCACCTTGTGTGATTCTGCCTTTGTGTGCCTTTCAAGGTTACAACCATGGGGAAGAAGGAATAGGTTTGCACATGGCTGTGATGGACAGCAGTGGAGTGCAAGGGAAGCTGAGCAAAGGAAGGATCATACGGATACAATTTCTCTTACATCCTTTCATAGAAATCAAAGTGATTTTGACATACTGAGCAAAGTAGGATAATTAAGCTTTTTTTTTTTAATAATAAATTTTATTTTTATATTCCCCATACAATTGCAGCCCCCCCATTCTGACCCCAATCTCTCCCCTCCCACCCCCGCCCCCCTAAAAGTGTCTCTGGTTCATAGTTTTTTGTTGATTTTGATTTTCACTTTCTTATAGTTATTCGTTTTCCTGGTCCCTTGTTTAAGTTTTCTAGATTCCTGCTATGAGTGAGACCATCCGGTATTTTTCTTTTTCTTTTTGGCTTATTTCGCTGAGCATGATCCCTTACAGTGCCATCCATGTTGCTGCAAATTGCATGTGTTTATCTTTTTTGAATGCTGAGTAATATTCCATGGTATATATGTACCACATCTTCTTGATCCAGTCATCTATTTTTGGGCATTTGGGTTGTTTCCAAAGCTTAGCTATTGTAAACAGTGCTGCTATAAACATAGGGGTGCAGGTGCTCTTTGGAGTTGATGTTTCTGTGTCCTTTGGGTAAATACCTAGGAGTGGAATTGCTGGATCATATGGAAACTCTATGTTTAGTAGGTCCAGAAATCTCCACACAGCTCTCCACAGTGGTTGGACCAGTTTGCACTCCCACCAACAGTGCAGAAGAGTTCCTTTTTCTCCACACCCTCGCCAACATTTGTTGTTGCTAGTTTTTTTAATATGTGCCATTCTCACTGGGGTAAGATGGTATCTCATGGTAGTTTTGATTTGCATTTCCCTGATTACAAGTGATGTTGAACATTTTTTCATATGCCTGTTGGCCATTTGCATTTCCTCTTCAGAGAAGTTTCTTTTTAGCTCTTCTGCCCATTTTTTGACTGGATTATTTTCTTTGTTGTTGTTGAGTCTCATCAGCTCTTTGCAGATTTTTGTGATCAGTCCTTTATCATTAGTGTTGGGTGCAAAAATGTTCTCCCAGTTGGTGGGGTTTCTCTTTGTTTTTGTTATTGTCTCTTTTGCTGTGCAGAAGCTCTTTAATTTGATGTAGTCCCAGCTGTTTATCTTTGCCCTCACTATCACTGCTTTGGGTGATATGTCTGTAAAGATGTCTTTGATGTGCAAATCACGTAGTGTTTCGCCTATATTTCCTTCTATATATTTTATGGTTTCAGGTCTTATGTCTAGTTCTTTAATCCATTTTGAGTTGATTTTTGTGTATGGTGTGAGGTAGTGGTCAAGCTTCATTCTTTTGCATGTAGCGACCCAGTTTTCCCAGCACCATTTATTGAACAAACTTTCTTTGCTCCAATGCATAGTCTTTGCTCCTTTGTCAAAGATTAGTTGACCATAAATCTGTGGGTTTATTTCTGGATTTTCTATTCGATTCCATTGGTCTGTATGTCTGTTCTTGGTCCAATACCATGCAGTTTTGATGATTATGGCTTTGTAGTAGAGTTTGAAGTCTGGGAGTGTGATGCCTCCATTCCCTTCTCTTTTTTTCAGGAGAGCTTTGGCTATTCGGGGTTTTTTGTGATTCCATATGAATTTCATCAATAATTGTTCTATTTCTTTGAAGAATGACATTGAAATTTTGATTGGAATAGCATTGAATCTGTATATTGCTTTTGGGAGGATGGCCATTTTAATAATGTTTATTCTTCCAATCCATGAGCATGGGATGTCTTTCCATTTCTTTGTGTCTTCTTCTATTTCTTTTAACAGTGTTTTATAGTTTTCTTTGTATAGGTCCTTTATCTCTTTTGTTAGATTTATTCCCAAATATTTGATTTTTTTTGTTTCAATAAAAAAAGGGATGGTTTTTTTGATTTCTTCTTCTTCAGATTTATTGTTTGTGTATAGGAAGGCTACTGATTTTTGCATGTTGATTTTGTATCCTGCCACTTTACTGAACTGATTGATGAGTTGAATTAGTTTTTCTGTGGACTTTTTGGGGTTCTCTATGTATATTATCATATCATCTGCAAATAGTGATAGTTTGACTTCTTCTTTTCCTATTTGGATTTCTTGGATGTCTTTCTCTTGTCTTATTGCTCTGGCTAGGACTTCCAGTATTATATTGAAAAGCAGTGGTGAGAGTAGACATCCTTGTCTTGTTCCAGATCTTAATGGAATTGCTTTCAGCTTTTCACCATTGAGAATGATACTGGTTGTTGGCTTGTCATAGATGGCCTTTATGATGTTGAGGTATGTTCCTTGTATCCCAAGAATTTCAAGGGCTTTTATCATGAATGGGTGTTGCACTTTGTCGAAAGCTTTCTCAGCATCTATTGATATTATCATATGGTTTTTATATTTCTTTTTGTTGATGTGTTGGATAACGTTGATTGATTTTCGGATGTTAAACCATCCTTGTGTCCGTGGAATGAATCCTACTTGGTCGTGGTGAATTATCTTATGGATACATTGTTGGATTCTGATAGCTAAAATTTTATTGAGGATTTTTGCATCAGTGTTCATTAGGGAGATTGGCCTGTAGTTTTCCTTTTTTGTGTTGTCCTTGTTCGGTTTTGGTATTAGTGTAATGTTGGCTTCATAGAACGTGTTTGGTATTGTCCCTTCCTTCTCAATTTTTTGGAAGAGTTTGTGAAGGATAGGCACTAATTCGTCTCTGAATGTTTGGTAGAATTCATTTGTAAATCCATCAGGTCCTGGGCTTTTGTTTTTGGGGAGGTTTTTGATTACCATTTCAATTTCACTGCTTGTAATTGGTCTGTTTAGGTGTTCTATTTCTTCTTTATCTAGCTTTGGGTGATTGCAGAGTTGTAGGAATTTGTCCATCTCCTCTAGATTGTTAAACTTGTTTCCATATAACTGTTCATAGTAGTTACTGATTATTCTTTTGATTTCTGCTGTGTCCGTTGTGATTTCTCCTCTTTCATTTATGATCCTGTGTATTTGTGCTTTCTCCCTTTTTTCCTTTGTGAGCCTGGCTAGGGGTTTGTCTATTTTATTGATTTTTTCAAAGAACCAGCTCTTGGTTTCATTGATCTTTTGGATTGTTTTTTTAGTTTCAATTTCATTTATTTCTGCTTTGGTTTTTATTATTTCTTTTCTTCTACTGGTTTTGGGGTTTTTTTGTTGTTCTTTTTCTAGATCTTTGAGCTTCGAGATTAGGTTGTTTCTTTGAGTTCTTTCTTGTTTCTTGATGTGAGCTTCTATTGCTATATATTTTCCTCTTATTACTGCTTTTGCTGCATCCCATACATTTAGGATATTGGTGTCCTCCTTGTCGTTCAATTCAAAGAATTTTTTAATTTCTTCTTTGATCTCCTCATTAGTCCAGTGGTCTTCCAGTAGTGTGGTTTTTAATCTCCATGAGGTAGGAAAGTTCCTTGCCTTCTTTTTATGGTTTATTTCTAGTTTGATGCCTTCATGGTCAGAAAAGATGGTTGATATGATTTCAATCTTGGTGTATCTATTGATGTTTGTCTTGTGCCCCAGTATGTGATCGATCCTGGAGAATGATCCGTGTGCGCTTGAGAAAAATGTGTACTCCGTTTTTTTGGGGTTTAGTGTTCTATAGATGTCTGTTAAGCCCAATTGCTCTAGGTCCTTATTTAGAGCTTTGGTTTCTTTACTAATTTTTTGTCTTGTTGATCTATCCATTGTTGATAGTGGTGTGTTGAAGTCTCCCAGTACGTATGTGTTTTCTCTGATGTCTGTTTTCAGAGAGGACAACAGTTGTCTGATATATTTTGGTGCTCCTTCATTTGGTGAGTATATGTTAATGAGTGTTATTTCTTCTTGAAGTATTGTCCCCTTGATCATAATGTAGTGACCATTGGGGTCTCTTTTTATCTTTTTGAGTTTGAAATCTGTTTTATCTGATATAAGTATAGCTGTTCCTGCTTTCTTTTTGGTCCATTTGCTTGTAGGATTGTTTTCCATCCTTTAACTTTGAGCCTATTTTTATCTTTTGTAGCTAAATGTGTTTCCTGGAGACAGCAAAAGGTTGGGTTTTGTTTCTTAATCAAGGCTGCAACTCTGTGTCTTTTTATTGAAGAGTTTAGTCCATTTACATTTAGAGTTAATATTGATATGTTAGCGTCTGTATTTGCCATTGTGTTTGTCTTTCCTTTGATTTTATTTATTTATTCTTTTAATAACTTTTTTTTTTGCCTTCTTTCATTGTTATTCGTCCCTCTGAGGTTCTGGCTTTAGGACTCCTTGTAGTATTTTTTGGAGTAGGGGTTTAGTTGTAATGAAATTCCGGAGTTTCTGTTTGTCTGGGAAGGTCCATATTCTTTCTTCAAAGAGGAAGGAGAGCTTTGCGGGATAGAGAATTCTTGGTTGGCATCTGTTTTCTTGGAGTCTGTTGACTATGTCCCTCCACTCTCTCCTTGCCCGTAGTGTTTCTTCGGAGAAGTCTGATGTCAGCCTGATTGGCTTTCCTTTGAATGTTATCTGTTTCTTCCCTCTTGCCAGCTTCATTATTTTTTCCTTGTCCTGGATTCTTGGGAGCTTTACTATTATGTGTCTTGCTGTATTTTTCTTTTCGTCGTGGAAGTTTGGTGTTCTTCTTGCTTCTTGTATATCAATTTTCAGCTCCTTCTTCACATTTGGGAAGTTCTCTTCAATTATCTCTCTGAATATTTTCTCTGTTCCTACATCTCTCTCCTCTCCTTCTGGTATTACTATAACTCTTATATTTCCTTTCCTCATGGAGTCAGATAGTTCCCGAAGTCTTTCTTCGTTCTTTTTCCTTCATACTTCTCTTTCCTTTTCTGTTTTGGTTCTTTTTATTTCTGTGTCTTCAAGAGTACTTATTCGTTCTTCCATTTCATCTATTCTGCTTTCATTGCTTTTCCCAGAATTCTTTAGTTCTTCCATTAATTCTTTGATCTCCTGCATTTCTTTTACTTCCCTCTTTAGGGACTCAATTTCATTCTTCTGACCATTGTTTTCCCTCTCTAGGGACTCAATTGCATTCTTCTGATCGTTGATTATTTTTCCCTTATCATTGTTTTCCTTTATGACTTCTGTCAGTTTTTTAATCACGGCAATTTTAAATTCTCTTTCTGGAAGGCTCAGAAGTTCTTCCAAGTTACTGTCGTTGCAATCTGGGGGCTGCTTTTCTTTTTGTGGTGTGCTTTTTACCTGGGGAGTTGCTAGGTTGCGTGTGGTTCTTCTCCTCCCTACTGTCTGTTTTCTAATTTGCCGTATGCGTTGGGACACTGTGTAGTTGGGACTGGCCGGCATCTTGGGTGAGATTCTCTGCTCTCCTCTGGTTCCTCCAGGAGTCATCTGTCAGTTTCAAGCAGTCTTTACTGGAGAAAGGTCCCTGTTCTAAAATGCCGATGTGGGGACACACTCCCCTGTGTGCCTGGTCTGCCCCAGCGGTGGGTTCCTGCTCCCCCTCTGGGCTTGGTCTGCAGGCCAGATGGGGTCTGGCGTGGGCTAACTTCCCCCGCTCACCTCTGGCTCCTGAGGAAGCCTTCTGCAGGTAGTCTTTACTGAAGAAATGTCCCTGTTCTAAGATGGTGATGTGGGACACACTCCCTGCACGTCCGGTCTCAGGCACACTCTTCTGCGCGCCTGGTCTGCCCCAGCTGTGGGTGCTCGCTCCCCCTGTGGGCTCAGACTACTGGTTGGAAGGAGCCCGTTGTGGGCTAACTCCTCAGCTGGCCACTGGCTCCTCTAGGCGCCTCTGCTGGCTTCAAGTCGCTAGGTGGTGCCAGAGATCTCTCCTGGAGCCCTTGGGGAGCTGATTTTCCACCCCGTGGGACAGGGAATAGAGCGGGAATGGTAGGGTAAACCTCAACGGCTTTGGGGTGCTGTGTCTGCCTTGTGCCCCACCGTTGTGGGGAACCCACGCCCCTAATTTCGTGCCCCGGGTGTCAGTTCCAAAGCCCTCAGTTCCAGGACTCAGGCTGTAGCCCAGTTCAGTGGCGCGGGAATGGCGCCTTTTGAATCCCGCTCCCGTGCCTGGGTGCCTGGGCCTGCTCACTCAGTGAGGGCCTCCGCGCGTCTCCCCGCAAGCCTAGGTCGCAGGCGCAGGGACCTGGGCAGCTGCGATCTGGATCCGCGTTTGCTTTTCAACTGCACTGCTTTTCCGCGCGCGATCCCGATTCCGATCCGCACTTGGTTTTCCAGCGCGCAGCTATTCCACGCAATCCTGACCCCGATCCGCGCCTGCTTTTCCAGCGGGCACCGCTTTTCCGCGCAGGCTTACCAGGCAGCCCGGGGCTGTGTGCTGGTGCTGGTCCCCTCCCTGGGGGCGGGGTCTCTCTTTAATGGCGCCCGGAGCTCACCTCCGCGGCGGATCCTGCAGGGTTCTCCACAGCTCCCGTTTACGGGGTGTGGTGGCTGAAAGAGTTCCTTTCCACTCACAGTCCCGCTTGCTGCGTAGTTTGTTCTTGTTGGTCCTTTTAGTTTGTTGTTTTCCTCCTCTCTGCGGGTCGGAGAGTGCCGCCTCTGTGGGCGGGGGAGGGGAGCAGGGTTCTGCGCTTCCCTCCCTTCTAGTCCTCTTTTATGGCCACTTTCTTCTTCGGGCAGTTTGCTGGCGTCACCCGTTTATCTTCCGTGTCCCGGTTCTCACTGGGACCTGCCGCTTTTCCTCCCTATTCACTTTTTTTAATGGGAGATCTTACTCGCAGCGTCTCCTCGCCGCCATGTTGCTCCGCCCTCACAATCTCCCAGTCGGATAATTAAGCTTTTGGCAGATATACTACTAGTCTCCTCTTGCTTTATTTCAAGTTTATCTGAAAATAAGGAAAAGTTGAAAAGACTGGAACACCAAGTATTATTTTCTACTACCATCAGGTGGAGAGATATTTCCCTTGGTGTGCTTGAATCTCTACCAATTCTACTTGCTAATAAGAAACCAGGTATAAAATAAAATAGTTATAAAATAAAATAAAATAGATTTACTGTAGTAAAATAAAGTTCTAGTTGAAATCAAAGAAGTGAATGAGAATATTCCTGAATAGAAAGAAAAATCCTAGATAGTGAAAAAAGAATCCTATGTTAAGAGCTCAGGAGCATGTTCTTATATCCCTATCTGGTATGATTTATGTGACTAAAAGTTTGCGGACTCATTTAACCTTTGGAGGCTCAACTTCTTCCTATCCAAAGTCAGAATAACAATACCAAAGTTAGTGAGGTATTATCAGTATAAAATGAAAAAATGTAATTAGGACTCAATCTAATGGCATACTTCTTGTTAAAAAAAAAATGAAAAGCACTATTCTTTAGTTTCATATTCCTTCTTTATACCAAGTCTATCTTTCAAAAAAAGCATGCTAATAGAATGACACAGAAAACATGAAGACTCAGCACCACCATTACATTCTTATTCCAAATAGTCTGTAATATTCTACAAGTTTGCATTTAGTATTTATCACCTATCCAAACTTTTCTTTTCATTTTCAGTTATACCAGCTTAATCCCATCCCTCATTATTTCATATCCAAATTACTTAAAAACCTCCCAATTTACCTTCTTTGCCTCCAGTCTCCTTCAATTTCAATCTGTCCTATATACTATGAAAGAGGTATCATCCCTAAACATTGCTTTTATCATGTCATTTTTTCTCATAAATAATCACTTCCCCTAGAATTCACAGACTTATCACAGCTAAGGTTTTAAAAGAGCATGTCCAACTCCATTAAATATAAATTATCTTTATCTTCTGATTTCTGGATCTTTTTTTAATCAAACTAACTCTACCCTTAACAGATCGAATGTATCTGTGTTAACCTCCACAGTGCCTAACTGCACCTACTATTCACTCAGCTATGTTAAACATACCCCTCAAACTAGAAATTCTATTTTAGAGAGGTAAGTTTATCACTACCCTTCCCACCTATGTGTGCGTGCCTGAGTAGCTATCTCCTTGGAATGCCTTCTCTGTTCTCCTCTGTGTCTCATCTTTGATGATGGCCTTATGTTTTGCTTTGGTAAAGTATCTTCTGATCAATTAAAGGATGGTTTTCTGTATTAATGAGTCTCTGCTGTTTATAACCCATACTTTACTGAATCTTATTATTTAGGTCTCCATATCTCATTCATTGTTTTAATCATTCCTGAAATCCTCTTACTATAGAAACTTTGGTGGATTCTCACTGCAAATGAAGAACATGTGACCCATTTCAGTATAAAAGCGATACTTGGTACATTAAATTTCTTGTTATTCTTCCTTTCATTAGTTGAATAATCACCTTAGGGAGAACTACATTTGTTTTCATTTCTACAAAAAAATGCATTCACCTCTTGACTATTTAATGAAGCAAGAGGGTTAGCCTCCCTATAGAAGTAGATGAGTGAACAAAATAACAAGTGGGAAGGTTAAATTGTTCCAATAACAAACATTCCTTGCAGTAAATGACCTTATTCTTCATGAGAAACAAGGTAGCTAAACGAAATCAATGATAACAAATGAGCTCCTGAATTTTATCTTTCTATTGCAGTTGTCCCGCCAGGCACAATGCCAGTTGCAATAGACCCGCCAGGTGTAGGATTCCCGCCAGGCCCAGGATTCCCGCCAGGCCAAATACCAGGCGCAGGAGTCCCGCTACGCGCAATACCAGGCGCAGCAGCCGCACCAGGCACAGGAGCTGTGCCAGGCGCAGCAGGCCTAGGCTCCCCACTCGGACTCGGTTCTGTATCATCAAGCAATGCTGTGGAATATATGAGCGGAAACTTTCTGCAGAGGGAAGAAGAAAAGAAGGAGATAATCCGGAAGTATTTCCCTGAGACCTGGATCTGGGACTTGGTGGTACTTGAGTAAGTTGTTTATTGCCTGGAATTTAATTCAGGAGAGGTTTTAGATCCTCCTCTATGAATCTGGTGATATCCTTGTTTCCTGATCCTTTTCAGCCTGTTCCACATTTTCCTGGCAAGTATTTAGGTTCATAGTTGTGTTTTTTTTTTTAAGATTTATTTATTTATGCATACAAGAACTGGGGCACAAGCTAGAGGTGTGGGGGATGAGAGGATTCACCAGAGACAGAGTGGGGAACAGAACAGGCATTCTGACTAAATACACTGCTGATGGGAGCAGAGGGCAAGACAGGAGAGGTCTGCTGAGCCATGTGAGTAGCTCCCTGGCCGGGGCTCCAACTCATGCTGGAGTGGCTGCCGAAAACTTCATAGGTAGCGTCTTAGCCCCTTGCACCAGCAGGGAGACCCCAGGTTTGTAGTTTCTTAATCTCATGACTAAACAATGCAAGTGTTGTCTAATTCGTTCCTGAGATACGTAAAATAATACAAAGCAGGAAGCTACCCTCATCCTTAAAAAGAAAAAAAAATTCCAGAGACCTCACTAGGAATAACAAACCTTACATCAAATTTAACATTTATTATACTAGGTTACTAAGTTATCATTCTTGATGATTAGTAATGATCCACGCTAAAAAAAAAAAAAAAAGTGAAATATGTGCTGGGGGATTCATGCACTCTCTTCTTTTTCCCTTCACAAGTGTATCAGGTAGAAGTGAGTTGGCAATGAAAATCCCTGACACCATCACGGAGTGGAAGGCCAGAGCTCTCTGCTTATCTAACACTACCGGGTTCGGCCTCTCCCCTATCATCTCTCTTCAAGCCTTCCAGCCCTTCTTTCTGGAACTCACTCTCCCCTACTCTGTGGTTCGAGGAGAAGACTTCATGCTCAAAGCCACAGTGTTCAACTATCTGCCTCACTGCATTCGGGTAAGGGCATTTCTCTGCAAGTGAGCAAAAGTAGAAGGAAGGAGCACAATCACCATTCATACTGTGGTTTCCTAGGTAATCTAGCAAATCATAATGGAATATGATGTGCCTAATTCTGGAATGGAATAGGTACTTGGAACAAAGCTACCTGGCAGATCCAAGATAGTAAGGTTACATTCATCTAGGACTCTAGAGTTCCTGTGTATTCCTGAATCAAGCATTATTTCTACCTAACTGCTTCATTTTTTTCACTCTGACTAAAGAAAATAGCTCTTTCTTTTGTTGGCACAAGCTTAAATCCTGGACATTTATTTTAATTTTAGTTGATTTTTCAATTACCTTATTGGAAAAATCTAAACCACAAAGTATTTGATGGGATTTTCCTTGTTTGGATAATTCTTCAAAGCCTCTCCATTATTAGGCATTATCCCTTTAAATTCTTTCTCCTATCACTGATCCTCTCTGCCTGTCTTTTTTCTCCAACCTGTGGGGGACAGGTCAGCGTACAGCTGGAGGGCTCTCCTGCCTTCTTAGCAGTTCCAGTAGAGGAGAATGAAGAATCTCACTGTATCTGTAGAAATGGACAGAAAACTGTGTCCTGGGCTGTGATTCCAAAGTCACTAGGTGAGTGTTAAAGTTGTTGACAAATCCTACTTTTTATGTTATAATTATTTCCTTTCCAGTCTGATCCAGATATTTTTTTTTTCCTCCTGCTTCAACTGACTGAAAGAAAATCACTATATATATTGGGGAAATTTAAAAATAAGAAACCATTTACTACACAATTGCTATTTGACTCCATAAGAACCTTATTCCCCAGGAAAGGTGAATTTCACAGCTACTGCAGAAGCCCTCCAGTCTCGGGAAATGTGTGGCAATGAGGTGCCCCAAGTCCCAGCGCTTGCACAGAAGGATACCGTAGTCAAGCCGCTAATAATTGAGGTATGCAGGCATATTTCCTCTGACCTAGAGACCTCATATATTACAGCATCATCTGATATTACTGGGACAGTCACATTTCATTCCTAGAACATGGACATATTTTTCACTAACATTTTCTCCTCTGCTCTAAAATGATTGATTTTTCTCTTCTATTCATTAATATTATCTTATTTCTTCACTTTTTCTCTTTCATTGAAAAGGCTGAAGGAATAGAAAGGGAGGAAACTTTCAACACAATGCTCTGTGCATCAGGTAAGCATCAAAATAGATAAAATTCTCATGTTAAGTCACTTGCCGAAGTCTGTAGCTGTGGAATGTTTTGCTATAAAAAAAGGAAAAACACAAACTTGTATATTCTCCCATACACAAGTCAAAGACCATTTGGTGAGGAACGAAATTTTCTTTAGGAAGGCAGTGAGAAATTAAAAGACTTACTTAAAGCTCTTGGCTAATAATGAGGAATAATGCTGAAGGCTACAGGATGTGATATTTTTTCCAGCAAATCTGTGGTTCCAAAACTTCTTAAATAACACTCAAAATATTGAAATATCTGTGTGGCACTAGAACTATTTACTATTCAATCAATATTTTAAAGATGCTTATATCTTTGCTCCAGGGCAGAGAAAAGAACTGGAATTTCAGAAACTCACCCCTGTCTTGTATGTCTAAAGTGTGTGGGGATCCAGTGTCAGTTCATCATTTACTACACTTTAAAAACATGTATTTCTCTACCTCCCTCCCCAAATGTTATTTTAAGAAGAACTTCAGGTCAACAGTATATACAGAAAACTAATGTTTTACTAACACCATTAATATAATAAAATTACCACTAAAATTTCAACTCTGCATCATCTAGAATCATCCTGAGGACAGTGTTCACGGTGCAGATTTCCTCTCTATATAAGCATCTCTAGGTAATCTCATCTAATCATAGAAGTTTATAACAACTTCATTTTGGAGACCACAAAATTTCATCTTTGGGACACACCTCTTTCCTGAACCCAGATTCATGTATTCAACTGCCCAATTGCCATCTCCACTTATAGGTCTGTAGATCTAACAGGCATCTCAAAACTAGCATGTTCAAAACTGAACCTCCGCTGGTCCCCACCAGCCTCTGTTCCCCCAATTTTCTCTATCGCTGATGACGGAAATTCCATTCTTCTACTTGCTTGAGATAGCAACCTTGAAGTCATCCTTTATTGTGTTCTTTCTCTTATACTCCACACCATATCCTTTCTCAAATCGAGTTGACTCCACCTTCACACTATATCCAGAATCTTCCCACTTCTCATCACGTCCACTTCTACTTTGGCAGGGTCTTTCCTGAACTACCTCATTGTGTCTTCTGATCACCTCCTCCTGCTCCCCTACAGCAAGAGTGATCTTTTAATGCATTAGGTCATATCATGCTGTCTCCTCTGCCCCAAACCTCCAAGTGTTGTCCCATGCTCCTCAAAGTCCATGAATCTAATGTCACCCACAAATTCTTGCTGCCCCGTGACTTCATGTCCAATTGTCCTTCCCCCTCACTCACTCTGCTGCAGTCACACTAGTCTCCTTACCTGCTCCTGGAACACACCTACATGCTCCAATCTCTGCAGTCTTTTCACTTTCGTTCCTCTTTCCTGGAGTCCTTCCCCCAGATATCTATAGATCTCACTCCCTGACTTACTTAAAGTCTCTAGTCACCTATGATATTTTCACCAGTGAACTATTTGGTAGGGAGCCTCATTTCTACATACTGCACTTCCTGATTCACCTTGTCTTAATAGTTCCCTTTGTAAACACTTATTTCACTCTAATTTTCTCTCTGACTATAGGTATTTACCATACAAAATATTTGTTATCTGATTTCTCTCATTAAGGTGAAAGTTCTACAAAGTCAGGAAATTTCTTTTGAAAAAGGTTACATCATTGCACTAAAACAATAACATGACCACACGGTACATAGTAAGCACTTAATACTATGGAATTTTTTAAAAACACAAATAGTGAAAATTAATATAAATGATGAAGTGAAGGAAATGAGTAGTCCATAAGATGTACACTACAAGAAAGACTTTAGAAATTTAGCACAAACATGATTTATGAACTTCACTGTGAGATGAATCATGGTGTTTGGAAAAATTTGGTTTGCATCAAAGAGTTATATAATGATCAAGAGAAATGACAGGTAGAATCTGGATTGTGTGGAGGAAAATAATTCAAATGAAAATATAACATTTCTCTCGTTTCCCCCATCCTTATATACATGTTTGTCTTCTTTCATTAGAAAATGGAGTACCTGAAAAACTGTCACTAAAACTTCCTTCCAGTATAGTTGAAGGCTCTGCCAGGGCGACATATTCAGTTGTGGGTGAGTCTCCCAGCTGAAGGGAAGCAGCTGTTCATCTCTGTAGTTCTAGAGCATGGGGTCTCATCTTCTGTGGTCAATGAGGTTCCTGATTCTAAAATGGATTGAGAGAAAGAGCACTAAGCTGAAGGTTGTATTGTGTATCAGTCAAAAGGGGGGTTGAGTAGATGTGCCATATGTTATATACCTTGATATCCTCTGAAAAGTAAAAGGGTCCTCCCTCTGTGCCCTCATATCAAGAAATTAACTAGGTGGTAAGCTTCCTAATAGATTTGAAAATGGTTTCTATCAGACATGTACTTCATAAAAAAAAAATGTAAGCTGCCATTCAGTTTCTTTCCAGTTTTCTCCATCCTTGAACCATCTATTTTATTTTTCTCATTTTCCTCTTTCCTTTTTTATTCTTTGCTTTTCTTCACTTCTTAAACTTTTTTGTCTTTTCCTTTACATGTGATTTGGCCTCACTGGTCACCCTCCTATACCAACATGATCAGCTCTGTGTTTGATTTCTTTTAAATATCTTTCATTCCCAGGTGATATACTAGGCTCTGCAATGCAAAATATTCAGAATCTTATTAAGATGCCCTTTGGCTGTGGAGAGCAGAATATGATTCTTTTTGCTCCCAACATCTATGTTCTGAACTATCTAAATGTGACACAACAGCTAACGGAGACGATCAAGTCCAAAGCCATCGATCACCTCATCAGTGGTGAGAGAGTACCCCAAAAAAGAGAACCTTTATTGTGTCCCTAAATATCTACTTCAGTGTACCCAAGTTAGCATCCTTTTGTAAAGATATAATAGTCATTGTTTCTGTGATAAACAATAAAATGCTCTACTATGCAACCAGAAAATTCAATTATATCATCAAGATGTCTTGGAGACATCTTAATAAAATAATAGTTACCTATAATTCCTTAACAAGCTTTCAAGAAAAAAAAAACTAATTCTCAAATGTCTCTACTATGTAATAAATCTATGAAAACTTCCTCTACAGGGTACCAAAGACAGCTGAACTACAAGCACAGTGATGGTTCATACAGTTCCTTTGGGGATGATGATGGCAGAAGTGAGGGAAGCACTTGGTAAGATAATTCATTCCAGATGTTCTCTGTAGATCCATTATATTTCAAAACTCTGGGAATGGCTATTTCTGCTACCTTGAGTTCCTTCACAGAAATTTTTAAAATTTCTTTAAATCCTTTAAAAATCTACATAGATATCATCTCTCCTGGGTGACCTCACCATTTTATCTGTGAAAGCTCACCTGCTCTGTTACTGTAGAAGATAGAAGTGAAGTAGGATCTCCTAAAGTGGAAATATAAGGCAGAAAGTAAAAATAAGTGAAATGGTAGAGGAATAAGCTTCCATATTGCATTAGAAGAGGAGCAGAGGGAAAGAACAGAAAGAGATTATGATGTAAAATCATTCAGAAAACAGCCATTTTGGTGCTGGGGAGACAGAGGCTCCAACAAACATTTCATGAGAAAGTAATGTTAAAAACATCAACTGTGCAGAAACCAATAAAGCTGAGAGATTAGAAAGAGATTCCAATATCTACATGACAAACAAGAGAATACTCAACTTTCAAGTATCAAATTCCCCGAATAATTCCCTCCATTGAATTCTATTGACCAATGTTTGAAGGCAATGTACAAATTGAGCTTCAAAAATAAAATGGTCCATATGTCTGTCTCTTCTTTGCTGGACAGGCTCACTGCATTTGTGCTTAAGTCCTTTGTTCAAGCCCAGTCACACATCTTTGTGGAAAACTCACACCTCACAAACTCTTTCAACTGGCTCGCAAAGAAGCAAAAGGAAAACGGTTGTTTTCAGCGCTCTGGAACAATACTGAACAATGCTATCAAGGTAATGCCTTGAGTTTTGTTCTGGTCCCTGAAAGTACTGAGATACAGGAACCATGATGCTTCTATTGATGCCTCAAGATCTGGTGACACGCTTTGAGGATGGATGATAGACTAAAGTCTCTGAAACCTAGCAATAAGTTAGTAATTTTTATACTGAATAAGAGTGTACAGCCCTCTCACCTAATATGACGATAAGTCAGGGAAGGAGACTGAGACAAATTTTTTAAGTGGGAAGGAAGGGGGAGCACCAGTAAAAGTGTAAAAGATAAGATGCTTTCTAGTAAGGATGCCCAAGGGAAACGAGTTAGCTGATATTGGCTACAAAATATTTGGAGTGTGCAAATCTCTGCCTCTGCTCCTTACAGGGTGAAGTAAATGATGAGGTGACGCTCTCTGCCTACGTCACCATTGCTCTGCTGGAGATGCCACTGCCAGTTACTGTATGTACTAGGACATTCCCTGCACCTCTCTCACAAATGTGAGACATAAAAATCATGGAAATATGAATCACTGGGGGAAATGAGTCACAGTTTTCATCTGTTTTAATTCTGGTATATTACACTGGAACATAAAGGATCAGATCCTTTTGGAGACTGCAGAGGAAATGAGTCCTGGTCAGAACTGTGATGTTGCACAGGCACACTGGTGGTTTTTAATCTGTGATTAGACTGGGGATAGCTGACTAGTCTGCTTCTTTCATTTTCTTTACAGCATCCAGTTGTCCGCAGTGCTCTATTCTGCTTGGAAATGAAATGGAGATCCATCTCAAGGGCCAAAGGAAATTCTGTCTATACAAAGGCATTACTGGCTTACGCCTTTACTCTAGCAGGAAACCAGGCCAGGCGAAATGAGCTACTTGAATCACTAGATAGGGAAGCTCTGAAAGAGGGTAAGAGCTGCTACAACCTATATGTTCAAAATACCATCAATAACGTAAGCCAAAGCTACCTCCATTAAAAAAAGAATTTTTTTTAATTTTATTTTTTTAATTTACTTCCAAAAATCTCCAGTGATCAAAAGGGGGAAGACCTATTAAGTTCCCACCTATGATGCAATGATATTGTTGCTTTATTTTATGTATTATAATAATAATCATTGATCTAACACAAGTATTTTAGGTAACATGGATCATTTTATCAATTTACACATTATAGAGTCTATATACCTTAACTTATACTATCACACAAATAAGTAACAGATACAAAGTAATTTGCTGGAACCTTAATTTACTGTCTGGTCAACGATTTGCTTATTGGTGATTACTTAATGCTTTTACTTCACTTACATCAATTCACTGGGTGAGCTCTAATTACAATTAACATTCATGAATTGGACTTTGACCAATTTTCTAAGCTTAAATAGTATCCTTTACCATTTGAAAGATGGCTCAATGCACTGGCAACATCCTGGGAAACTTCAACAACCCGAAACACTCTATTTTCAACCCCGGGCTCCTTCTGCCGAAGTGGAGATGACATCTTACGTGCTCCTGGCCTATCTTACTGTCCAGCCTCGCCCATCTTCAAAAGACCTGTCTGTGGCATCACGCATTGTGAAATGGATCACAGAGCAACAAAACCCTTATGGAGGTTTCTCCTCTACTCAGGTTTGTGCAGAGACTCTAGGAAGAAAAATAAATATATTAGTTCATATGTAGATCAAACCATATTCTAGGAGCTGAAAAACTGAAAACTATTTTTCATTCATACTTTCTCATTCCTCCAACACCTGAAAGGTTCTGGTCATATTATTTCAAATTTTATATATGGATTATTGTTCTGTCATCTACAGTTTCTTATATTTTCTCTCTTTAGTGGACCTTCAACTGTAAAGTAGATCAGTCTTCCTAAAGCAATACTTTTTATAAGATTACTTCCCTAATACGTAAGTCATTTTTAATGCAAAGTCTAAGACTATCCAATATTAGACCCAAAATATCTCCTCTCATTTGACCCAAAGTAGCTAGAATAGTCAATGATTAATAACCAGGCCTGAATGTAATTGAAATTTATGTTGATATGTTTTACAACCAGTGTGATCTAACCCCCTTCCTCTCCTATTATTTCTGTACCCACCTTTTTCCAGGATACAATAGTAGCTCTCCAAGCCATCTCCAAATATGCAGCAATAACTTTCACTAAAAAAGAGAAAGCAGCAACAGTCACTGTCAAGTCTTCAAACACCTTCTCTGAAGAATTCCAAGTAGACAATGCCAACCGCCTTCTGCTGCAGGAGGTTGGGTTACCAGAGATTCCAGGAGAGTACAGCACAACAGTATCAGGGTCAGGGTGTGTGTACCTCCAGGTGAGGCTGTCAGGATGCAGGGGATGCTGCAAATGGGAGGGGGAAGTCTCAGGAATTAAATTGAAATTTCCTAACAGTAAAAGAAATGTGTGCTAAGGGAAGGCATAAATCATCTAGAAGAGAGATTATTTGAGTGCAAAGATAAAGGATTTTTTTTTTCAATTTGTTGTAGTCATCCCTGAGGTATAACATCCTGCCCAAGAAGGAAGGGAAAAGCCCCTTCACTCTGAAGGTTGATACTCTTCCCAAGGATTGTGATGGAGTAGACGCTAATAAAAAAATCCAGATTCATATCAACATGAGGTAAATGCAAAACCACTATCATACCTTCTGTTGAATATGGTGAAAGTGATTTTCTTGTACGGGAGAACTCTTTTGTCCAAAGTCCTGTATAATGAATGTGGAATTCTTGCAATATTCATTAATAAGAAAAATTTCTTAACATTGAGAATATGATGTTGACATTCCTGCAGAGTTCATAGTTACGGGTTATGAACAATCACAGCAGAGGACAAATAGGGCAGATGGAGAAACTGAGTGGTAGTAGTACTAGGAAGTTTATGTCTTGAATGAGTTCTAAAGACTTTTATTTAAGTGCCTGTGCCTATGCCTTAACTCTCTAGTTATACTGGAGAACGACCCAGCTCTAATATGGTCATTGTTGACGTGAAGATGGTATCAGGCTTCATACCTGTAAAAGCATCTGTGAAAAAGGTAAAGTCTAAATCTTTTACAGATAACAAAGTCATGATAAATGTTGATATTTATGCTTGTCAATTTTATTGTATTGATGCAGTTTCCAAGAGATCAACTCCTTCACAATTGCTTTCTTATGTATAGCATATGTGTATACGTATATACTATGCATATGTGTGTATGTGTATACAGCTTTATGTACCATTATAGATATATATAACACACTTATATCTGTGTATACATACGTGGAACATGAGAGAGAGAGAAAGGGCTTAACAATTACACTAGTTCCCCCTTATCTGTGGGGGACATGTTCTAAGACCCTCATTGATGCTTGAAATTACAGATCAAATCCCATATATACTATGTTTTTTTCAACAAATACATACATGCCTACAATAATAAAATAAGACAATTATAACAATATACTGAAATAAAAGTTATGTGAAAATGATCTCGATCTCTCTCTCCCCCAATCTCTTATTGTACTTAATATTTTCAGCCACATCTGATTGTGGGTAACTGAAACCATGGAAAGCAACACCACATATGGTGAGGAGGGGTCTACTGTATTACTATCATTTATCATTATTTTATCATTATTACTATTATTTCCAAAGAAATCAAGATTAGTAGTCTGGATGTTTCTAAGCAGCCATTTATATCACAAATACCTGAAAATTACTCTGTCTGAAATTTCCTTATCCCATATCTCTGGCTCATTCTCTTGGGTAACAGCTTCAAGACAGTCCTGAGATTCAAAGAACAGAAGTGAACACCAACCATGTGCTGATTTACTTTGAAAAGGTAAGATTCTTTGTGACTCTGCTAGGTCTGAAAGAAATACTAGAGTTTCCAATAAGCCAAACCAGAATCCAAATACTGTTTTCCACAAAGATAAGAAAGGAGAAAATAGTCAAAAGGAGACAGGAAGCCTCAACTGGTCAACAAGGTTCAATTTAGTACATGTGACAGTCTACAAAACTGTCTCTTTCACGTTCCTTTTATCTATCTTGAAGAGTGTTATCCAAGTCTCAGAATGTCCCATTCTTTTATTTTTTTTATTTAAAGATTTTTTTTTTTAATTTTTTTTATACAAGCACTGGGGGGGCTACAGTCAGAAGCATGGGAGGGTGAGAGAACTCACCAGAGCCAGAGTGGAGAGCAGAACAGGCAGACTGATGAAGTACACTGCTGAGGGGAGCAGCAGGCGGCAGGAGAGGTCTGCTTGCCATGTGGGACCCTCGCCTGGCAGCCGGGGATCGAACCAGCGCTGTAGAGGCTGCGGGCAGCTTTGCAACCCAGCACTCAACAGCTGTGCCACCGGGGAAGCCCAGAATGTCCCATTCTTTTCACAGGTTTTGGTACAAATGGGTAGCACATCTACAGGGTTTGATGATGTCTTAGAAAGAGAGGATAACTAGTAACTGTTAAACTTTGATTCCAATTCAGTATTCTTATTTCTCCAGCTAACCAGTCAAGTTGTGAGTTTCTCCTTCTCAGTGGAACAAAGCATTCAAGTAAAGAATTTGAAACCAGCCAGTGTAAAAGTCTATGATTATTATGAGACCGGTAAGTGGGATTCAAACATGCTGAGCTTTGAAAGTAAAAAAAAAAAAAAGGACTAACCTAGTAAAGAGCCAACAAAACTCCACAATCTTAGGTAAAGGAGATATGGTATATATACACATCATGGAATACTACTCAAAGAAAAAACAATTAACTCCTACCATGTGCAACACAATTCTAGAGGATATTATGCCTAATGAAAAATAGAGAAAGACAAATGCCATACGATTTCACTCATGTGTATACAAAAACAAAGCAAATGAACTAAGTAAAACAAAAATAAACTTTTAGACTATAAGATCAAATTAGTAGTTACCAGAAGGGAGGGGGTAGGGGAATACACAAAGCAGTAGAAGGGAGGGAGAATCAGGTGAAAGTTATCAACTGTATGGTGAAAGATGGAATTAGACTTTTGGTGGTGGCACACCCGAAACCTACATAATGTTATAGCCAATGTTACTTTAATTAAAAAATGTTTTAATTCCATAATCTTTCACTGGACTAAAAAGTGAGTTTATGGTTACCAAATAAGCAAGCTCTTATATCTTAACCTCTTATGCCCTCTAAACAAGCCTTAGAACCACTCTTATAAAGCATTAAGGCACATAATACTATTTTTGACTTGTGTCTTGGGTAATGTCACACATATTGAGAAATTTTGTTTATATATATATATAAATGGAAGAGTGTATACACACACACACACACACACACACACACTTCCATTTTCTTGTGACTGCAATTAGAAACCTAGCAGTATCATAGCATGCTGCTACTGTTAAAGCTTAACTCCTTCTTGGATTTAGGAAAGATTAAAAAGGAAGATACAACGCCAATGGAAAAAACACAACTGTGGACAGGGTTATAAGGTGTCCCAACGATAAACACAGTTTTCCATCAGGAAACCAGACCCTCAATTCTAAATCCAAACCCAATTTCCTCTTCCTTTTCCTCCCCCTCCACCAATCCCAAATGGCGTAGTATAGAAGTAAGTCATTTTTATTGGCTCCATAACTGTGCTTCACACTTTCTTAGCTTACGCAGTCTATTAACAATGAATTGCTCATGTGACTATCACTCACTGTCTTCACTCTTTCTAATTCTGTGGTTTCAGATGAATTCACCATTGAAGAGTACACTATGCCCTGCAGTGCTGGTAAAGTATAAACAATAAAATTTAATGCCGACATAAATTAACACCTGTGGTCTACAAAGACTGCTTACGGAATATAGCCTTACTATATTATAAAATCCCTGGTATATCATTATGAATTGAATAACTTCAAATGTATTACAGAATTTCTCTGCAGGAAAAAAATGCAAGGAAAGTATAATTATTGGTGTAATCTGGAGTGACTTGTTTGAAGATGAATCCAGGAATTTGCTACATATCTTTATCACCCACACCTTTTCTAGAATATTTTTAAACTTATACTCGTTAAGGAGAGGAAACCTTTCATTGTAATTAATCATATAGCACAGCATGAAAGAGGTGATCAAGAGCTTCTTTTAGGCTGGTTGGCAGGTTCACCTTTACCAATATATTTGTTATAAGACCTTTGGTTGTATACTTCAAAATGTAAAGAAAAATTAGAACAATTATTAAAAATAATTGAAATGTATTACATTCAAAAATTTATAATTGGAGTATGGAAAATAGTTCCCTCAGTAGGTCAAACAATTTCCCTAATATATCTACCTTTTCTACTACTGTTTAGAACCTGAACAAGTACATGTTTTAAAATGAAAACTCAGGTATGAACCTCATCAGATGACCTGCTCCAAGATGAAGAACAGAGACTTATCAGAAGAAAAGATAGTGGGAGAAGAAGGAATGGTAGCTGGAAACAGATAGAATCTGTATGTTGAAAAAAAATTGTGATATTAACACACAAAAAAATCTTTTTTCTGTTATTCATCAAAGCTAGAGTTCACTCCTGAACTATATATCTATTCTTCATAGTATTTTTAAAAACTAAAAAAGCTACACAACATGGTGCACTCCAAAATACCACAGATAAATAAAAATGGAATTTCAAAAAATGTTTCATGTAACCCTCAGGGAGGTAGGAGAACAAAGACAATATTTTCAAAGATTGGAAACAACTAAAATGTCCATCAATAAGTGAATGGTTTCACTAGCTGTGATATATCTATACCAGGGAAAAGTACTGAACAATAAAAAGGAACGGATTATTGATATACACAACTTGGCCGGATCTCAAAACCGTTATGCTCAGTGGGGAAGAGAGGTTTATTTTACAGAGGTCAAATACTGGTTGATTCCTTGCACATAACAGTTTTGAAGTGACAAAATTATACAGATAGAAAACAAATTAATGGTTTCCAAGGGTTAAGTACAATAGTAGGACAAGGGAGGATGAATGCGACTATAAAGGGAAAGCCCTAAAAGTGTCTTGTGGTGATGGAATCCTGCATGTAAAGAAGAAAGTGTCCTGATTCAAATCTTTACTTTTAATTTCATCTCAAATTATTTTGCTATCTATTGTGTGGTGAGAAAGTATATACCAAAATTGAATTTTTTCTCATGTAGCTTTCTAGTGTAACCATTATCATTTATTGATTTTCTGTTTTCCTGCTAACAAAAAGTGCCTCCTTTATCACAAATTAAATAATCTTATATGCTAAGGCTTGTTTATGTATGATTTGTTCTATTCCATTTCTCAGTCTATTCTTTCAAAAGTACTAAAATGTTTGAATTACTATGACTTAATAAAATGTTTTAACAATCACCATGGCTGGTCCCGCCTCATTTCTCTAGTCTGATCTTTTCCTTGCAATACTAAACTCATTATTTATTCAAGTAAAACTATGAAATCATTTTAGCAAGTTAATTATCCCCATAATCATACTGCATACCATTTGGTATTAGTACAAATGAATTTACAATAAATATGAACTCAACATTTTACATTATTTAAATTTCTCTAGTCAGATACATTTGATCTTCACTTACTCAATTCACATGGAGTGAGTTCTAATTCTGATTATAACTGCATCTGGACTAAACTACAAAGTTAAAATTAAAAATTAACTTCCTGGGCAAAAAATACTATTGAAAGATGCATATATGAAACAATGTATATACAAGGACAAAATATGTGGACAAAAATAAAACTACAAGATAAATACTAGAACAATATTTGCCATTTGGTGTTAAAAGTCATTGAAAGATTTTAAGCAAGAAAATATTTCAGATTTGCATTATGACAGCAATTCATCATCTCTATGCAATACTGGGAGAAGAAAAGAAAGTCAGTGCTTCTGATCTCCAGATACACAGCACTTTGTGCAGATCTGGGCTCTCTTATTATCTGCTTAGCTAAATAATTTAGCACACATTCTTCCACACATACAACTCCACACATTAGCTCCCCTCAGCAGTGTATTTTGGTCCTTCTGCCTTCTCTGCTCTCCGCTCTGATTCTGGTGAATTCTCTCACCCTCCCGCGTTTCTGACAGTGCCCAGTGCTTGTATAAATAAATAAATTAAAAAAAAAAAAACAAAAAAAAAAAACACCAAGTTCCACAAAACCCCAAAAACATATTAAAAAAAAAAAAGAAAAAGTATTTTCTTCTCATTTATAGACTCAGATCTCTTTACAAAGTATCTTAATTACTTCTACAGGCAGTTCACCCAACACAGTGCTAGGAATGTTGTAGACATCAGTAAAACAATGGAGCAAGTAAACAGGTCAGTGCCTGAGCATATTCCCCCAAGCAAATAGTTACAGAAGAAATGGGCACTACAAAGATGTCAGTAAACTCCAGTAAAGAAAATATGCTATGAAGATCATTTTAACTCAAACTAACTTGAATTGCTTAATGTCTCACAAATACTTTATGGAAAGGACTTTTCTTCTTTTCAAAAGTCAAACAAATGAGGAGGAAAATGAATTTTGGTTATTTATTAGAACTTTAAGCAAAACTTTAGAACTTTCAACTGATTTGTACAGTTGAATCTGTCCTGGTATATACCTTCAAGGAATGTTTGATTAGTATTAAGTACAAAGTAGAAGTTATCATTGGTCTTTTTTGTCCTTAATAAATTTAAAAATATAAAGGAGTTACAGTTATTTAAAAGACAATAGTACAAGAAATATGTTTATATTTTTTTACACATTCTCAGATATGTCCCTTAAAAAATTTAGAAATCAGAATTAGTGAAACAACATTAGTAAAGGAAAAGTTCTATTTGAAGTCAAGTTATTTTTCAACAAAATTTTGCCTGAGAAAATTTGTGCCAATTTGTAATGTGTACATAATCGGGCAAAACAAAAGTTATCAAGTCCAGTAAATGAACCCAACTAACTCAAAGTTTGTTAATATATAAACCACACAAAAACATTATTCATTAGTAGACTTGGTCCCTAAATCCTCTCTCTCTATAAGCACTAAGTAACTGAATATAAAATTAAATTGCTTCCTTTATAAGGCAAAAAAAAAAACCCAAAATATTAAAAATATGAGGGAAACGCCTTTGTTAAATTATCTAAAGTAAAAGACCACTCATTCTAGTCTTCTAGAACTCATGTATGGGTATTATTAACTATGACTATTTCTTATTTGACAAATTAGTTGTCAGGGTTTAACTTTACAACAGAAAATATAATTCTTGCATATAAAAGGAAGTTTATATTAGGCAAATATAATGAACTTATGACACATAGTTTAAGTGATTAGTGAAATAATCAGCAAGAATTCAATGCCGTTTCAAAGTACATCCAGAAGACTAAGATATTTATAAATAAATTAATAAAAACTATTAGGATTAAACTAAGTAATATAAAATTTGCTACTATCTGTTCTACTAGAAAAAAATTATTTCCATATACATCTCAGAAAAATCAGCAACTTCACCAAGTCTGCAACCTTTAATCTGTAGTCAACAATGAGATAAACTATGTGTATTTCCTTAGTTAAGATAGTAAAGTTGTATTGAAAAAATGTGTTGCTCATTTTTGCCTTACTTTTCATAATTTTCTAACATTCTCCCCTTTCCAAAGATTGTTCTTTTTTTTTTGAGATTTTATTTATTTATTTTTGCATAGCAGAACTGTGGTGCAGGCCAGAGGTGCTGTGGGGAGAGTGCATTCACCAGAGACAGAGTGGGGAGCAGAACAGGGGTATCTACTGAAATACACTGCTGAGGGGTGCAGCGTGCATGACAGGAGAGGTCTGCTGCACCATGTGGGTCAGCTCCCTGTCTGGGGATCGTACTCGGGCTGAGGCAGTGGGCCTTAGCAGTGGTAGTGCTGTGACTTAACACGTAGGCCACCAGGGAGGCCCCACAGGTACATAAGAGGGTTAATTATCCATGTAGGCCTCCTTCAGTTTGTCAGCAAATCTTAAGCATCTACTAAGACTACATAATTAACTTCTGCCTAGAAGCTTTCATAAGGAATTTTTGTTTAGACATTTAAGAAACTCTGTGACTTATTATTTCACGTGTAATACCGATAAAACTGGGTAAATTTCTCTCATCTAGAATTCCCCTAAAGCCCTAAGATCCTTGACCTGCCAAGAAACAATGTTTATTCTTATATGAATCTGAGACCCTGTAAGTAACATACCAGGTCAGTTTCTTGAAAAGACTTTGTAGGCAAGGACTATACCAGTACTCCTTAACAATGAGCCTATCATGTCTAATTAAATGAGAATTATTTTCAAATACTATTGCTCCAGGTATGCTTTGAATGCAATCAATCAAAAAAAACTGTTGCTATGGAGATTCAGTAAAATTCTTTGTTTCAAAATTCTAAGATATACAGTGGGAATCAGATAAAAATGTTTTTTTTACATCTGCAAAAACAAATTCTTTTTTTTTTTTTTTTTTTTAAATATTAAATTTTATTTTTATATTCCCCCATACAATTGCAAACGCCCCATTCTGACACCAATCCTTCCCCTCCCGCCCCCCACCCCCCAAAAAGTGTCTCTGGTTCATAGTTTTTTGTTGATTTTGATTTTCACTTTCTTATATTCATTTTCCTGGTCCCTTATTTAAGTTTTCTAGATTCCTGCTATGAGTGAGACCATCCGGTATTTTTCTTTTTCTTTTTGGCTTATTTCGCTGAGCATGATCCCTTCCAGTGCCATCCATGTTGCTGCAAATTGCATGTGTTTATCTTTTTTGAATGCTGAGTAATATTCCATGGTATATATGTACCACATCTTCTTGATCCAGTCATCTATTTTTGGGCATTTGGGTTGTTTCCAAAGCTTAGCTATTGTAAACAGTGCTGCTATAAACATAGGAGTGCAGGTGCTCTTTGGAATTGATGTTTCTGTGTCCTTTGGGTAAATACCTAGGAGTGGAATTGCTGGATCATATGGAAGCTCTATGTTTAGTAGGTCCAGAAATCTCCACACAGCTCTCCATAGTGGTTGGATCAGTTTGCACTCCCACCAACAGTGCACAAGAGTTCCTTTTTCTCCACATCCTCGCCAACATTTGTTGTTGCTAGTTTTTTTAATATGTGCCATTCTCACTGGTGTGAGATGGTATCTCATGGTAGTTTTGATTGCAAAAACAAATTCTAAAGCTGGGCCTCACTGGGTGGTGCAGGCTATTGAATGCAGCGCTGTGAAGCTGTCTGCAGCCTCTAAAGCACGGGTTCGATTCCCCACCAGCCAGGGAGGGCCCCACATGGTGTGGCAGACCTCTCCTGTCTCGCCAACTGCTCCCCTCAGCAGTGTATTTTGTCAGTCTGCCTGTTCTGTTCCCCGTGTTCTCTCACCCTCCCAAACATCTGGCCTGTATCCCATTCTTGTATAAATAAATAAATCTTAAAAGAAAAAATCTACTGCTTTGGAAATTAGATATAGTACAAAACAGAAAGGACTTTTACTCATATTTGTTTAAAAGACATTTAAAATAATATCTACCTGGGCCTCCCTGGTGGCGCAAGGGGTTAGGAAGCTGTCCGCAGCCACTGGAGCACAAGTTCGATCCCCGGCTGGCCAGGGAGCAACCCAGATGATGCTGCAGACCTCTACTGACTGGCCCGCTGCTCCCCTCAGCAGTGTATTTTGGTCAGTCCACCTGTTCTGCTCCCCACTCTGTCTCTGGTGAGTCCTCTCACCCCACACCTCTGGCCTGTACCCCAGTTCTTGTACGCATAGATAAATAAATCTTTAAAAAAATAATAATATCTACCATGTCCCAAATAAAGAGCTACATTTAATTTTTTAAATTCCTGTTCTGTTTTATCTTGCTTGGGTCAAGCATTCTATTTTATTTCACAATCATACTTCATGCTTCTTAAGTTTAAAAAAATTCTTGTAAATCATGTATTGACTCACTAACTGTCTAAAAGTTACATAAGAAATAACAGTTCAGCAACCTGATTCCAACAGTCTGACTCTTTGGATCAAAGTTCAGAGTTATCAAGAGCCCTTTCCAGAAGCTTTCGGCAAGAAGCAGATACTCTTTTGACAGTAGAATGAATTAATCTATTATAGCAAATAATAACATCACAATGAAGGAAAGCAAAATTCTTTGGAGACATTCTGTGCATAGCTTTTTCTTTAGTTTGGTCATGTTTTGTG